TCCACAGGCATGGGATCCGGACTGCCTTCCGGAAGACGCGCTGGCCAAAGTAAATGTCAAGCTCGGCGTTCATCTTTGGGTTTGCGAGCCTATCCGGGAAAAATATGCCCATTGCGGTCTTCATAGCCAGGTTCTTGCAGAATATTCGTGTCATGGATGTCTCGCTCCTGATAAGAGTGTGCAGTTGGTCGGTGAGCTGGCGCGCAAGGAGGGAAGGATCGAGCCATCGTCCAGCGACAGTTTCGGGAACTGGCGTAACAATAGGGGCGCCTTCGGTGAACGATGCGCCAAGGAGCGTGGCATGGAGATCTGTCCAGCAGATGGGAAGAACGTAAAGCGATTTGCCCGAATTGTCGTGCATTATGTCGTATATGGAGCCTTCATCGGGGCGGTGTACCCGGGGGATCTTTCGTTTCCTGGGGGTGGTCCGTTTCCGGCGCGGCGGCGATGACGTCGATGCATCGGTACTTTGGCTGCTGAAGGCGGGGCCGTTGTGATCGGAGGCTGAGGCCGGGGGTTGTTGTGTAGGGCCCGGCGATGGGCCCGTTGTGTCGCGTGAGGCTGACATTGCTATCATGGCGCGCAGATGTTCAAACAAGGTGCCACTGCTAGAAAAGAGGGACCTGAAGACAGGAGAAGCCGAGATTTGAGGCGCGCGTCAGCTGGATGTTGCAGTATGGATGTAATGTTGGCGCGGTGTAGCTCTTTCCGGAACGAGTGATGATTGTAAAATAACAGATACGTATTGGTGTAGTAATCAAAGAACAACAAAAAGAGCGAGGCTACAAAATAATGATGGGACGTACTCAAATGCGTTCATGAACGAAGAAGAGAGACGGGAATATCTCCAAGGGGAAAGTGTGTTCCTGGTCGTCTTCTTTTGTTGATTCCACTGCAATGGGCGGAACGCAGTGGATGCGACAGATCTCAGGCTGCTAGGGGCCTAGGGCGCCTTGACAGGGCGGATCGGTGGAGTGTTTTGCGGGCGCTGGAGGGAGTGATGCGCGCGTGCACGTACCCTTTTTGCTTGGGGTCCCCTTTTTCTGTTAGTCCAAGTTAACCCCACGCACAAAACACGGGCAGGCGAAATCACCAAATCCGTAGCGCCGGTAAAACATGGATGCAACTCACCTAAGATGGTCCCCTGGAATGATGTTTTGTTTTTGTTTGAGGAATGAAAAGAAGCGATCCAAAACTCGTCGCGCCGGTAACGACTGAGTCACCGTGGAGAGAAAAGAAAAACACTAGGATCAAAGTTTGCCTCTGACTCTCTAGTTCAATAGTCGGAGGGTCTTGTCCGGGTTCCTCTGTTTGGCTTTGCGCGTGAAGAAGCAGAAGGGCTGCCCTGCATGCGAAAGTGGTCTTAGGTTGGCGTGTCTTTAAACGATTGAGGAAAGCAGGGTAGGCGGGAGAGAAACCGTGACTGGCGGTGCCCTGATATGATGGGAAACCCCCAAATACCCCTCCGTCACCCTTTCTCAATGGATGGCGCACAACGGCGTTTTTTATTCCGCGTGGGTGCGTAGTAGCGTTAGCGTGTGTGTGCCTGTTTCGGCTGATGGTGTGCTGTGTGTGGCAATCCCGGATTTGCGTCGGATGAACAATTGCGCCAACGACAGCCAGCCAAGTCTGGACCCCTTCTGCTGCTGGCTGATTTCATCATCTGCGACGCGCTAGCACACGAGCTCCCGTGACCTGCCTGTCTTGGCATTCCCTCTTGTTTCTTCGATGTCTCTGCTTTCTGAGTCTTTCTCATCCCTCTTCAAGGATGGACGCCCTCGTGGTTCAAACAGGCAGCGATGGGCGGAGCACGGTGTTCACGGTGTTGGATTGCATCCTACCCAACCAACATCCCCGTGTTGGGTCTGACATGCTCTCCGAAAATATCCAGATGGGGTAACTTCTTTAGATTGTTGAACTCGACTACGGTGTGTGCCTCGGACAATCAACCCTCGCAAATCTTCACCAAAGTGCGTAAAGATGGAATCGTTAACACCATCTCGAGCGTTGTGTCTCGTCCTTTGTCTGCATTCTGAGACAGAACAACAGGATCCATTAGGAACGCTGTTCGGCCAGGACCAACCGGCGCTGACATCGAACGCGGTGGCTGACTACACAGCAGGTGAAGAGTCTTTGTGTAACCTTTCTCTGTACGCCAACGAAGTGACACCTTCGGCTTGTTCACATCAGGACGCTTTGAACAGATGATGCGTCGTGCATGGCCTTCCGATCGCATCGCCGATTAGCCGGGACGAGACGGTTCCACTTTAGGCCGCGAAAACCCACTTTATCGGAGCCAACCGAGCTGCTGCCTACCCGTCCATATCCCCGGCCTCGGGTGACTCCACACGTGACCAGAGTCGTGTGTACGCTATAAGCCTCATCTTCACACAGCCACTACTGAGCCACATGCGAGCCATCACACCAGGAGCGGCACGCACAGATCAGTTTGAGCTCTCACTGTGCATGCAGCGGTCGTCACCGCCAGCTCGACGTCAGCGCAGGAGCCGCCGTCGCCTGCCGCTGCAGCCTCCAGGTCCAGGTCCAGGAAGGCCAGTCCAATCGACCCCATCACCCCGCAAGGCTGCGCTTTACGCGGTCAAGTGTCAACACGACATTCTAGATTACCATTATCTCCAACTTGAACACCCCATTTCGCATATTCCGGTAATAGCTTCATAGAGGGAGCTTAATACCAACCGTCACAATGCCGGTAAGCAATACTAATTCGCAAGCTCCCAACGTCCATCCGCTATGCGCATAGCTTCCCCCCAAGCTATACCAGCCAGCTACCCCTTAATCGCCCGTCCACGATTGCATCACCACCAGCACCACTTTGCGCCAGGCGCATTCCCTCGCTCACCTCCCAACCCAACCTATCGCATTCAAACAAACCACATACTAACCCCCACCCCTCGCACTCTATCTAGGCCTACAACTCCGTCTTCAACGCCGACCCCTCCCCGCGCCTAATCGGCAACTTCCCTTTGCTCCCTTTGCGGACCAAGATCCGTGGGCCGACCTACCCCTTACCCTTCCCCGATCCTCCTCTGGCGGCCAACGAGTCGCCCGACCCGGACTCGGAGTCGTACGACATTCTCGACGAGACGCTAGCCCTGTTCCGCGCCAACACGTTTTTCCGCAACTTTGAGATCCAGGGCCCTGCCGACCGTCTCCTGGTGTACGGGATCTGGTTCATTAGCGATTGTCTGTCCCGCATTAAGCCCAGCTACGGCGTCAGGGAGGCCACCAAGGAGGTGAATAATGCGGCGCTGGATGTCAACTTTGCGTTGCCGGGCGACCCGGGGTGGCCTTTGAATCAGGTACGTTCTTGCTTGGCGTTCTTTTTTGCGGAGGATGGATGGATGGATGGATGCGGATGGTTTGGAATTATATGGGGAATGAAAATGAGATGGGGAGTTCGACATGGCCTGGGGCGGTGAGAAGGGCAAAAGTGATAGTTGCTAACAAACTCGATCATAAAACAGATGTACGAACCCCCCCGCGACCGTCAAGACGCCGAAATCCTCCGCCAGTACATGTCGCAGGCCCGGCAGGAGCTGGCGCAGAGGTTATTGGCGCGCGTGTACGACGACGAGACCGAGGACAAGCCGAGCAAGTGGTGGTTGAGCTTTACCAAGAGGAAGTTCATGGGCAAGGGGCTCTAGGTCTTCCCGGATGGTCACGTCGCCACTTCCAAAGTATAATACGTACGCTACAAATAATATCCTAGTTTTTCTTAGATTTGCCGGGTACGTTGAACGAGCAAGCAAGCGTGCTGGTTGTTGTTCTTATTGGTTGGTCTGGAGTGAGGATAGATGAAATGCATATACACTTTGTGCAAGCACACATCCAGACGAGAATCGTGCCAAGTTCAACAAGTAAGATATTACGACAGCTCTATTTTGCAAGTGGTATCTAAGCGCAAACGAGATCTATGCCTGCCTGCCTGTCTTGCTATCTATCCTGGCTGCTCTGAGACCCAGTCTTCACAGTCCCCGTGTCTCTCATGGACACATAGCCATGATGTCATCATTTAAAACCATGATCACTTCCACTCCTTGGCTAGTTGAGTTCAACAACTACAGCACGCTGTTGCACTCCTGCTTCTACCCCCTCCCCCCTGACGCCCCCCGACGTGGTTCCTTGTGAGAATCTTTATGTGAGATATCACCCATATCCACTCATGCGGAAGCCGGCGTCGAAACGGTCTCCTCCACCTTTCTTCTCTTAAACTTGCCCTTGGCGGCAATCTTGCCCTCGGCAGGCTTAGCCCTCCATCCCGTAAAGATGAAGCCATCCGCGCCACCGCGCTCCGTCATCAACGGATGCGTCCTGCCGGGCAAAACCTGCCACCTCCTGGCCCTACTAGTCTGGATGCTGGTGCCCAGCAGCAACGTCGGGTTGAGCGGGAACTGCTCGCTTCCCTCCCACTTCTCGAGCTCCTCGGCCGTCTTGCCCTGGATCTCCGCCACGTGCCCGCTGTTCCACGCCGTCCTCCTGGCGACGCTGAAGCAGTCGGCTAGTATCGCAAGAGGCTCGAGCGAGGGCGAGTAGATGGCCACCGGAGCGCCGCCAGCCAAGAGGGGAAGCGCGTGCTTGAGGATCGAGATCGGGTCCATGGTGCTGGCGCAGACGAGGCCAGAGAAGTTGCCGGCGCGCGTGCTGTCGACCATGTGGCGCACGCGTGCGTAGCGCCTGCGCTTACGGTGAAAGTTGCCGCGACGGCTGGGCTTCCATGTGCTGAGGGTCTCGGGGTCGGCGGTCAGGGGAGGGGTCGAGTACGAGGTGTCGAGTTCGGGCTTGAGGAGCTGGAGCCAGCTGAGTGTGAGAAGGTGGTTGAGGAGCGGGTGCGGCGGGTGTTGTGGAGCGGTGACGTCGAAGTTCCAGTAGTTGAGGAACGAAAGGTTCGGTTGGCTGGCGCCGTGGAGGACAGTGATGGTGTTGGTTTGCGAAAAGGGAACGGCGAAGTCGGAGTCGCGCGGCTTGTTGTCGCGGGGGCGCTTGGGGTGTCGTGCGAGGGTTGTTGTCTCTGATGTTGGTTCGTCCGCCATTTCAGTGTCTTTCTGGCTGGTCGTCTCGGATTCCAATTTTTGTTCCGTCTCCTCATCGGCCTTCTCTGTGGTCTCCTCGTCCTCCTCTTCTGCAGCTTCCTCAGTCTCATCATCATCTTCCTTGTATAGAACGCCCATACGCTCGGCCATGGCGGCTACTAGCAGACCACCGGTGTCGTCGACAACGAGCCACCTTCCAGCCAGCAAGTCCTCCTGCAGAGGCGCCAGAGCCTCCTCTCCTTGTTCTGTCGTCGCCTTAGGATCCTCCAGGAAGACATCCTCACCGCCGTAGTGAACATTACCCCAGCAGCCGACCAAACCCATCATCTCGGCCCGGATGTCCAGAATCTTGCTAGCATCTCTCTCTTCCAGCTGCCAGTTCGAAAAGGTGGGAACGTCGATGGGCAGAACCTGGAACCTCCTGATGTACTTCTTCGTCTTCAACAGCTTGTACTTGGACAAACTGAAACTCGTCTTTTGGTCGAGAGCAGCATGCGACAAGAGAAGCTTGGCGATGACGTCCTTGCCGGCGTTGGTTCCGTCGCGCTTCAACTCCTCGATTTCCGCTTGTGTCAGCTTCTGACGGGCGTTCTCGTCGATGACTTCTTGTGTGGACCGCGCAATGACGTTGCCGCTCTCGGCATCGACTAAGCTGAACTCTTCGCCCGCGGCGGTAGCAATAACGGCATCATTGTTGGAACCGGGACCGGCGGCGGGGTTGGCGCATTCGGCGTCTTCCTCGGCGAAGACATCGGCGTAAAGTTCGGAAGGGGGGACGACTCGGAGACGGGAAAAGCTGTCTTCGGGAAGCTTGTCTTGGACCTCGAAGGTAAGGTAGTATGGGCGCTCGAGGATCAGGTTGGCGGGGAAGGTGCCGTATTTTCCAAGAGAGATGGATCTGGTGGTGACAAAGGCAAATCAGTAACTTGACAATGTTTTGTTTACTTGGAAGTCGTCATTGTCCTCTTTGGTTGACGTACGTATTGGGAGTGACCTGAATAACTCTGGTAACACCCGAGGGTAGCTTGAGTGCTACCCAGCTGTTGGGCTTAATTACTGAGTGGTGCATCCTGAATTGCTTGATTTTGCGATCCAAGTTGTTGCTGGGTTGAAGACTTCGAAATGCGACTTCCCCAAGAGGAATTTCAATTGACGCCCAGAAAAAAATCAGCGAAAAGTTCCAGAGCCTAGCGCGTTGCGGGGTCCTGTGGGGTGCGGCTTGGGGCGGCATGGGGACGACTCCACGCGCAGGGACCTTGATGGATTGGATCCGGGACCCACTTTGGACCTCACTTCACAGGGGGTATGCACTAACAATTACCGCTGAAACCTCAACACCGTAAACAGTCACGCAATTTCATGACACCAGCTGCACTTTGCACATCAACATCTGTCTGTCCATGCAGAATTTGTCATCAACAAGTGCTAGGAAAGTGTGCCTGAGTTGTACAAAGAGAGGGACAGAAGGTGTCTTCGATGTAACGAACAGACGGCGGCGGGGGGCGCTGCCACAAATGAAGTGGAAATCCCCAACTACAGCAATTATCTGAATCCCGTTGTCCTCCTCTTTCCAGTCTTCCCACGAACCATCCCGTCCACTGCAGTCCAACTCTACCACCATCAACGCTTCTCGGCTTATCATTGTGCTGAACCGACTGCTACACCACCACAGTATATTGGCTGTGTTTAACTTATCCTAGAATTGCGTCCCGGTTTCGTAATTCCGGCTCTCATCTTCGTCGACTGTGGACTCCAAGCATCGTCAAACCACCATCCTCCAGCTCCCTATCACACCCTTACAATGGCTTCCAAGGTTGGTTGGAATCTAGCCGTCTTCCTCCCTCCAAGTTTAGTAGCTAACTCAAGGACGACAGGACAACCAAGGATCGGGAGCATTCATCCGCAGCGAAAGTGCTTTCCGCAGTTTCATCGCCCCTGACGCCAATGCTCCTTTTCCGGCAGAAAAGGGTCGCTATGCTCTGTACATTTCGCCCACCTGTCCTTGGGTAAACCCTGCCCCTTTCCCGATTTGTTATGAGACTTGACGGCCATCGACTTACACATCTGTGACAGGCACATAGAACCACCATAGTCCGCGTTCTCAAAGGACTCGAGGACATTGTTGACCTGTACGAACTCCATCCATCCATGGGCCCCAAGGGCTGGTACTTCAGTGGTGAAGGCTCTTCCCTCCCTGCCGACCCATTGTACGGTTTAAAGTATCTTCCCGACCTCTACAAGAAGGCCGACCCCTCCTTCACCGGTCCCTTCACAGTTCCCATGCTCTGGGACAAGAAGCGTGAGACGGTAGTCAACAACGAAAGCTCCGAAATCATCCGGATGCTCACCACCGCCTTTGACCGCGACCTGCCCCAAAAACTACAGGAAGTTAACAAGCCAGGGGGCGGACTGTACCCAGAGCACCTACGCTCTTCCATCAACGAGACAAACACCTGGATCTACAACTTGATCAATAACGGAGTGTACAAGACAGGCTTTGCTACCACCCAGAAGGCTTACGAGACGAATCTATACCCGCTTTTTGAAGGGCTTGACCGTGTCGAGCAACTCCTCTCGTCCCCTCCACCCAGTGAGGCCGACTCGCAAGGAACAAAGCCGAGGAAGTACCTCCTAGGGGACAGCTTGGACCGAGGCTGACGTCCGGGCTGTATACCACGATTATTCGGTTCGACGTCGCATACCGCCCAGTATTTCTATGCAGTCTCAAGTCCATTCGACATGACTATCCCAACATTTACTCCTGGCTCCGCCGCTTGTATTGGGATCAAGACAGCCGCGAGACCAATGGTGCATTCCACAAAACATCCGCACCGTATCTCGATGTGTATGGGCCGTCCTACGCAGCTGCAAGGCACAAGAAAGTGTTTGGTGGGCAGGGCCCTTTGATTGTTCCCAGGGGACCGACGCCGTTGATCGATCGGTTATAAGGCGAATGGCAGTGTCACGCAGGATTGACGATTTGAATGCAGTGCAAGACGATAGATCATGGCTATGGCAGGACACCCGGTGGTTGGTTATATGTAAGTGTTCATCTCGTTACTACCGATTTGTCAAACCGAACTCAAACAAGACAGAGAGACAAGGTAGTACTAAGAGATATCTCAACCCAAGACGAAACATGAAAAGAAACAAAACGAAAAGGAAATGTTCCAGGGGATATGGATTCCTCCAGATGCCGTCCATCATTTCCAACCTCAAGGTTTCCTTTACGGCACAAGAGGAGGTAGCATGGAGTTGAACACTACCTGTGGTCCATTGGGTTAGTCACCTCCTTGACTTCAGGGCTTGGTATGTCCTCTTTGTTGAAACTTTGCCTGCTGACGGTAGTGGCAGAATTTTGTTTGTTCGCTGCCTCGTCGCTCGTTGCTTTGCCGTTCTTTGCTTTGGTATCATTGGCTGGAGGAGGGCGCCTGTTTATATGACCCAAGCAGTGGCCGTGGTCGCATCTGCTCAATTTACAGAGGTCACTTTCGATATGGCACGTCTTGCCACCATATCCCCTGACAATCGTTTCAGGCACTGGCCAGTCGCAGTTCCATCCATTCCACGCGGGAAAGTCTGTTTTTTCCTCGTACAGGCAGCGGAACAATTGCACTGCCTCCAGTACGCTGAACCGGCTCCACAATCCTTCATTTCCAACATTCCCTCTGTGGAGGTGGATGAGCAGCATGAGGAGCCCTTCAAGCGCAAGAAGGAACACCAGGATGGCTACTAGCGTAACGATCCCGGTCAGCGAAAAGGTTTGGATGTCCGGGCTGGAAACAACAAAGTGGCCTGACCCGGGTTCGGCTTGCCCATTACCAGCCCGGAACACGTTTGGATAGTTCTGGTCAGAACCGCCAAACATGGTGGCATCAACAAAGATATTGCGCGAAGCAACAAAACTGGCTAGCACCAGGCGTTCCATATCGCTCTCAATCGATGATATCGAAGCGTCGATTACTCCGTTCGGGCTCGTCGTTCGAGATCTGAGTGCCGAGTCTCCGCTCGCGTTCCCTAATCTGAAGATCATGGGGCCGGCAAAAAAGTTTGCTTCGAGAACCCGAAGGAGAACATCTGGCATGTCCCAATTGGGCTGGTTTCTCAGTTCGTTAATCGAGCTGACGTTTACACCCTTATACGACCATCTCATCTGCTCCCAACAAGAGAGGATAGGCCTGGCGCGTCTCATCCAGAACTTGGCGTCAAACGGCCTCGAGACGTTGAGGTTTCCGCGCAACTCTGTGTTGTACCATGGATCGCTACCCTCCGTGATGCTAGTGCGATGAACAGAAGTAACAATCACGGCGTATGAGAAGTTGGAATCCTTGGGTGGACCCTGTTGCAAATAGGTGCTAGGAAGTTGGAAAGCTGCCGTCGGAGCACGAGCGATAGCAACGTTGGACAACCCCATAGTCCAGTTTTGATCCTTGTTATTCCACAAGTGATAAAGCTCGACATCGGCGGTACTTCCGTTGGGTCGATACCAGTCGTACTCGGTCCTGCAAGAGCCCTTCACCCCGAGACCAAGGTCATTTCCACTCCGGAGACCGAGTTCGACCCCAGTGAGGCTGTAGTCATAGTAAAGGTCCTGCAGGAGATCTGATGCGTTTGTGTTGGGGTTGAAGATGTTGCCAAGGGGCACCCTGGTGACGTTGACACGACTGCGCAGCGTCACCTTGGCTGCTTCAACGCTTCCCAGAGATCGCATGATTCCGGGAGCGCGGAGACCAAAGTCCTTGAGCTGCAGGACAGGTGCCAGACCGGGGACTTGAGGGTAAAAGAGAACGTCTGGGTTGACGGGAGCGACGCTTCCGATTGAAACAATCCAGGAAGTGACTGTCGACATGGCCAGGCTACCTCCCCAGACGACGAAACAAATGAGGCAAAGTGTCAAGCCGTACAGGAAGTCGCTCCAGAGCCCGTTTCTCACTTTTTCAGGTTGTCCTGCGTCTTTCGTCTCCTGAATGCTTGTTTTCTGAGGGCTCGTCTGCTGATCGTTCTTCTGAGGGCCATCGACCTTGTGCGGATAGCATTTGAAAGTGTACTGCAATAGACTCCAAAGGGCAGGAAGAGCATCGCCAGAGTTCCACAAGGTGACCATGGCAACATATCGTCGCCTGGATCCGGTCCCCTTGACCAACAGGGCGAAAAAACATATGATCTTCCACAGGAGGGCAAAGCAAAGGGTGACGATAACAGAGAGAGCAGAGGCTACCAGGACAGCACTCTTCCCTGAAAAGGCGATGGCCCAGTGGTCGCCTTTGTCGCTGGGCATGTAGAATGCCTGGGCCAGATAATAGGCGGTTCGTGGTGGCGGGGTGTATATGTCGGACATCTTGGACGAGCGTAAGGTGAATTCCTTGACCCGAATTGTTGCGCCGATGCTGTAGACAGATGAGTCAATGAAGGCTTAGACGAGGGCCCGAATATCCAGGTGCTGATTTCCATCTCCTAGTGATCAACACTCAAGAAGCAAGGAACTCACAAAGAAGTTGCTCCGATATGGAACAGATATCAAAACATGTGCGTTTGAGAGAGAGAAGAGTCTAATAGCTCGGATGCGTCTTGCACGAGCTGCAGATGGCTTGCTCAACTCAGATGGGGACGAACCAAGGCTACCTATACCTTAGGCCAAGTATTTAAGCTTCTGAGGAGGCAGGTGAGCAAAGCTCTGATCGACCATGATATAGCCTTAGGGGTAAACTGCTTCACCATCTCCCAGCAAAGGGCTTGTCGAGACCAGGTAAGAAATTTCGCCCCTCAGCCTCCTTCGGAGACGTCTACTACTGACTACCACGGGAATTGGATCAAGTCACCTTCTCGGTCTGCTTCTCGTCCTCCCTCCAGACCATGTTGCCTCCGCCTTCGTACTCCCACATCCAGTCGACTTTAACTCCCCATCATACGCCTAGACTTCCTCGGCAAAGACTTCCTCATCCAGACCTCAGGAGTAGGGCGAGATGATCTCCCCGGTTCGAGGACTGGTTGGCTGTGAGCTCGAGTTGGGTTGAATGGAGGCCGGCCATGAAAGTCATCGGGCTGGACAAGAATACCTCTGACCACCTGAGAAGGTCACCACAAATCACCTATTCGTCCTATCTGTCATCCTTTGCACCATCGACGCCACCACTATATTGGCCTCAACACCAACCTCATCATCCGCCCAACCGACACGCACAAGAGAAACGCAAGTAGACAACGGCCTCTTTGCAAGAACGCCCTCTCCTCCGCATCTTGTCAGCCCGTGATAGGTCGCGACAGGTGGACATATCAGGAATTTGGCCCAGCCGCAGAATTGCCCAAACTTGCCGGCCAGTTTAGAGTTTGTGGTTCCTACACCCCATCCGCACGACTCGGGGTGCCGTACAACTCGCGAGCGAGCCTTTGATGGCTATCTCCATTGCTTCAACAAGCCTCTGGAGGTTTTGGCTCTGGCCATTTCCGAACGACAACCGAATTTACGGAAGCTACCTTCACTTGCCACTATCCCTTATCTGCAATGACACAACTAGAGACTGCAAATATCAGTAACAGTTATTTGTCAAAGCAGACCAACTTACATGACAGGAGCCATGATCGACATGCGGAGACTGCAGCTTGATGCATTTGTTGACACATTCCCGTCCAAGCTGGCACCCTCGAGTTCAACTTCCTGATGTTCTACACCTCCCATGGCACATCACTGCAGCACGACGATGATCAAGCCTTAATAGGGCTGTGATAGTAGGAAGGCGTTCTTGTGCATCGCTGAGACTACCAACGAGCCACTACCATCTCTTCAATCTTCCCACCCTGAAGGCGACTTCCAAAGCCTGGCCTACTCGAGAGCACTCATCAATGCATTTCGGATATATAATTGGCCGGACACAAACTCCGTGCACGCTAACCACTTGGAGCCACGTAAGACCTTACACCGGCTGTCAGTGACGGCCCGGGCTGGATGCACGAGACCCTTCTTGCATCAAGTGTGTAGGATTGCGGCTTGCAGACCATTTGCCTTTCTCACCACTTACCTGACAACTTGTGGACGACAGTGAACGAGAAATGGATCAGCAGCAAGCCGCTGTCAGCGCCGAGTGGTGTTGCGGACACTGGACGGGTTGAAGCCCAACTTTCCTCAAGCAAGGCCAGTTGTGGGTTTGATTGGCAAAAGAGGCCGTGAAGACGGATCAATAGACAAGAAGGCTGCGACCGCCAAGTTATATACTTGACAGAATGCGGCTTGTGGAGAACAAAAAAGGACCCCGTCCGGCCGATCCGGTTCGATCCGTTAGCATCGTCAGCTTAGCCTCTATCACAAGCCAAGCAACGCCCAGCCATCAACTCTCCGGAGCCTTGCGGGAAATGCTTGGTCGCACGTCATTTCACATCGAATGATACAGTGTGTAAAAGGAGCGGCTGGGGCGGGTCTTGTTGTCTTCCTGCACCGGAAAACTGTTTGTTTGGTGTTTTTGTTTGAAATGCGGAGAAAGCTTGCTCGCTGCTTGGGTAAGCCTGACTCGGTGGTCTCGGCGATGGTGAAACCATTCCAGGTCCCTGGGAATCTCTTCGATTCACTAGCGCGGTTGCTCAAGCAACGAAATAGGGGTCCATCGAGGGCAGACCCACCACCCCGATATCATGATCACTTACACACCCGGAGGGGCCCAGTGCCGGAGCCGATGGTATACCAGGACATCCTCATCTTGGCCCTATTTTTTACCCGAGTGCAACTGCAACCCCCAGGGAGCCCAGGGCCAACTTTTTGACCCTGCGTCGGTACCACCACCAAACAAATTCTCCTGCTTCCCACACATTACCAAAGCATCGTCAAATCATGTCCGATCAGGTCCCAGCTTGGCGATGCCAAGGTCCAAACACAGTGCAGGAAGGGAGGATCATGAAAAGCTCCAACGGCATAAGTTGTGGTGGCTCCATCTGATAAGTCGGGAGATCCTCAGCTGGACGCCAGGATGGATACCCAACGATGGGATATTGGAAGAAATGCAGAAGTCGAATATCATGACTGGTAGAACGGGATATACCTGGGTGACTATCAACAACCACATCATGTTGTTGATCAAGCACTCAGCAGCACGCCGGCCTCCACCTCATCCAGAAGCAATGAGGCCGAGGAGCCGCAAAGCTGTCAATATTGCATGGACGTTGCATAGTGCGGGACCCGTCCATGGCGGCTGTCCATGGATTTTCGGTGTCAGTGAGAGGGAAAACCTCGCGATCGGTGGTCCGCCGCAAATGACGATTCCTCCGTTTGCGCAAGTTTCAGGTTTTGACAATTAGCACTCTTGGCTTCTTGAGCAATCCGCAGCTGCCAAGTTATTGGCATGAATGGCAGTGCCATATAGCAATGGTGCTGGCGGCTTGGCGGAGAGTTTCCCGGAGTCAAGTCCGCCCGCGGCTCGATCAACAAGGGAGAGAGTCGATATGAGTTACCGAATCGAGCCTGCGATGATCTCAAAGTCTTTGAAGAGAAGAGGCCGGCGAGGGCAAGTCCAGATATAAGAAGAATGATACTCGCCGGTGTTAATAGATTCACTTTCGGTATCACAGCAGCACAGCTTACCTTGTCTCTTCATCACCAGTCTTCACTCACTACAACTTTCGCTCACCTTTCCTTCGTTTGATTCCATCGGAACTTAACCGTCACCATGATCCCTCGTCACATCCTCCTCGCCCTGTCCGCGGCAACTTTCGCTTCCGCCGACACCCTCATCAACACCCTCCAGCAGAATGGCTTCAACGACTTCGCTAGCATCTACCAAGATGCGGACCCCAGCATCCTCTCCAGCGTCGATGCTGGTAGCAACATGATCATCTACGCCTCCAAGAACGTCCAGGGCACCACCAACTCCACCCTCCGCCGTCGTGACACCACCACCAACACCCAAATCGCCGCCATGTCTTCGGTCCAGAACACGGCCTCCAGCTCCAAGAAGCTCCGCTTCAAGCGCCAGAATGCCGACTCGTCCCCCGCCGTCTACCAGTCTCTGCTGAATGACCCGGAGATTGTCAACCTCGGCCAGGGTGTCAACCAGTCTCTCGTTGAGAAGCCCGTCGAGGGTGTGCCCACCGTCTTTGCCGGTGCTGGCAAAGCCGTTCCGGTTGTTGGTGATGATATCACCTTCGACGGAGGTGTCATCAGGCCTGTTGATTCGTAAGTCTTCATCCCTCTTTTCCTTATCTTACCTCCTCACACCAGAGCCCAGCACTAACCGCCCTTCACCTCCAAAACAGCCTCCTCGAAATCCCTGGCTCCATCGCCAACACCCTCACCCTCTTCCCTCAACTCTCCAACCTCACCGCCCTCCTGATTCAATATAACCTCGTCGAGCCCGTCTCCGAGGCCGCCGGCATTACCGTGCTCGCGCCCGAGGATAGTGCCTTCGCCGCCGTCGACACCTCCGGTCTCACCGACGAGCAGATCGTCGCCATCCTCAGCCAGCACGTCATTGTCAACTATGTCGGCTACTCTCCCCTCCTGAAGGACGGTCAGGTCCTCAACACCCTCGCCAACGGCACCGTCACTGTTGCTGTTAGGGATAGCGGTGTCTACTTCAACGGTGCCAAGGTTACTGCTGCTGATGTGATTGTTGGAAATGGTGTTGTGCACACTGTTGCTTCGGTGAGTTTTTGCCTTTTGTTTACTTCTTTCCAAATGACATCCGTCGGTAAAAAGTGGTGAGCATTTGCTAACACAATGTGTTCGAACAGGTCGTCGGCTCCGAGGGCGCTGGTGTCCCTGAGGACGGCGGTGATGATACCGAGAACCCTGAGAACCCCGAGAATCCGCCTGCCACTGGCGCTGCTGGCCGTGTTGGACTCGGTCTGAAGACTCTTGGCCTTTCTGCTCTTGGCATGGCTGTTGCTGCTTTGTTCTAAAAGTAGAACTAATTGCTAATAATGTCTGAAGGGGGGTTGAACATGAAGATGAAGGAAGGAAGGAAGGAAGAACGCAAAGGCCGTGACGCTCTCTCTGTTCAACCACTGTATGTAATGTCTGATTGTGCGGATTAATGATACCTACGAACTGTTCTCTATACATACATTTTCTTGAATCATGGCATCATCGTTGGATGTCCAACAGCACTCCTCGATGACTGTCGTGTGTCGTGTGGTGGTGTTGGAAGTCGGAACTCGGAGGGGTTAGGTTGGAGGTGGTGATATAGTTCCCGTCGGAAACAGCCCTCGGGCACTCTTTTCGTAGCTGGTCCAATCGAGGAGTTGGGTACAACCCGAGATATCCTAGTCCTGTGCCGCGTTTGTCCTGGCAGTTATTATCGCGACTTCCATCAAAACATCTTGATTCCAGGTCATTTGTCGAAGTCACCATCGAGTCATTTACGTGGTCGGCACCTTTCTCACCGTCGCACAACCGGCTCATCATAACGACACGTGCCCGGCATGACGGCGTAAACGGGAGTAAGCTCGCATACAAACGACCATACGGTATCTCGTATCATTGGAATTATGCCGAAGAAACCAGCATGACAAGACGACGGTAGAATCGTGAAAGTGATTGAGTGTTGGTGGCACGAAAACGAGACGTCAAAGTAAAAAAACGACCCCGCCTTTTGAAACATTGGCCGAGATTGGGTCTCGTTTTGATGTTGCCGCTGACCACTGAAACAGACGCCATTGGCGCTATCGGCGCTATCAGGTGCCCTAGAGCCGCACTCTTGGAGTTCTGTAAACCCAGCACGTCGGCGTCATCCGGACCACAATCACAACCAGGGGCAGGGACAACCCGCGCCGGCCCAGACCACCTCGACGACCACCTCACCTGAAAATGCCCCTCTGCGCCTCCCCGGGTTTGCCCGCATTGGCCGCTCAGCCATCATTTCCTATCAGGTGTGGCTGCCACCGCAATATCGGATTTGCACTATCGCTAACAATTGTCAGTGTCACAGCCCCGCAGGCCTCTAAAAGTCTCAATTGTGCCTCGGAACAAGATTTGCCTGGCCCATGACGGGACCGTCATCCCGGGCCGCTTTTGCACATTTCTCACCAAACAATCTCCTCACGAGTTCCGATCTGATATTCATGGACAACTAGTCTAAGGCACCAATCCACATGGAACAGCCTTGGTGGTGACCCATCCATCCTGGTGATGTCGGCCATGGCGCGCTTCACGATTTTCGTTCCCAACAAGGGGCGAAGCGTTTGCTTTAGCATGGGAGTCCTCGGGTTTGTCAAGTCTCCATGATTTATTTCACTTTTATACCTATATACCCATCGTTATTTCCTTGGAGTTTGACGGTTCCCCATCTCGATACTCGGTATCCTTGGTATCAACCGCGCTAACACATTTGAGAGCACAACACTGTCCTCCTAAAAGCAATCGCAACCACCATCACCCTGTTATTATTATTACACCGCGATACCTAAATACAACCATTAATACACGGAATAATACACCACCTCGACCAGGGCCAGCGCCAACAAGGACTCCACCTGCCGCCGACGATCATCACCACCTCGACGACGTCGACACTCCACACACCACTCGCACCTTAATTCAACGTCAACTTCGTTGCTGCCCCGTCCGTCTTCAGTGTGGATTAACTCATCGACACCTCAACCTCAACACAACAACATCCCCAAAACCAAAGCAGGCCAGAAAAATGACAGTCACCACCAGTTCCGACCCCTCAGGCAACCCGCCATACCAGCGTGAGCGTCACATCGCTGAATTAGCTGTGCAACGCGCTTCCCTCCTCACGCGCCGCGTCCTCGCCGGAATTCTCAACTCATCATCATCATCATCATCAACAACTTCATCATCCGGCACTTCAACACCATCAAAGCTCAACCCTCATGCTGCGCACCCCGACCGCCGCGTAAGCGTAGCCTCTATCTCCAAGCCCGACTTCTCGCCCGTGACCGCCGCCGACTTCGCCGTGCAAGCGCTCCTCACCGCCGCCATCCGCTCGCACTTTCCTCACGACGGGTTCATCGGTGAAGAGGACGCCGACGCTTTGCGCGAGGATCCGGTTCTGGCGAGGCAGGTTTTTGAGTTGGTTCAGTCATGCGCTTCTTCACAAGATGAACTTGACAGTGATGAAGCACTACTGGCGCTCCCCAAAACGGTTTCTGAGATGCTATCCCTCATCGACCTCGGCGGGCGGGGACAAGGCTCGCCCACGTCTCGATTTTGGGCCATGGATCCCATCGACGGCACGGCGGCGTTCATGCGCGGACAGCAATATGCTGTTTCGCTGTGCCTGATCGAAGGCGGGAAGGAGGTAGTTGGGGTATTGGGTTGTCCCAATTTAGCTATCACTCTGCCGCCTTCTTCTTCTTCCACGACGTCCAACTCCAAATCCATACCCAACACAAACACGTACATAATCTCCGAGGGCTCAACACCTTCTTCTTCTTTAGACCAAACAGACCGAACCGAACCTGGGCAAGCAACAACAACAACAAACGGCATCCTCCTCAGCGCCGTGCGCTCCCAAGGCGCCACTATCCGCCCCATCATCTCCTCCCAAAACCAATCCCCCTCACAGCTCCTCCCACCAACGCCCCTAGCCAAACCATCCTCCCAACGGCCCATAGAAACCGAGAAACTGCACTTCATAGACTCCCTAACCACGCCCGCTACTTCCTCCTCCCTCGTCGCGCGCGTCGCCACCTTGGCGGGCGTGCCAAATTACTCCTTCCCCGGCACCGAGCTGTACTCGTCGCACATGCGCTACGTGGCCATGATCTTGGGAGGCAGATCGCACGTGCAGGTGCGGATCCCCAAGCCGATGACCAAGCAGACGTATATCTGGGATCACGCGGGGGCGCAGCTGATTTACGTTGAGGCGACTGGTGGAAAGGGGAAGGTGACGGATTTGTGGGGACGGCAGATTGATTATGGACGGGGAAGGGTTCTAAATGGGAATTGGGGGGTGGTTACGGCGGATGAGGAGGTGCACTCGAGGTTGTTAGAGATTGTGGGTGGGATTATCGGGTGATGGTGGGTTATGCTTAGATTTGGAGTTTGCGGTGTGGATGGAAGTGCATTTTACTCGTTTTCATTGGAGGAAATTATGATGATGATGATGATGATGATGATGATGATGATGATGATGATGATGATGATGATGATGATGGGCGGCGCGAATACCCTGGGTGGTGCGATGGGGATAGACGGCGACGGCAGCGATGCCTGGGAATGGTCACGTCTTGAGTTAACGAATGCATATTATGGCTACTATTATCTATACCATTGAACCGATAAATTATTGCGAGCGCCTCCGAGTCCACAGTTGTGACAGGCTACCACTGCTAAACTTCCCAGATGCCCACGTCCCAGGAGGTCCCTTTTCGGTTCTTGCCTCCCGGTGCTCATGGATAGGCAACTCTGAACTCTCACTGTATTGCAGGTCTCGCTCCCTTAGTTTCTCCAACATGAAGTTCCGCAACGTGTGGGCTGATGCTTCCGTCAACTGATGGGTAGATGCCACTGGCTTCCGTAGTCCACCCATGGCCATGAATGACCGCCATCCGCCGAAGATGAGGGTCCGAGCCCGAGTACTGAAAGCAAGCGCAAGCGACAGAATCGTTATGCCAAGTGAGGGGAAAACTGTTACAATGTCAGCAAGATCAATAGACATCATGGGACTGAGAATCACTTACGCATGAGCAACAGCTGATGGCCAATCCCCATATGTCCATCGTTTAGTTCCCGTGCGTTCATACCGAACATGGTCGCGAAGAATGATAGTGGTAGAAAGAAGATAGTCACAACAGTGAAGACTACTATAGACCTCCCTTGAAGGACGCTCTCGTCTGCTCGTCGAATACCCGCTTTCGCTTCAATGATTCCCGATTGCTGTTGCTTCATGTCAAGCAATTCCCGGATCTGCGTTCGTGTTTTTGCTTGTCTCTTCTCAAGGTCGGCTAGTTCATCGCGATTGGCCTTCATGTCAGCTATTAGGGAGCCGGCACGCTCAAGGGTAGATTGCAGGTCAACCGGGTGCGAGTTGAAATACCCTGAGCTCAATCCGCGTAGTACCTTCTCAAAGTCCGTCATAATGGTGATCTGCTGTGTAAATATCTCTTGCATGATTTGTAGCTGGTCAATGACATTCTGGGCTTCCATCAAGACGGACCACTCGTATTTGATGTTGAGAGACTTGCGGAGCAGTTCTTCGGAGGTTTGGAGCGGATCCTCAGTGTTCATCCTCTTGACGTCACGGCCGAACCGCTCGTACGACTCCGTCTTCTTTTCAGCCTAGGGTGCTGTGTGTTAGCAAATCCATCGTATTCAGACACAGGGGCTACTGAACAAACAATTTTAGATATGGCGGAGCCAAATATGTCGACTACCTCCGGCCGAAGATCTGGTTTGGTCCGGTCGAAGATGACTTTGGAGCATTCGTCAATGATGACAAGAGCCAGATCATAGATCGAATTGATCTGGCGCTCGTCGACAGATGCCATGTAGTCTCGGATTGCTCGATGGACCGCGGAGGGATCGGGCTTGTTGCGGCCCCATCTTCGAGGGAATGCAGTGACGATGGTGTCTGTTCCCCACGGTGTTAGTTTCGGGTCACATTCGATGCACATGGACACTTACTCTCGTCTAGGATCCACATCCACAGCTGGTCCACCATTACTACCCTGGGTATAGACTCCAAATCGTTCTTCATCCAAGTTCCACGATAAACCACTTGCTGTCGGTCTCTCTTGGTGGTATCTTCTGCAGTCCAACTGCTGTATTGCTCAAGCGTGCGTCTCGGGTGAAGGGAGGATTCGCCATAGAGGTGGTCATTGATGAGCCTCCAGTCGGCGGCCTCGTCGATGAGTTGAAAGAGCTTAGCCGCATGCCACAGGTACGTCCCTAGTCGGCTGCTGGGCCGCCAGGAAGGAGCATCATCCACGCTTTTGTCGCTGATGAATGTGTCGTCAGGTATACTGTCCTGTCTACGGACACGTGCCGTAATGACCTTATCAACAACACTGCCCCATGTACCTCTACGCTTGTTTTGGCGCTCCATGTAGTAGGTTTCTTCCTTCTGCTGACGCGTCTTGCGCATGACGTTCGTCATCCTCGTAAGCCGTTTCTCAATTTCCCAATGTAAATACGGCATAAACAGTACCACGTCGTTTGTGTTAGGGGGAGCCATTGGCAAACCCAACGTGGGGTGTATTCGTGGCGCACATGGGGCGGATGGGACGACTGCACATCGCGGTCGTATTTGACGGGCATGAGGTGGAAGATGGGTACCGATGCCGCCACGCTCTTGTCCATGCCAAAGTTCGCGCTTCAACAGCTTCTCAGTGTTTGACAGGCGATTCGTTGGTTTCGCCACTCCTCTCTCGCGTAAGAATGTGCTGCGTTGACGGTCCAATCCTGAGGCCTCGCCGTAGTACCTTGCAATGGCATCCTCAACCCACTTCATGTTGTTCGCCTGGAGATGAAAGTAGCGTAACTGGTTCTTATCCTCTGAGCGCTTGAGCGGGGTGTTGGCTCTGTCGTAGAGAAGCTTTTGTACAGAGATCTTTTGATGCGGGTATTGACCATGACAAAGTGGATGGTCAAGGGTCACTCCGCCTTGCCCCTTCTCGTATACAATCAGCCAGCCATTGTAGCCATAGTTGGACTCGCGTGGATTGTCATCGATACTATCGTCGGGAGCGTCCAGTCCGTCGATGTAGCTTTCTGGGTCCAAGTCTTTCCTTTGCTTTTCCTGACCTGGTTGTGTTGACCATTGCTGAACCTGAAGCAGCAGAGAACGGTTCCGGTGGAGATGGGGTTTGCGGTAGCAGTCTGGCTGTGCTAGTTCCTTGTCGCATTTTGCTAGTTCCTCCTTGCATTTCTGTGTTGCCCGTTGCTTCCAACGCCTGCGTGAATCATCGAGTAAAACAACCAAGGGAGCGCTGTTGGGTTTGGGAAACAGGCGTTGTGTCTCGAAGTATTCCCTCAAGTAGCGGATACGGCGGAGTTCCTTCCGTACCAGCTCTTTCTCGGTTGCCGAAAAGCCTTCGTACAAAGCTTTCCTCTGTGAAAACCTCGCGGACAAGAAGGAAGCCCAAGCATCAGCGGGAGGAAGAGGGTCAACGTATTGATCGTAACGAGGAACTTGGTGATCCATCTGCTTCGGAGACCGTGAGATGGATGTTGGAGATAGCCAGGTGGAGGAGTTCTTTTGTAGTTGCAGCGGGTTGTTGGCTTCTTGTTGCCGGATGCTACAGTGGCATGTTACGCTGTGTTGCTTCGGAGGTTTAGGACTAGGGAGCGGTGGTGGCGGTTGACGTCGGGCAATGTTGGGAGCAATGCTTGTAGGGACTCGCAATATGTTTATATAGCACCAGCTTCGGGCTGTGACATTGATGTGTCTTTGTGATGTTGCGCAAGTTGAGCTGCAGCGATAGTGGATTTGATGTAGAACGGAGATGTAACGATTGGATGTCCGGTGTTGTTTTGGCCGCAGGGGAGAAGGTTGTTGGTTTCCTGGTTCCTCATTCTTTTGTGCTACCGGCGCATTTGTGCCTTGCTTCCTTCCCAACTCTGTTGGTCTCGGTCAAGGTGCCTCGTTTCCTTAGGTTGGATGTCTGTCCTTGCCGCAACAGAAGGCGCCGATTAGCATGTGCACTTATCTTGCAGTCTCGCAACCTATCATTCGAAAACGTACCGTGGCCTTGAATTTGCGTTGGGAATACTAGCAACATGGGGGCATAAAAGCCTGGTTACTGGACATGGCTCGCCGGGGCAAAAGCTGATGCCCAACTACCGTAGATAGTAATCATGTATGTCTGCTTTGGGGAAAAGAATGCATGGTGATCACTAGTGGAAGGAAGAGAAGCAGCCTGGACGAGTGGGTGAGGGGTTCTGCCCTTGTCGAACTAATCCAATTGGAAAAGATTTGGGGCGACTTCTCGGAATCGTGCGATTGCTGAATGCACTTTCCATCGTTGCTGATGTTAGGTCGCAGCTTCCGTGTGTGACGTGTCTTGCATCCAGAGCAGATGCGAGCTGAAATGCAACGACATCTGGGACATGTACCTGCTGTTAGTAATTCGCAGTATTCCAGCGGCTCCCACTAACACTTACACCAGCGGAGCTATGCACCTTGGTGGTTGTGGCACTAGGGGCGCTTTCCCGAGACGAGTGCTCCTTCTTACTCTTCACCAGGACAATTTTCCTATCGGTAGGTATGTAAACTCGAAGCAGTTTCCTCCCGACGTTGATTCCTTCTGTTGTTAAGATGTCTTCTTGATAACCTAGAGGTAGCTCAAGGAGTCTGAACTCGAGCAGTCTCGGTCACGGCTGTCTCAGCTGTCCCTCTTGTCCGTGACTGTCTCAGTCGGACAGTCCCGCTTCACCATGCAGCCACTTTAATTCAGCGTACCTCTACGGAAAGCGGCAGGCACCCGATGCCGTTGCAGAAACATTCATGTGCGAGCTTTCAACCCAACACCACCAAAATCCCAGACCGACTGTCGGAGATAGAAACATCGCCAAGTTCGAGAACCAGCACAGCAAAAGTCAAGACCATCGGCTATCAGCCACAAAAATGGCATGTCCGCAACCATCTACCGCCATGTTGTGCCCTTGCAGCTCAGGGTGACCCGACAGCTTTGTCTGATACGTCGCGATGGTTGAGGTCAGGCAAACAAACATACTGATTTTCGACAATGACAAGAGAACAATGTCAACCACGGGCCCAGCCGAGTCTGGCACGGCGACAATCAAGCTCCAGCAGCACCTGTCCTGGGCAACAAAAACCATCCGAACTCTGCGCGTGCAACTTCCTGAAATTCTGCTGGTTCCAGTCCCAACTTGCCAGGCCTGAAGCTGCCACTTTTAGCTATCACATCGATCATCGCAATGCCCTCCACCATGGCAGACACGGTAGCTGAGATCGAGAGCTTCCTCGACATCGGAATCGCTGCCATCAAGGGCCTCATCCCCATGATCTGGGTCCAAAGCAAAACCTCGCCAGTCCAGTTCCTCGTCGGCGGCATAATCGTTCTCCTGTCCTACTTGTTCCTGACCATCTCACCACCCCACGATCCGTTCGAGCCACCCATCATCAAGCCCAAATTTCCAGTAATCGGCCACCTCTTTGGTCTGATGAACCACCAAGTCAACTACTTCAGCGAGCTCTTTACCCGAAGCCATCTGCCCATTGCAACCCTACCCATCGGTAACCAGAAGCTCTACGTTATCTTCGATGCGCCCCTCCAGCAGGCCGCTCTTAAGTCCAAGGACATGGATGCGCAATCCTTCATGGTTGACTTCGTCCCCCGCATTTTTGGTGTCAAGCAAGGCACGGTGGACAAGCTCTTGGGGAAGGATGGCGTGCACCCGAACATCATGGGCGACATGGAACATGTCTTCAAGTCCGCGCTTTCGGGAGACAATCTCCAGAAGTTGGCCAGCACCACACTTGCGACCATGGCTGATACCCTGAACGATGTCGATACCAAGAAGGGCACCAAGATTCCCAACATGTTCCTCTGGCTTCAGTCGCTTCTTAGCAGATCCACGTCAAAGGCTCTATGGGGAGAGAAGCACAACCCATTCAAAGACGACGGAGTCATTGACGCCCAGTGGTACGTTACCTCTCCCTTACTTTTCCCTTCCCCATACTTCCACCAAGCTAACCACCACCAAATCATCACAGGGACTTCGAATCCCACATGGGCCCTCTCGTTTTGGGCTTCTTGCCGTCCATCATTGCCCGCCGCGCCTACCTCGCCCGCAACAAAGTCCAATCCGCACTGCTCCCCTACTTCAGCGCGCGCCACTATGAAACCGACCCGTCCACCTCCTACTTCATCCGCGCCCGCACCCGTCTCCTAAAGAAGTACAATCTTCCCGACGACGAACTGGCCAAGAACGAAGTAGCGATCACCCTCGTAGCCACTACCAATGTCTTGTCCACCTTATTCTGGTGCATCGCCGAGATCTGGACCCGCCCTGATCTCCTACAACAAATCCGCGCCGAAGCTTTGCTGGCCGTCTTTGGTGATAGCCAAAAGGCTCTTTCGGGTGATGACATGGGAACAAGGACCATCACCATTCCCGCCGCCGGTCTTGATGTCAAGTGTCCCCTTCTCGCCTCCTGTTTCCGAGAATCGATCCGGCTGGCATCGCAGATTGTTACAGCCCGTCGCGTGCTCAAGGACACGATGCTTACCGATCCCGTCTCGGGAAATTCCTACCTACTCAAGGCTGACACCAATGTCATGATGCCCGTCAAGGTAGTCCACCGGAACACGGCTGTCTGGGGCGGTGATGCTGAGGGATTCAATCCCCGTCGCTTCATGTGGGAGGAGCTTGGTACAAAGGTGGAGAGACAGAGGAAGGCGGCGTTTGTTCCCTTTGGTGGCGGGAAGCACATGTGTCCAGGAAGACACTTTGCGTTTACGGAGAATTTGGCATTGATGGCGGCGCTGGCGATTGGGTTTGAAATTGAGGGGTTGGATAAGAGCGAGCTGAAGATGGGTGATTCGAAGAGGGGAGAGACAGCGAAACCGTTGCCCGGGTTGGAGGGTGGACAGGTGGTGTTGAAGAAGAGGAAGGGATGGGAGGGGCTTAAGTGGGAGTTTAGTTGCTAGTTGACCATGAGATGTGTCTCCTTTCTTGTCTCTTCTCTTGTCTTCAATGTAGGACTATGGTAGAAAGAGATGCACGGTACGCACTCCCTTTTGGAGAGTTACTACCACTTGTCTATTGCAAGGCGTGTCTTCTTTCATCTTCTCTAGGAAGTTGCTTCATTCTCCCTCTACCAGGTGACAGACGCAGCCATAGCTTTCAATATCCAACTCCAAACGCCAGCCCCCCTTTGATAGCCACCACACTCCTCAATCCATTCCCTCACCTCCTCTATCCATTCCCTCACCTCCTCTCCACCCTAACCCAAAAATCCTTCACGAACCACATCAACGCATTCTCAACTTTACACGGCCTCCTCGGATTCAACACGTTAAAGTCATACCTCCTCACCAACTCCGCCACAACCTTATTCATCTGCATCATCGCCAGCTTCTTTCCCACGCACTCAAACTGGCCATGACCAAACATTAATCCCAGCGTGATCTCCATATCTCTTAGCCTTCTTCCCGCCTCACCCAGCAGTTCATTCTTTTCAGGGACATTAGTTCTAGCGGCCGATTCGTCTTCAAGTCTAGCAGCAGCTTCTTCTTCCGCTTCCAACCACCTCTCAGGCCTAAACACATCCGCATCCAACCCAAATACTTGCTTAGAGCGACACATGGCGTAGATAGCCGCTCCCGTGGCTACTTTTGTCCCTGGAGGTAGAGAATACCCGGCGATGGTATCCCCTTCCCCTCCATTATGTCCATGTCCATGTCCAAGTGGAACGTCTTTGTAAAACCCCCCTGTTACTACGGGGGGTAAGATGCGCAGGGATTCTTTGAGGACAGCTTGTAAGTAGGGCAGTTGCAAGCAAGTGGAGTATGAAATCGGTCTTTCCTGTCCTGGGGTGGGAGGACACGTTTTATGGGAAAGGAAAGGATAGGCGGCGTCCAGCTCGGCTTGTAAACGCCGGTAGACTTGGGGAGAGGAGAATAAGTGGAGGAGACACAGGCGGATGCCATTGGCGACGGTGTCGGAGCCGGCGAAGAGCTGGACGGTGACTTCTTCTTGGAGCTCGGGGCGGGTGAGACCGTGGGAGATGAAGGATTGGAGCATGTCTTGCGGTACTGGTATCTTTTCGGGAGAGGAGGACTTTTCCAAGGAGGAGGAGGAGGAGGAGTGGAAGAAGTTAAAGCGGCGGTCGATAATGGATGTTGTATGTCTTTTATGGGTTACTTAGTTAGCCGACTATTTGCAAAAGACAGAAAGAAACCCATAAGAATGGGGACGGACTGGACGATAACATACCCCATGATAGCACCCAACCCAGCTTTATCCCCCGCCCTTGGAAGCAACATGCTAAACGGCCACTTGCGCAACACCCTAAAAAAGAAGTGGTGGTTGTTGAGGAGGTACATCCACGGAAATGTGGCCTCGTTGATCTTGAGCACGTCGTTCATATCCTTGTCGTTGGCGATGTAGCCCAGAGACTGGCTGTATGCGATCTCGCCCAGCGAATCGAGGGCGTAGAAGTGCACGGATTGGGCAATGTCTAGCGGCTGGAAGATGGGGCCTGAGCCTAAGTATTTCCGGTCGATGAGTTCCGTCCAGGCGGCGATGGTGCGGTTGAGGCCGGTTTCGATGTTGAAGATGTGGGAACCGGCACCTTTGCCGTTGTACTTGGAACGGGGGTGTTAGTAGTCGGGTGTCGCCTTTGGTAAGGTACAGTAGTTGTTGAGATGTGAAACAGCTTACGGCAGGCGCAACCTTCTTCCTTCTTTCCCTCCTCCGCTCCTTATCCGTCATGGACAGCAGATTATCATCATCGCCCATCCGAGCCAGATCATACCAGTCACTTTTGCGGTAGTCGGACCGGACAGAGGTGATTCGGAGTATGGACTCAAGGTCGGTGCAGAGGACTTGGTCAGGGCCAAATCGGACAAGTGGTCCATACTTCTCTGCTAGATCTTTCCAAAGCTCATGGACGTCACCTTTGATGAACTGTCCGGTCATCCAGAGGGATGTCCAACCTGCCAATCTGGGTCCGGGAACATGTCGAAGACGCCGCCATCTTTGGAACCTTTGTATACCGTTTCGGAGGCAGAGGACTAACAAGACGGCAAGAGATAGCGTGGTGAGCGTTGATAACGCCATCCTGCTTGTCTGTATGTGATGTCAAAGGGAAGGCCGTCGAAAGAGCAGAGCCAGGAGGACTCCCGTCCAAGATATATAGAAGTCCAAACCTCCACGTAGAGACGAGACGTCCTCCTTCGTCGTCTTTTGGGGGCCCAACGGTTCCTAAATATGTCACCGCCAAACAACTCCTCCGTTACCCCTGGACGCCACCCTCAACAGGGGAAGAGCACACTCTAGTTCGTATCATTTTTGAAGCGCCGTACCCGATCGCATCGCATCTGCCTCGAACTATAATGTTAGCTTCGACGGCACGGCCGCCAGCCTACGGGAGCAGTAGGGATTGAGTAAAGTATGGGTTTCTATGCTTTTTCCCCATAGTTAGTGTCCTTGGCCACCTTCAAAGAAAGGAGCAGCGTCGTATGCGTAGAAATTGTCCAAGGTTAGCGCGTGATAGAACCCTTAGATGAGTTCTTCCCGTGCATCCCGCAACGCCGCACCTGGAGTTTCTTCGCCATCAATGGTGGTTCGTGGTCTGGGGGCCAGGGGAAATATGCATCATATGATGATATGGCGTCCTCAATTATCAGCCTCCATTCCCTTCAGGTCCTATATTCAAACACCAATGAAAAATTCTTTGACTGTCCTTAATGCTGGTGCTCTGCGACAGGCATGCCGTTTGTCGATCATAAACACGAGCCAGTTGCCCTGACTGTGACAGCTGCCTGGCCCAGTCTAAATTTAAGGGAGACAGAATATCTTGGAACTCGGCGCTGGCCAAACAAAGGCGCGAATCGGGCGGGTGAGCCTCTCTTTGGGGAGATGGCGTTGGTCTCGACCGCCGGGTTGAAATGAGATCGCGCATTTATCCAAAAGCACTTGATCGACGGCAATCAGCAATTGCACCGGTTCTGGATTAGAGGGATCCGACAGGGCAATGGAAATCACTGTGGCATGGCAAACATGTAAATCATACGAGAATGGCTTCTTCTTCTCCATGGTGCAACCCATGGGCAGCAAGCACAGTGAAAAAAGAATGTATCCGAAATGGATGATGGATTGACATCAAAAATTACGGCCGGAACGGCCCCGAAGGACAATTCATAGCGGCTGGCACCACGATGTGCAATGCAGGCCTTCCGCTATACTACGCGGTGTTCTTGATCTCCACGCAATCGACCAAGGTAAGTATGAAGAAAAAAAAGAGGAAAGAAAATTCTAGAGGAAAGAAAATTCTAAGAATCGGGGGATGTGGTAGATATTAAATACCCTTGGAGTGGTGGTTCGTGCACGTGTGCAATTCCTCTTCTGGCTCCACCCAGAATTCCGAAGTGGCTCGTGCATCTTGTCGGGTCTTGTGGGTAAATGCTGGCAGGTGTCGACCAGGCGGCATCCTTGTTCTCGACTTCCTCTTTCGACATCGACATTGACATCGTCAACTCAACACCAGCTTGGTGACCGACTACTCGCATTCATCGTCAGAACTCCCAAACTCCCATCCTCTCGAAGTACCAAATTCAAAATACAAGTGCATCATTCTTCCATCTTGTTCAAGTAATAAGCCGCATCTCTTCCCAATCTCCCTCTAGTCATTCGTCTGTCGCTTTCCACTCTCGACTTCCGTCCTCCGACATTGACATTGACATGATCGTCAACTCCAAGATGACGGCCGATCGAACTGTCACTTTAAGAATGCCTTCATCTCATCCAGGCTATCAATACCATCCCTTTCTTTGTCACTGCAGTTGTCTCTCGCATCTCGCAATCCTTCAAGCGGCAGTTCCCGTCCGCCAAGCACGAAGGCAGTCAACAACCACTCGCCGCCGTGATCCTGTTTCCTTCACCCTCACTCAAGCTTGCAACGCGAGATAATGTATGATGCCACTGGTCGAGATTGAATTTGACAGCAGGAACACACACCACTGCATGCCCAGTCACGGAAAGAACACAACATTCTTACCCTCTAACCTCCTACCATGCATCAACACAATCTCTTGCCCCTATCACCAAGTAAACACAGAGCTCCTCTGGTGTTCCGGCCCTTCATCCTGAAGTCATCATGGCAGCTGCCTGTGTCATCTTCCTGTGAGCCTTTGATCTGTCACTTCCCCTTAGCCGGCCAAGCAACGACATCCTCCGGTACTCTCTTTCCAGGCTTTGCCCGCCCAGCCGAGACGTCGACTGAAAGCCCTATCTCTTGTTCGTAAACGATAAACGACGAAACAAATGTCGCCGCCGCCCCCAATGGATCTACAGGCACCGCCGGTTCTACGACTCCAAGTCCCGCCGTTTGGGTTTCCGATCAATATCCAGTCACCTACCTCGAATTCACCCACCTGGCTATTCGAGGCTATCATCCCGCAACCTCCACCAGCCGATGACCATCCAAGCCGGCGAGGGACAGAAGTTGGTGATGAAGAGCGCAAGGAGCTCGTCATTTTTTGGTTCTCCCGCTCATTAGCGTGTGACTGATTGATATGAATTTCTGAATAGCGAACTATTTGGGGTATAACAGCCTGACAATAGAGAACAAAGCAAGCAACAGCACATCTACTACACCACCATCCGCGGCGTCGTTCCTCGAAAGAATGTGACGCAAATTCTCACCCTAGTACCGTTCCTCCCAGGCCTTGACGTCAGTCTCTCCATCCCTCCTCCATTACCTCTCACTCCTTTTATGTTTTAGAACCGACACCTAACTCCTTCAAACCGAATCCGCAGCATGCATTTAACCACTATAACCCCAGCGAGGAGCATTGATGATGATACCCATCAAGCATCCCGAAATGATGCCGGTCACAGGCAAAGTGATGAACCAGCCCATGTAGATCCACGCCACAAGGCGCCAGTTGATGGTCCTCCACGTACCCGAGCAAAGACCAACACCGACAGTAGCGCCAGTGATGCACTGGGTAGTCGAAACAGGGAGCTCTGTAAGTTGTCTTGGTTAGCCTTGGAACCCATCTCATCACTGCCAGTTGTCAGAAAGGAAGGGAAAGGGATACTCACTCAACCTAGTAGCCAAAATGACCGTCACCGCACTGCCCAACTCCATCGAGAAACCTCTGCTGGGACTTTGCAATGTGATGCGGTTTCCCAAGTTCCTCATGATATTATACCCATACGTCCACAAGCCAATGATCAAACAAGAAGCGCCAAACACCAAAATCCAAACGGGCACATCGGCCTTGCCCTTGGCCGGCAGCGCGCCGTCCTTCCAGATCTGGAAAACGGTCGCGTACGGACCGATGGCGTTGGCGATGTCGTTGGCGCCGTGCGTGAAACTGGCCGCGGCAGCAGTCATGATCTGCAGAAAGGAGTACATGTACTCGGTCTTGTTGTCGTAGTGGACCGCGTGCGCGTGCAGCTCCTCGACGTCGGACGAGATAACGGATTTGCCTCCGGACTGGGAGGAGATGACGTCCTGGTCGACGCCGCGAAACAAAGCCCACTTGACGTACCAGAAGAGAACGGGGCCCGAGTGCCAGGGACCAGCGGGGCGGGGACCGACTATGGTTTTGACTGGGGGAGCGGCCGGCTGGGCGGGCTCGTTGTGGTCGTGCGAAGAGGAGGAGGAGTCCTTGGTGATGGTGGCGCCCTCGGGCTGAACCTTCTCGCCGTCGGTGGTGGGAGCGGCGGTGGATGAGGTGACGGCGCCAGCGGCCATTTCCGAGTCACCGGTTTGAGCGGCACGGCGAGCGGCAAGTTGCTCTTTGGTCAGGCGGCCGGCGTAGAAATCCTGGACGACACCGGAGCCGTCGGCAGGCGGGGGTGGGACCTCTCCGCGACGGAGAAGGAGGGGGCCGAGAGGGATGTGCCAGAAGCGAAGCTGCCAATCCTCGAGCATGACGACACGATAGAGCCAGGGCATCAGGAAGATGATAACCACGAGACCGAAGGCGGCGCCAACGCCGACAATGGTGCCGGCGATCTCGGGGCCGGACAATGTCACCTTGTAGCTGCCGCCCTTCCACAACAAAAGCATGCAGAGCAGCGAGGCGGTGATGCCGAAGTAGATGGGCACCATTACGAAGGCCTTGTAGACGGGATTTGAACGGGTGAGCGCGCTGTACTTGGTGACGAGGAAGATGATGGAGGCGAAGGCGCCGGAGAGGCCGGGGGCGATGACCCAGGCAAGGAAGACCGAGACCACGCCGTCATTGATGCCTTTGCCCACCCATTGGACGCCGTCGGCACCAACAGCCGCTACACCCATGCCGATGACGCCGCCCATGATGGAATGGGTCGTGGAGACGGGCAGGCCGATGCGGGTGGCCATGGTTAGATACAGAGAGGAGGCGACGACGGCGCAGACCATGCCGAGCATTAGCAGGGCCGGGTCGTCGCCGAATAAAGTGGTGTCGACGACTTTGGTGCGGATGGTGTCGGCCACACGGGCGCCCACGCCGACGGAACCGGCGAATTCCATGATGGAACCGATGATCATGGCCTGGAGGTAGGTGACGGAGCGGGAGGCGACCGACGTGGCCCATGAGTTGGCGACATCGTTGGCTCCTGTGAGAGGGAAAGGGTTGTTAGTGGGTATTGCCAAGGATTGGAGAAGGGGCAGGTTGTGTGAGTTGTTGACATACCAATGTTCCAAGCATCAAGGGCAGCAAAGATGGTGCCGATGGCAAGGAGGTAATCGAACTGATGAAGAACCATCTTGAACGATTTTGTTACTTCAACAAAAATGATGAAGAAAAAGTGGCAGTAGGTCGCGTGAGGAAGGCACGCGAGCGTCTCAAAGAGAGAAGCTCTTGTGCTTGCGCGGGTGTTGTTTTGCTTGGTGGGCGGCTTTCTGCTGAAGAGAAGACAGAGGATTGAACTCGGGATGGTTTCATGGTCCTATATGTAGGATATACAAGACGGCGCGGGATGGATTGGTCGTGCATAGAGCACTGCAAGAGGGTTGCAACAGGTACGTCCCGTCGACCAACTACGGAATGCGTGTGGGAGTTGGAGGTGATCCCCGACCATGGGTCGGACACACGTGTGTGGAATCTCAGGGTGTGAATGTTTCTTGGTGTTCGTCAGTCAACTTGCCAAGGGGCTAACTGATGCATATTTGTTCGCCCCACACACGGTGGCAGTGTGGCAGAGAGGTGGGATGGACGTGATGGTGTGAGGACGATGGTGGTGGTCGTGGTGATGGTCTCGCCGACATTTGTTCTGGGCATTGCCCGCCGTGGAGGAGGTGGAGGGATCTTCCTCTGTTTCGGCTCTGGGCGTGCTCGGCGCGTGGCGAGTGGATATCATGCCAGTAATCTTTGTCGAACGGAATCGTAATGACAAGACCATGAACTCTTGGGGAAGTGGAGTCCCGGGAACAGGGAATTCGAAGAGGAGGATTGGTCAGGTACCGTTATGTCGCCCAACAACATGACGATCAACGCCTCTGAGGAAAGCTGGATGTGACATTGCCCGTCAAGAGGCGTGGGATGGTGAACGTGCTTCGCTTCTGCAGCGAACATGGTTGCATAAAGACCCTTGAATCAGCGAGGGCTGAAGGCACGGGACCGTGATGTGAGAGATAGCTGGTGAAGGTTCTGGCTGGTGAGAGAGCTGGTCTGAGACCATGAGTCTATGGTTTGATCCTGGAGAGATATTAATCCGGGGCCTAGACAAGACCTTCCCATTTGGCGATTCTTATGGATGAAAAGGGATCAGGAAAGCGTGGGTGGTGATATTCCTTTGTCTACTTTTGGACGCTCGAAGGACTTCTTCACAAGCGTGCCAGCTGGCCTCCCCTTCTACTCTCTGAAGGCTTTGAGGGTAAGTGTCTAGACACGAAGGAAAGGATAACACTTTAAGGACAAAATGCTGGCCAGTCCATCAGGTATTTTGGCCTCAGCGTTGAGTTCTGATCGAGTGTCTTCCGCTTGCAAGTCACTAGACGAACCAAATCGAGCTCGATGCTCCGGTATAATGAACATCATCTGGCTGCCAGTGGAAAGATTCGCCATTCTCAAGCACTCTTCAAGCCCGATGTCGTCCGAGACAGGCGGTGATAACAACGAATCACCTCCTCCAACACAGAATATGACCATAATGGACGACCAAGGCGGGTGTCTCTCACCAGGAAGAACTACCCAGGAGGAAACGTCAAACGTCAAAACGAAAGAAGAATGTCTTGGCCGATGAAGCCAAGACAGCCAAGAGAGAAGAACCGAATGCTTATTTATCTTGGTGGATGGCCAGTGTTGCATCACCGTCGTGGAATTTTGAAGAATCATGGCTCTCTGTCGACGCACGTGGGACCATGACACGGACTTCCGTCGTCGGTGCGAGAAAGATGCCAAGAAGAAAAGCGCCAAGAGATGTGCATTGTTCAGTGCTGGATTTTGGAGGCGTTGTCCTGCCGCTCGGTTGGGGAAGTTGGGGGGTGTCCAGTCCACTGAAACGCCACGATCTTAGTGCCTGTTTCGGCGAATAGGAAGCCTGGAAGAGTCAACGTGGGTGGAGGCCTGAGCGGGAATTGGATGGAGTGGAAAGTCAAAGAGAACGACATGTCGTTCAGCCCCAGATGCAGAGCAGAGCAGAGTAGAGCACCAAGTTGAGAATGAGGTGGACAGGTGAGAAATCATGTCCTTCTTTATGGGGGTTTGAACTTGCTGTTTCTCTTTCTTCAATCTGAGGACTGTTTCATCTGTTTGTATACGTCCCTGCTAGCAAGCGTTCCCGAACGTTGGTGCTCGGGTCAGTGCGTGCACGGGATTCCGTCGAGTGGAAGAGGCGAAGGTTTGTGTCGTGTTGCATTGGATCTGATGCTCTGTGTCCACGGTGAATTTCCATTCAGTGGTGTCAAGAGATGAAAGAGAACAGCAGCTGATAGATAACTGTTCAGGAATTCCATGTGCTTCAGGCAACGACAACTTTGCCAGAGATGGAAGTCTCGGCTCTTGGCTTTGCTTCGGTCACTGTTGCTTCAAGCTTGCAAACAAAAACAGGGAAAGGTTCCAACTTCACGATGTTTTGAGGCTGCAAGAGCGTGCAAGATGGCTCCTTCCGTTGGTGAGTCCTCGGTGGTCTGTACCTGTCGATCGCTGCAGGTCATTCCTTCCCTTCCGCGGATGTCCGGATATTATCACCATGCAGATTCGTCAGATTTGAGAAATGCAAAGAGTAATGGAAGGAACTGCTCGTAGCGAGGTCCAGCGCCAAACTCTTGATGCCTCCTCTCAACTTCTCTTTTCATTTCAGATCCTATTCATTCCACCACACTTTCTCGTTTGCGCCCGTCCGCTACTCTTCATTACCTTTGCTTCTTGCTCTTCTTCTCTCTCTGATTCAAGTTGGTCATATATGAGACTTTCGGGGTCCATTTCACAACCAGAGAGTTAGCCCGGCGAGCGTGGAACGATACCGAATGCTCCTATTATACTCACGCTGTCAAGGTCCATACAGCTCGGCTCCAAGTTGGATGACATGGTCTCGGTTTGAGATCAAACCCGAGCCGTGGATATCTTATTCGCACATTTCGGTCAATCTCATAACAGTCAGCCGGACACCTCAATGCTCGAAAACTCCGAGCTGGTTGGTTAGAGTGTCCGGTGGGATCTAGCGGGACACCAGTCCCATCCGGGCCCGAGTGGGTCGTTGGCTCAGAAATCCCGGGAAGATGCGCTCCGGAAGCAGCGCATTCCAAGGTTTCAATGGGAAAGAACTTCAGGTCCTTGTTGTTCAATGGCAGCGTCAAGTCAACTCTGTCTCTAGTCGTTCTTGTCGACACTCGGTCAATCATGTCGAGCGTTCTCTAGTACCTTATCGGCGTCAACCCCCACAGAAGACAAGCAGTATGATGACAAGATACCGTCTCTTGACTGTTCGAAATCTCACCAACGTCATCCGACAACCGGTTTCACCTATTCACATGGCTTCACCTTTCATCGGCTCGACCAAGGTGCTGAGTCGTCGGATGCGGACCTGTCGCCGTCGATCACGGCCGGATTGGGGTAGGTCTGGCTTACCTGACGTTACATTCTTCCCCACGACCCGGTCCTTCTGCCGACCTCTCCTCTTTCTTCATCGTTCATCATGCTCCAAACTGAGCCTCGTTCAAAGTTCAGAACGAGAGCTCAATCAATATCAATGCTGCAGTGGGAGCTGATGGGCAAGGGGAGAACCGCAGAAGGCAAGTTTACCGGACTCACTAATGGCGACGATGTTATGTTGCATGTCCTAATCCAGGATTTAACCAGCCGGGACTTCACTCCGCTCCTCGGTACCAGCTCCGATCGCTGTTTATTACCCTCGGTTTAGGTTACACTCCCCCGGATCTTGTGCACATTCGAGGAAAGGCTCATTTCACAGTCAGATCATCATGAACAAAACGGGATTGGATCAGCTTCAATAGTGCTGGTTTTGGAAGCTTCCTCGTCGACGTTCCTGGGATCCGGAGATGCGAAGATGCACGATAGAGCGTGGGAGAAAATGAAAGGGGGAACATACAAATGCGGACTTGTACCACCATGGCGCAAGCCTCCCTTTCTCAGTTGCAATTCTCGCGGGCATCTTAAAGACTGAGCTGAGACCTCAGACAGTGCCTTTCTTTCTAAGAGTCCCTTCTCCTTTCAGCACAGTTCTCTCGGTCACCACAATGCTGTCTTCTCCACGGACCGGCCTTCTGGCGGCCGTCCTTCTCTCCCTGTCATCCCTCGTCTCTTCAGCTCCCACCACAGCCTCCTCCTCGTCGGACACATGTACGACTATCGCCTCCACCAGCACCATCGATGTCGCCAATCGTTTCGAACTCCCTTACACCCTCGAGCAATCCCACTACTGGTCGAGCTCCACCGTCGCCATCAAGCCCGCCTGCATCATCTTCCCCAAGTCCGCCGCTGAAGTCTCCGCCATCATCAAGGTGCTCACCCAGAATAATGAGACTTTTGCCATCAAGTCCGGTGGCCACTCGCCCAACAACTACTTCGCTAGCGTCTCTGGTGGTCCGCTGATCTCCACCTCCAAGATGGACCAAGTCCTGCTCGACCCGACCACGGGCATCGTCAACATCGGCCCCGGCAACAGACTAGACAAGATAGCAAAGAAGCTCGACGGTACTGGTTGGACATTCTCTGGAGGGCGTGTTGGCAATGTCGGCGTGGGCGGTTTGGTCCTGAACGGCGGGCTGTCCTACCTCTCTGCTCAATACGGCTTTGCCGCCTCGTCAGTGTTGGAGTACGAGATTGTCCTTGCCGACGGAACCATTACGACCGCCAGCGCGACCAGGAATCCGGATTTGTTCAAGGCGCTCAAGGGAGGTGGCAACAACTTCGGCGTTGTGACAGCATACATCACCCAAGCGTACAAGCAGGGCGACATTTGGGGTGGTAACGCTGTATTTTTGCGTTCCAAGGAGAACGATGCCAAGATGCTCAGGGCGGTTCGCGACTTCACCGAATACTGCGAGGACGACAAGGCGGCAGTGATCGTGACGGCCGAGCGAGCGGTCATTGGCGCTGTGGACTTGTGGATCCTTTTCCTGTTCTACGACGGACCGGAGCCGCCCAAGGAGGTGTTCAAGAACTTTACGGACATCGGCGCGGTGCTAAACACAGCGCGCAAGCGCAGCTTTTCCGACATGATGGCTTGGAGCAACTGGGTGGTGCTTCCGGGCGTGAACGTGCTAGGCGGCACGGAGACGATCCCGCTACCGAGTGCCGGCAATGCCGAGACAGTATTGGGCAACATCCATGAGCACTGGCGAGATATCACGACAGCCAATTTGGGCGTGGGCAGTTTCGTGGCATCGATTGCGTATCAGCCCGTCCCAAAGCGGATCGTGCAGAAGGCTAGGGAGAGGAGTCCCGATCTGATTGATATGGATGACTCTGTTGATCGGCTGATCATGGAGGTCAACTTTATGTTCCTTCTGCCGTCGGACTACGAGAAGATGCAGGGAGTTATGGAGGAAACGTATTCGGGCATCAGGGAGAAAATCGTTGGGTGGCAGAAGGATGGAACGCTTGCGGATGCGTACGTGCCTATCTTGATGAGCTATGGAAACTCGCAGCAGGATTACTTTGCGAGGTTGAAGCCTGAGAGTCGGGCGTTGGCGAAGTCGGTGGCGAGTAAGGTTGATCCGAAGGGCCTATTTCGGGATCGGACGGGAGGGTGGAAGCCGTGAAGAGATGAGAAAGGGTGTGTATGGTATGTTGATCTTGGTAATGCGTTGTGCTCAGTTTGTACCGAGCGCTTCAAGCCCGTTTGAGCAGTCTTCAGTTGAGATCCTCTCCCTCGACGACCGCAAGCGCAAACCTTGGACCCCGGAGGAAGTCAAGTTCCGGACACTGGGCCGGATCCGCGTAAAAGCTTCCCCCTAGCTGCTCAATCATGCGAGACTGAGTTTCCATATCGACATTGGTCTCGTTCCGTAGCCTCTCCATGCCGCCCACCTCGTCCAGCCCTCGCCAATCCAGCTTCAGAACCCAAACCCCCACCCCAGACTTGGGCCATCCAAACAACATAACCCCACTGCGCCCATAATCTTGTCGATCGCACATATTATGAGGCTCACCTCTCCACAAGATCATAGCACCATACGGTTCCATATCAAAGTACCCATCGAACTCTGGCGCCCCCAACAGTCGCATCCGCTCACATAATTGATCCTCATCCTCGCGATCCTTCATCGACCGTAACACGTCCTCCTTCACTTTCCCCAAGCCCAAGAACTCCATCTCCGCCTTACCGGCACACAGCGCATAGATAACCGGCCCTGGTCTTCCCCTCTCTACATTTGGGAAACACAAGATCTTGGCCACAGCGCACGATTGATCCTGCAAGAACCGGACACGTTTGTTTAGGTTGATCCAATTTTGGTCGGGTATGGGCTCGATATCGCCGACACACGACCCCAACATTTCGGGGACGGGACCCCATGCTGGATCAAGACCGCGGGAGCGGTAGAGTTCTTCGTCGAGGGCGGGGGAGATGGCCGGGGGTGGGGAATGGAAGATATTGTCGGTGGAATATCTGTGGAGGAGGTAGTTATCGGTGACGCCGCGTTGCCAATGCTCCTCTGTGAGGTCCTCGTCGTCAAACTAGTATTGTGCCGATGAGGGGAGGACCAGCCAGAGGCAAGGGAGGAGCAGGAGGGCTCGTCGCATAGTTGGTGGTGTCCGGGGGAATGCTGCTAGATTGGTGAATAAAAATGTGTAAACCGCACAGGAAGAGAACGGTACACTTTCAACGCCGCTAGTGACGGAATTTTTCTCTTTCAAATACTTTTTTCTCTATTAGCAACCCCGATAACTGGACACGTGGCCTTCTTGGACAATTAGGCACCAGCGGAGTTAGAATGTGTTAGCGTAGAAGGAACATGAAGCATCGAGTGATCTCAAAATCATCTGTCGGGAATCGGGGTTGTTGAAGCCTGTAATGTAAAGAAAAGGGAGTGACATTATGACAACATCGCAAAGATGGTGACCACAGTGATGGTGTGGTGGTTGATCTGGGTTGCTTGCTTCATTATCAATTGTTTTTTTTTTTGTTATTTTGTGCAAAAAATGGAATTTGGCATTAGCACATGCAGATTTCCACATTTATACGGTTGACACACATGGGAGCAACCCTATTTGTGACCCAACAAAGGGGAAAAAGCCAAACACCGATGGGTTCGCAAGCAGAAGACTGGCAAAAAAAGAAAGAAGGGCGATCGACTCCGCGATATTGAAGCAAGAGTGGAAGAGACGACCTTAAAAAAAGTGAAAAATAATGGGGCCACCCGGGGATGAACCCGGGACCTCTCGCAAGAATGCTCAGGATTGAACCTAAGCGAGAATCATACCACTAGACAGCGGCCCGTTGATTGGTTGTTAGATTGGTTGTTATAAGATGTATCAAACCTTTTAGTTATCAGTACCCAGTAACCTTTTAGAAAGCATTGAGACCAGACCATGCAGCGAGATGAGTGTGAGATGCACGCACAAATCATGTGTACAGTCAACGAGATTTTTTTTTCAATTCCCTATTGACTTGGCAAAACAAGATACCGCGATAAGCGACAGAACCTTGTGTCCCGAGTAGCTTTGCCGCGGTACGTACACGCCGAAATCTGACATGTCCACACATGTCCACATATGCCATCCGGCTGGTCTCACACCGCTTCACTAGTGTATGTACCGAATCATCGCGCTCTGCCACTGCCCAGCACACAAGACCCCTTCTCATATCCAAAACTGGGGGCTTGTCAATATCTGTATGGTCAGCATCTGAACCGGCAACAGACCCCGCCCGATCTAAGCGCCCTTGTGCTTTTGAGATCTGTCAGCAGCTCATGCTTTTTGACGCACCAGCACATGAACAAAATTCACGCATGGGTTGAAGGGTTGATGGGTTGAAGTCAGAAACCACCGACCGGTTCACCGGCTTCCCGGACTTTATTTGGAGGCATGCATCTCTTTAACCGTGTAGTGCGCCCTTTTTTTCCCGACCCATAAAAACATTTGAGGATGCCTGCGCTTAACAGGAGGTTCCAGTTTTGGGGCACCTTAGCACTTTGCTGAGATATCAGAAAGGTAGCCTGAAGTCGCCAAAGGGTTGCATTTTGGTGTCTACAATACCTCATTGGTTTCAGGTCCCTGTCGGGAAAAAAATGGCGCATTACACGGTTAAAGAGATGGCATTCGATGGAAACCCGGTGTTGGTGGATTACAAGGGAGGGAGGTCGCGCTTATGAGCCATGTAGCCATGTCGGCGTCTTCTGGAAGTCTTCGGAGTCTTCGGAGTCCAACCCAAGGCGTTTGAAAGAATGGCAATCAAAGAAAGGTCTCTATAATCCCTCGAGACGAGATGCATTCAACCAAGCCCGTGCCCAATCAATGGGTACGATTCGGCACATGATGTTTATTGTTGATAAACTGTTGAGCCGCTGATAGAGATGTCTTCTTCTTTGGGGGTTCACCCCAAGATTTAATTTCTCCAAGCAGCTACACAACTCTTCTCCCTACCTGAAGTCTATGCATGATGCCTAGGCTTCCATCCCGGCCCCGTGCCAAAGAGCATGAACGCGCTAGGTCATCTCAACAGGTCAATACAGTACCAGAAACACTAGCCCTGCATTGAGTGCGCTTGTTGGAAGCACTGTGGTCCCCAAATTCCGACTGAATGGCTCCCAGCCCCTGCCAAACTTTTAGGTCCCGAGCTGTCGGGACTGGTCCTAACCCAAGATTGGGACGCCCGGCGGCAAAGTTGTCCATGTCAACACGTGTGTCAAGGGGTCAGCATTGGAGCGAGGTAAAAATAAGGGAGCGAGGTAAAATAAGGCAAGAGCAAGGCTTTGACTGGACTGGATTGGACTGGAGCGAGAGGATGGAACTTGTGATTGTTCGCGACACCGACACCGCGCTTGTGCTAGGCTTCTTGATGGATCATGGAGTTGAAAAGATTGATCAAGGGGGTATAATAGGATATATACTGCCGTATAGATCCGTGATTGTCGCTAATCTTGTACTTGTCTTCATCGTCGTTCTCAATTTCTTTCCATTCGTTCACTCCTTCTCTGTCGGGCTGGTTTCCGACTGCTTCACGTTCCTTGACCCTTAGCGCGCTGTTTTTTATTCAATTCGGTCTATCAGGTCAACCGGCTGCCGCCCACTGTTCTCACTTGTTTCTGGAAGTAGAGTTTACCCAGTGACCATGCATCATCCACTTTCCCTTCGTTTCCTAGCCAACATCACCATCACCATTCTCCTCACCTCCAACCTCGTCTCCGCCTTCCATGTTCGAGATCTCCTTCACACTTTGCGATCGCTAAGTAAGTCTTGGAACCCCTAGCTCACATCCCGGAAGCTCCAAAGACTAACAGCTCCGGTCCCTCATCACAGAAGACGCGCCAGCCGCAAGCATTGCTCTCAATGCTCGCAACTCGAGCTTCGTCGCTCCCGCTACAATTTCTAACGGCACTGCTGGCTCTTCCCATCCTGACTCGACGACGGGAAAAGAAGGCGGACTTGGCCTCAGCGGTCTGTTGCATCACATTCTCGGCAGAGACGACAAGCTCAACACCAGCACCAGTTTCAAGGTTCGCACTCTGAACATCACCACCCTTGCTCCAGTCGGTTCCAACGACACCACTCCCGCCGGCTCCTCCCATCCAGATGCGGCATCAGAGCGAGGCCACGGACTGGGACTGAGCGGTCTTTTCCATAAAATCTTCCACCGCCATGATACGCCCATCACCATTCCCACCCTCAATCTCCGCGCCGCAAATGGGACCGTAACTCCCCCCGGAGTCTCCAACGGAACCACTCCCTCCGGTTCCTCCCATCCAAATGCCGCGCCACAGGGAGGTCACGGACTGGGACTGAGCGGTCTTTTCCACAAGATCTTCAGTCGCCAAAGCCCGACCATTACTACTGCACATTTCAACGCACGCAATTTGAACGGCACTGTCCTTCCCCCTGCAATCCGCCCCAACGGTACCACTCCCACCGGGTCCTCCCATCCAGACTCAGCCACAGAAAAGGGACAAGGGCTTGGACTCAGTGGTTTCCTGAACAAGATCTTGGGTCGCTCCAATTCTGCGCCCCTGCCTGTCAAGCCTATTGCCCCTGAGGATGTTGATGAGGTCGATGGCGACGTTGGTATGCTTATGAGCCTCAACCGTCGTGTCAAGAGAGACGGAGAGGCAAAGTTGAGCCGTGAGGAGAGGAGGAAGAATCGGGAGAAGAGGCGTGTGAGAAGGGCCATGTCTGCGGCGGCTAAGGCTGAGAAGGCAGAGAGGAACGCTGCTCGCTCCAGAGTATTTCGGGGCTGAGAATGGTTGCTAGTCGTCGGAAAGGCCAGGCTGGGCTTCGGGATGGGGTTGATACTGTAGAGAGTGTGATGGATAACGTTGAGGCGGCATGCCAAAACGAAATGTTTAGTGCCCTCAACAAACGATGCCAATATTAGACGAGTACCGAGTGGGACTGTCCTGAACTTTCGTGCATCTTTGTGAAGGGATGGATGCTCCGACCAAGGCCCCTGAATCTTCCGTAGTATCCAGTTGCTCTCGAGCTGGGGCGTTGCCTGATCCACAGCTTCAGGCCATCGTATAGGAGCTTGCCATGTCGCTGGCGGTCTGCTTTTGTAAACTGATCCCGGTCGCAGTCCGAGCATCGTGGAGAATGTCCGAATCGAAGCGCCGGTTCGTCGCGAGGTAACCACCAAGTAGTCGCCAGTGGCGAGCCCTGCCGCATCGGCCTGTGCCAAAAAGCACCGAGACCAGGCGTAGTAACGATACTCCAACAATTCCCTCCCGCACTCATCTCTTCTTCACGTTCTCCATCCACTCCTTACTCGCCTTCGTGCCATCATGCGCACTCCTAAACAACTTCCTCTCCCACTCATCCAACCCCCTCAAGAAGTCCTCGCCGGCACCTCCAACTCCCAGATTACTCGCATTATCCTCCTTGGTCGCCTTCCCCTTTCCCTTCCCTGCTGCGCCTCCTCCATCCCGTCCGTGATACGAAGTCCCACCACCACCCACTTTCCTCGCATGCAAGGCGATCTCCGCCGCCCGAGACACAAACGTCTTCCTTAACACTGCGCTCAGCTCCGGCTCCTCTGATAGTTCCATCATGTGCGTTGCCAAAGCGTAAAAGTGGGCGCTCTGGTCGCGCAGAGGGACGGAGCGGGGGTTGGCTTTGAGTGCCTGGACGACGTCGTTGCCTAGCGCGGGGGGAAGGTCGAAGGTGATGAAGGATTTGCTGGATTGGGAGGGGTCGTCCATGACGACTGCGCCGGTGTTGGCGATGGCGAGCATCTCGGCTAGCCAGATGGGGAGGGCGACGCGCGAGCCGGATTTGAGGGTGTGGCCGGGTTGGTTGTCGAGGTAGCCTAGGTCGGCGACGTCGATCTGGAAGGTGCAGGGGATTTTCTGGGGATAATTGTTTTGGATTAGTTGGTGTCTAAGGAGGGGTAGTGATGGGCGTGGATGGTACCTCTGCATCCGTTAGGATCGCATCGATGTCGTAGTATGACATGGTGGCGATTTGTACAGCTTCGCTATGGCTTTCGTCGATGTCGAGAGGGATCCTGGGAGACGCGCTCTGGAAGTGGGAGACGCGACGGAGAAAGAGTGCCGCAATGCCAAGAGACGGAGCTCTTTAAAGCTGTGGCTTGTCGACCATTCTGGGGGAATCATGGCCACACCAAGCCACATCCGCTTTCCCATCTCGGCGGGGTGGGGCTATGACGGAATTGAATCGGTTTCCATGGAGCTTCCATCCGAGCTTATTACGATAAGTAAATAGAAGAGACCTCAATTCCACCAGCTGCAGCCCGATAATCACAATCAGCAATCCAAATCACTTCCATCCGAAGGTAGCCGCTGTCCCATTGATCCTCGAACTGTCTTCTTTCGTATCCCCAAACTTAACCAATTCATCTAATTACTAGTATCTCTCGAATAAACCCAAACCATCCTTCAAAATGTCCACCTCTCTCTTCCGCGCTACTCCGGTCGCCCGCAGCGCTCTGCGCGCCGCCAGCGCCGTCAAGCCCGCCGCTGCTACCTTTGTCCGCGGCAAGGCCACTCTTCCTGACCTTCAGTGTGAGTTCTCATATCCTCTTAGAATCGCTTGCCGAGGAAAGAACCTCTCCTCAGCTAGCTTCCCCCATCCTCTGCGCCTGCCCATACGGAACTCGCAAAGCTAACCAGTCCACCCAATGCCTCCCAGACGACTACGGCGCCCTCGAGCCCTACATCTCCGCCAAGATCATGGAGCTCCACCACTCCAAGCACCACCAGACCTACGTCAACGGCCTCAACTCGGCCCTGACCACCATCGCCGAAGCCGAGTCCAAGGGCGACTTCACCAAGGCCGCGTCCGTCGCACCCGCCCTCAACTTCCACGGCGGCGGCCACCTCAACCACACCCTTTTCTGGGAGAACCTGGCCCCGGCCTCGCGCGAGGGTGGTGGCAACCCGGACGGCGCGCTCGGCAAGGCCATCACGACCGAGTTCGGCTCGTTCGAGAGCTTCGTCAAGCAGATGAACGCCGCGCTGGCGGGTATCCAGGGCTCCGGCTGGGCGTGGCTGGCCAAGGACAAGGCTGCGAACGGCAAGCTGGCGCTCATCACCCGCGCCAACCAGGACCCTGTCACGGGCAACTTTGTGCCGCTTTTGGGCATCGATGCGTGGGAGCATGCGTATTACCTGCAGTACGAGAACAGGAAGGCCGAGTACTTTGAGGCCATCTGGAACGTGATCAACTGGAAGACTGTTGCCAAGAGGTTTGAGGCCTAACTTAGATAGATACCTGGGGAGCTGTAATAATGGGGGACGTTTAGTAATTCAAGGTGTTGCTGTTACTGTTACTGTTCATGCACTCTCTTGTGACTTTCGGGATTGAATATTGGTTGTCTTACTCGATATGGACGCGGTTAGGAGGACGGAAACGAATTATATAATGTCCATCAAAATCGCAGGGTGATTCGGCGTGGCCGCAGCATACACTTGTCCGGTCATTGTACTAATATTGACTGGAGTCCCTGGGTATAGAGAAAGAATCTGGACTTTTTGAGTTCACCATGACTTATTCCCGTAGGCGCAAGGAGTACCCTGCCATATTCAACCGTTAGTCTCAGAAACCGCTGGAGGCATCCAGGCATCGCAAGACTCCGCTGAACCCTGTGTGTTTTTTATTTGAGACAGGTCAACCTTGACACATGGTCCATACTTGGCTGGAATGCTGGTCTGGATCGAGGTGTAGAAAAACTTGACAGTTCATGTCCTATCCAAGATCCAAGGCTGCTAGATTATAGACCGATACGGACTCTTGATGATCACCACGACCCAAGTCACCACGGGAAGAGCTGATTCATTCCAACTGCCCCAACCCATAAACCGAACCAAATTGCCATGCCACTGTGTCGGCGAAAAAGGTTCTGGAACAGTCATCCAAGTTCCATCATCCTATGCTTCGATGTGAATCTCGACTCAGGGTTCAACCAATCTGGTTAGTTTTCCCAGAGGTTTTAGTGCACCATGTTCTCCATCAGGCAGCCGCCAAAGCTTAGCAGTAAATGAAGTATTCCAGCTTTCTGCATAACAGAGCAGGAGGCGGGTCAGAACTGGTCAATCCCTCTGAACCGTCATAAAAGTCCCCATCGTACAGTATCCCATCAGATACAAAAACCCGAGTAGTAAGGTCGATCGGCACTGGTGGTTCGCGAGTGGGCTTGCCTCCAACGTGATCATTCGCAAGGAGACAGACTTTGGGCAGGCAGAACCACTCAGTAAATCACCAGGGGAGATGTCGTCAGGGTGTAATCTCCCACTCAACTCCGCATCGACAACCTTTCTTGTCATGCGGGCCTGGTTTGAGTTTGAAATTAGCACATGGCTTGAGCGGGCAAGTGCAACTAAGGGAACGCGAACACACAGCAAGCAAAGCCTCATGAGCATGAGGAACTTGCTCGACGCAGAAGCCCCATAAAAGGGCGCTTCTATGGGCGAGCCAATGATTCCGGAGACCACGACAGGTCAAGGACAGGGCCACGGGATCTTGGATGCCTTCAGGGGTGATGTTTGAAGAAATATGGCATATATGAGCTCATTTGGCGCCCAATTAGCTAGGAAGTTGGATGCGTTCATGGGACCTGCTGTAGTTTTCAACTGAGTCTCTTCAGGCTTCACGAACTGATGAGAGAGAAGGGAGACTTAAAGTCAGTAAGGACGGACTTTATGCCAGGACGTGATGAGTCAGTGGGATCCGTAAGAACGTAGCAGTCATGCCGACATAGATTACCGGTGAGGTTGCTTAGGTAGTGTGTATGGAGCCAAGACTGCAAAGACAATAACCAGTACACGCAACGTCGAAAGCCATTAAGAAATATGGCTAGATAAGCAACAAAGAGGGAATACGGTGACTAGAACGAAGAGAAGACAATGTGAGCCAACCCAGTGAAATTGCAAGAGAGGGAGGTTAAGGAAAATCACAAGCGAACTTTGGGAATCGGTCATATTGGTTGAGACAGAACTGAAAGTGTATGCACAACACCACAGACGTGTCCCTGGATGTTGTTGCTCAGGCTTTCGATCGCCAAATACCTACTCATGAGATGGTTTTAGGCTCGAAGAGCAGGGATGCCGGATCCCGAATATGAGGGACCAAACCGTGTTGTCGTCTGGTCCTGTCGTTTTCGCTCTTGGGAGGCGCCGAGGAGAGGTTCTCGCGTGTCGGTCGGATGATGAAGCGTCAGTCCACATGACTCGTGACCATCTCAGCTGCCGGGAATTGTCTAGACTCTACCATAAGACGAGGAAAGAAGAAGAGTTGCTTCCTTCGTCCGCTTGGTCTTGACCTCAGCTGTTCTGCCTGTCATTTCGGCGAGAACTTACTGGTAAGTGGCTCGATGCAATGGGATGTTCAAATGGAAGGAATCAACCTTTTACTTCCGGGGCACGACTGCCCGAGGCTGACTCGATGCCGGGGCCGTTGCAAGGAACCCTTTGGTCGTCCCCGTTGCAATGACAGAAAGGAATCGTAACTGACAAAACAACCGGAAGGCTTGGCCCGTTAAAAAGCGCCGGAGCCTTTCCCGTTCGGCTCAAGGGCTTGGCATGGACGCGGTGCCCCTCTTTCACCCCGCACTGACGCTTCAACCCCACTATTAGGGCCTAGCTCATGGCGGATGAGACACTAAGACGACGACCTCAACGACCATGATGAGGACTCGAATTGAATGATTGGAAAACGAGTCCTACGTTCAGTAAGGTGCATACATTTATTCTCGTGTTGGAGGGCTGAATTAGGTCTGAAGCCGAACTCACAAGACGCCAAGCACCATGTTACGAGCTTGGCTCATGGTGCCCTGGGAGCCTGGGCACCTTGCTAGTCCTCAGCAGATTCATCGTATGACGCCTTCCACTTGTATCTTTCTTGGCCAACTTCCGAAGAGAATGATAGCCGAAGCCATGTCACGACAATGCCATGGCAATGTCCCCGTTCCCAGTTCCGAGTTCCCGTACACTGCCGGGTGGGCATGATCTGCACACTGCAACCAGGGGCCAAGGGAGCTTCGGCTGGTTAGCATCATCACAACGGGCAAAAGCGGGATCAAGTACATCATCCATCATGAAGAGGCAACTGGCTTCCAAGGCCCAAGCGATTGGAAAATCCAACCATAAATGGATGTTAGATGCGCAGTCGTCTTTAGTGAGAAGAAGGCTCCAGACGACCAAACCGTTAACCAGCCTCACCGCCGCCCCAGTATAGTCGACATCCTATCTGTAAAGCTTGACCGGTGACTTTATCTGAACCAGTAACACGTATCCGAAACACTGTAAGTGCGTTGGCTTTCCTTGTCTACCTCAGCCATCACCCGTTTTCCGAAGCTCGACAGACTTTCCCCCGCGAGACATGCATCGTCTACCAAGTATGGAAGCCGGATGTTGCGGGTGACCTGGAAGGAAACCCACGGCTATCAAGTTGTGATAATACCAACCTGAACAAAGCGCTTGCAAGTTGCGCACATCTCACATCCCAGACAAAGCATCGGCCCTGAAATCCAAAGCGTAACACTGTCATACGCCGACAAAGAGTCATAGACTTGGCAGCGAGCGATCGACATCTGTCCACGCAATTTCAGATCGCAACATTGACAGTCTCACAGGTGGCACCTCCCCCTCGGACAAGAGAGGTAAACTTTTTGCGAATTACTCTCCGAAATCACAATCACACTTGTGACCGGTGTCATTGAAATTGGAAACGGAAACTGTCACGGTTTGACCAGTGACCAGTAATGGCAGGCCAAGCCCCCAATCCCAGCGTGAATGTGGAGGAGGGACATGGCAAGGGGTCGACAAAGTTCAAGAATGCGACGACTGAAAGACAGTCTCATACGCCCGTGTCCGTATCGCTGCCGCGGGGGTCTGAAAGTAGTAGAGGTAAAAAAAAAAGGGGAACCCCGCTTTAGAAGTTGATGAGAGAATCGACGGAAACTGACATGGATCAACCAGACAATGCAGATGGCCGGACGGGAAAGAAGGAGGGGGTCCCGGGGGTCCAGCCAAGCAAGAGCGACAACCCCAAGGTGAGATTGCTGTCACCCTCTGCCACACTCTGCCACACCCATACATGGAATGCAGTTGCAATGCACTACCCGCACGTGTTGCGTCACCACCCTCTTGTGTCCGCGGTCGTGCCCGCCCAAAGATAATTCCCCATTATCAAAAAGTGGAAGCAACACTGCACATCTACACCGCCCACTCGTGCCACCCGTGGACTGCCCCTGCCGTGCAACGTGAAGCCATCAATTGGATCCAATGTCCTCGAGTGGTAGCAGTTCGGGCGTTGACAGGGAACTCGAACAGGCCGAGAACGACGATTCCGCCGCCGCCGCCATCGACGCCATCGCCTTCAGAGACCCATTCGCAGACACCACCCCACGCCGCCCGACCACTGACAACGCCTCGTCCCGCTCCGGCACAAAAAGCCCCAGCCCACTGAACAGCACCGGGACCCAGGGCTCGCTTCATTCCCCCCCTTCTCTTGGCGTCCAGCAGCTACTCAGTGATATTCAGCCTCGAGATCCACTGTATGACCACAACACGCCTGCCCCCATCCACCCCGGCAGCGACACTCTTGCGTATAATAACACTTCCCCCTCCGAAGAAGTGTTGCGATCCCTTGAACACCACTCTTCCAAGCTTCCAACTATTCCTTCTCAGCTCCAGGAGCAACAGCAACTCGACCACGCCCAGGCCAACACCGGCCATTACACGCATCCTAGCGGCGACAACACCCAGACCTACGGTACCCCATCAGCCGGCCATCACCACCACAGCCTGAAGCCCATCGCAACCGTAATCATGGGGTTCGAAAAGGCTCGCAAGTTCTCCACGGGCACCTCGGTGCACCGTAAGCGCCAGATGAGCACTCTGGTGGAGAAGGAGGGCCACTTTGGTCCTGCTCTAACTGTGAGTGGTACTTCGCTTATCATGGCCTGCTTGACTGCCTCGACGCTCCATACTAACATTGGATGTCCCACATAGACACTCTATCTCGGCATCTCTGCCGTCTTCTCTGATGACCACACGGCCGTCGTGGCCCTGGCCATTCACGATACCATCTACCTCGTTGACTTCTCGGTCAAGCACATTGAGCTCGACGACGCCCTGAAAATGGGCGAGGACCTCATCGCCGACTTTGTCATCTCCGAAGTGCAAAAGTACGAGCACGAGAACTTCTCAAAGTTCATCGGTGCTGGTCTTCCCACGACGCTCAAGTACATGAGCCCGAACCTCTGCTCGCGGCTCTGGCTCGAGCTGGATATTGTGCCCATAGTGATGCGCCCAGATGACGAGCATAAGGAGAAGACCTTTTGGGATGTCAAGAGAGTCGATGAACAGGCCGATTCCATGGCTCGAAAGTGTATCATGTAAGTCTTCCCGTCAGTTACCACCGGAAAACGCATTGGACTGACAGTCATGGTCAGGAACTTTGGCCCCTCCCTCGTGCCTCTTCTTCAAGTCGGATTCCGAGGCATCGTCCAAATCGATGCTGGCTTCCGCGCCCACCTCACCACCGTCCAGAACCACAAAGACACTTGCAGTGCGGCAACATGGGAAACCACTTTGACATATGCCAAGAAGCTTCGTGCCAACAAGACCAAGATCGCCTTCTTCAGTTCAACACCCCAAGGCGGTGGTGTTGCGCTTATGCGCCACGCTCTTGTTCGCTTTGCTCGTCTCTTGGGTGTCGACCTCACCTGGTATGGTAAGTAGAATCACCTGCTGTCCCCAACGGTAGACAGCCGACTAACACTTTCCCAGTGCCAAAACCACGACCCGGTGTCTTCCGCATCACCAAGAACATCCACAACATTCTGCAGGGTGTCAGCCATCCCGATCAGCGCGTAACTGCCGACGAGAAACAGGCCATCATCGACTGGATCAATGAGAATGCGAGCCGATACTGGTTCTCCGAGGGTGGACCTTTGCGTGCTCCCGAGGAAGGCGGTGCTGATATCGTCGTGATTGATGACCCCCAAATGCCCGGCTTGATCCCCCTAATCAAGAAGTATACTCCTGACCGCCCTGTTCTCTACCGTTCGCACATCCAGATTCGCAGCGACCTCGTCGCCAAGGCTGGTTCGCCTCAAGCCGACATCTGGGATTTCCTTTGGAGCAACATTCAGGGCTGCGACATGTTTATCAGCCACCCTATTCCCATTTTCGTCCCGCACAACGTCCCGCGTGAGAAGGTGGTCTACTTCCCAGCCACTACCGACTGGCTCGACGGCCTGAACAAGCATCTCAACCACTGGGACTCGGGTTACTACGGCCATCTGTACAACGTCGCCTGCCACTCGCAGCGCATGACGGAGCTCAACTGGCCCGCCCGCAAGTACATCATCCAGGTTGCCCGTTTCGACCCATCCAAGGGCATCCCCACCGTTATCGACTCATATGCCGAGTTCCGTCGCCGCTGCGACAAAGCCAACATCACCGACGTGCCGCAGCTCGTCGTGTGCGGCAACGGTTCCGTCGACGACCCCGACGCCTCCCTGATCTACGATCAGACCATGGCCCAGCTCGAGACTTACTACCCCGACCTGGTCCGGGACGTCAGCGTCATGCGTCTGGACCCCAACGACCAGCTTATCAATACTTTGCTTGCTAATGCCCACGTCGTGTTGCAGCTTTCCACTCGCGAAGGCTTCGAGGTGAAGGTTTCCGAGGCCCTGCATGCCGGCAGACCCGTCATCGTCTCCAACGTTGGCGGTATTCCGCTGCAGGTCAAGGACAAGGTCAATGGCTTTCTTGTCGCGCCTGGCGATTGGCGTGCCATAGCCGGTCACCTGATGGAGTTGTTCACTGATGAAGAGCTCTGGAAGAAGATGAGCCATGAGGCACGTACGGGCGTCTCTGACGAGGTCGGTACTGTTGGTAACGGGCTTGGCTGGTTCTACTTGGCTGCCAAGTGGACCGAAGTCGGCGTGGAGAAGAACGGCAGGGGTGGATTGAAGGGTAATGAGCGGTGGGTCAACGACATGGCGAGGGAAGAGGCCGGATACTTCTACACCCAAGGAGAGAACCGGTTGCCGAGACACTTTACACAGAGGAAGCCGGAGCTCGAGGCGGAGGCAAAGGACTTGCCAGTCCACGACAAGAAAAAGGCGGAGGTTGCTGCTTGATTTATATTGGCAGACGGATTGGTTGTTTCTGTTCGAGTTAGCTCAAATACCATTTCGGAAGGATGTAGTCAAGGACATGCTCAAGATGTTTGAGAGGTCGAACGTTAAGGGTCTCGTTAGTTCAGCAACATATGAGGACATGATTGATGTACCGCTCTAGATGCCATCCAAAGGAGACAAGAGAAACGAAGCAATTCTCTGTCAGTTAATGCCTTTTCCGTGTATCGTCGTTTATAATGATCGATGGAAGCTCGCCACCCTTAATGCAGCCGCTGAGCGTCTGGTGTTCGGCTAGAAATCTGTAAGGAGCATGATGCGGCATACTATACCTCGTTACCGACGGCGGATTTCCCGAACTGGATGCATCTATGAACAAGGAATCTTGGGCGCCGCACAGGATATTACTGTTGTAGGTTTCATGACTTCATCCCGGCGAGATCAGTCGCATTGTCAGAGAAGGTTGTTTGTGAAACCTGAACGCCCAACTGATCGCAGAGCTGAAAGTGATGCGAGAGGAGGGTTAGGGTATGTGGAGATAACGCGAAAGCACGTGCTGCTGGTGCCTACCACGCAGATCCGCCCAGGGTGGGGCTGGAGTTCTACAACAGCTTAAATTGAGTCGCGCTTCAAACGCGTCCCCCAAAAAGTTCCCAATATGCACGTTCGGAAAAATTGGCATCGTCACAACTGCTTTACCACCCCGAAGAGAACCAATTGGCCTTTGTTTCTATTGTAGAGACTTGTATACCATCTTACCGTCACACAATAACCGATCGGACATCAACCACAACAATGACGGTCACATCCGAACCCGCTGCGCCGGCGCAGTCGCAAACCCCGTCTCCCACCAGCCCACCAAAGCGTCACGAAGAATATCAATACCTCGATCTCGTCCGCCAAATTTTCGACGAAGGCGAACTCCGTGAAGATAGGTACGTTCAGTAGTCTCCCCTTCCAATCCCACTCTCCCACTTCCAGCCCTAGCTAACCACCTTCTTCAACAGAACAGGAACAGGCACCTACTCCATCTTCGCTCCAACCCCCCTAAAATTCGCCCTCTCGAAACCCTCCCCTTCCGCCTCCGGGGCCTCCGCCGACCCCTCCTCCCCATCCTACTCATTCGAACCGATCCTTCCCCTCCTTACCACAAAGCGCGTCTTCACCAAAGCCGTCCTCCTCGAGCTCCTCTGGTTCATCTCCGCCTCCACCTCCAGCACCACTCTTTCCTCGCAGGGCGTCAAGATCTGGGACGGCAACGGCTCTCGCGCCTTCCTAGACATGCTAGGCCTCTCGCACCGCAAAGAGGGGGACCTCGGTCCCGTGTACGGTTTCCAATGGCGTCATTTCGGCGCCGAGTACGTCGATGCGGAAACCGATTATACCGGCCAGGGCGTGGACCAGCTGCAGCGCATCATCGACACTCTGCGCACGAACCCCTACGATCGCAGATTAATACTGAGCGCGTGGAATCCCAAGGATATGAGCCAGATGGTGCTGCCGCCTTGTCACATGTTTGCGCAGTTTTACGTTTCGTATCCGGGGTCCCGGGAGAGGACACGAAAAGAGGGGGAGCCAACAAAACAGGAGAAACCAAAGGGTCACTTGCACTGCCAGTTATATCAACGGTCGTGCGACATGGGATTGGGCGTGCCGTTCAACATTGCTAGCTACGCGCTGCTGACGCACATGCTCGCGCACGTGTGCGATTTGGTGCCCGGGAGCTTGACTCATGTTATGGGCGATGCGCATGTCTATCTTAACCATGTGGATGCGCTCAAGACGCAGCTGGAGCGCGAGCCCAGGGAGTTCCCGACGCTGGAGATCAAGAGGGAGAAGAGAGGCAGTATTGATGGGTGGAAGGCGGAGGACTTTGTGGTCAAGGGGTATGAGCCACACAAGACGATTGCTATGGAGATGTCTGTTTAGGTCACTTGTCTGGTATGATGGTCACCGGTATCTGCGACTGGTCATTTTCATCTGTTTTACGGTTATGGGGTTTCATGGTTCATGGTGCCTTGATGTTAATAGTGAATAAGGTACGTCGGGACCGACTGGCGACACGTTAACGCACAAAGCTGAGAATGGAAAAGTATCAAGGGATTATTCATCGAGATCGTTGCTCCCTCTTTCGGTTGATACTGTATTCCACCCTTTCGAGCTCCTTGCGGAGTTTCTCTGCCTTTTGCTGCTGCCTCATGAGCAGCGCGGCCTTCTCACCTGCGGCCTTCCGTGGCATCAGCTTTCTGTTCACTAGCAGCAGCTTCTTGGGCAGCGATATTTACTCTGGACGGCCAATTAGCTCTGCGCTCTATCCCAATTCAAGATTCGCTGCTCCTGTACTCCATCTCCCACATCTAATTCCCCAGCTTGTAACGCGGGAGGACTCGCTCGTAGGTAGGCTCGCTGTTCGCTTTCAAAAAGCCGATGTCGGGAAAATGGTTAACCAGTTATTGGTGATGGAAAAGACGCGGCAGTGAAAGGAGAAGAGGTCGCCTAAGCGGAGTACGAGGAAGAAGACGCGAACCCAAACACTCCAGGGTGTCCAAAAAGGATGGTCATCGTACGCTTTTCCCTTGGGGTACTACCGTCTTTACGGGGCCTGCCCCGTCCGCGCTTCTGCTGGACGAGCAGTGAGTCGCGCAGATGCGTGGTTTGCCTTCCAGGCAGAGCGGGAGTGTTGGCCGACGGGTCAATTCCGGGGAGATTCATGGGAGCCACCGGTGCTCGCCTGTTATTTGTTTCTGCTGCGGACCTTAAACCGAGGAGGAGAGCGGCAACATGATAATTCTTGGGACGTTCTGTTCAGCATTCTGTCCAACACTGCGGCTTTCACAGGGTCCATGGCGTATATGGCACTGGAGTGATTGCCGATGCCTCGTTTGAAGGTCAGCGACTGTCGATAGCTGTTACCTAGTGGCGGCGGTGGTGCTGGTCCCGGCAACGCCAGCAAGGATGCTAGCCTTTCTTCCCATCCTCATTTGCGCTAGCCAACGAGCACAGATTGCCTCGCCGAGGCAAAAACCTCCTCCAGGTTTGATAATACATCCCTTCCACTCCTTATTGCTGTGGTTGTGAAACCTTCAAGATATCCATCTGAAGCTCCAACATCGAGGTCTTGATCAGAAGAGCTGGCCTTGAGTGGGGTCGCTTCTGTTGTTTCGCCCAAAGGATCAAAAGGTTCGACTGTGACAACAATCGAATCACGGGAGAGTCATGGGACTGATCGTTGCCCATGGCGAATAACCTCAGCTTCAAACGAAAGTGAGAATGGGTGAGGATAGAGATAGATGAAGATGGAGGACTCGCCGGACGGAGGGCGCTTCGGTTCTTGGGTGGGCAGTCTTCAAGGACTAAGCAGTTTGGGGATGAGGCTTATTCCTGGTCAGAGGCCTTTGCAACTTTAGTTGCACTGGAACGCGGGGGTTCCTCCTCGGTTTTTGCTTCTGTGTTGACAGAAACGGGCGTTTAGTTCTGATCAAGAATTGAAGCCTTCCAGGCTCTCTTGTGCCCAAAAGGCACCCATCCCGGGCTAAGGGGCTGTGACTCTAAAGACGAAGCCTTTGAGGGGGTGTGAACTCTCGAAGAACAATCGGGTTCGAATTTCGAGGGCGGGGAAACGGTACGCCCGCCATCATCTATGGTTGAATCAGGTTTCGTCGTTGCCAAACGCTTCAAATCATGCAAATGTCTCCTTTCAACATCAAAGGAAGGATGTTTGAAGCGTGGCATGGAGCTGGCCATATTGTCCTTTGATCCGGTAGGTCGATGCTTGCAAAAGTAAAGAGTGGGATTGAAGATCTGACCAAATCCAGGATCCATCCACCGATATCGAACATCATATACCAGATCAATGAAAAGATCTGGAAATCGCCTGTCGAAGTGGTTCTCAAGCACTATGCCGCCTTGTTCTAATGGATCCACCAAATCTTCGCTGCGAATGAGCTCTGGATCATCCCACTTCAAGGAAACTTGCGTGTTGGAAGAATGTTGGGGCGTGAATGTGGCAGAATCGGAACCTCGCATTCCACCCTTCAAGCCGCTTCCGAAAATCGACTCTTCAAGGCCCTTCATGCGTTCTAGGACCTCTTTCCATCGGGCGTCAACATCAAATTCGCTGTAGATGAACTGCATGCCCGAATAAAAGTCGTCGAGAATCACAAAGACATCACTCAAATCTTCATCCAGTAGTGCCTCCAACAAGTCTAGTCTTGCTTCCTCCGGCAGGCGAAAACCAGGCTCCATCTCAAAATCTGGAAAGTGGTCTCGCACAATGTCATCGATCGGCCGCTTCCTTTCACGCCATAGGGCCAACATGAACTTGAAGCGGTCATCATCGAAGAGATCGCCGACCGAGGTATCAGATTGATCTGACTTGACAGGCAAAGACTGTGATTCTGGTTTTTTTGGTTGGTGAAGGCCGTAGAGCAGTTTGAAAACTTTGTTTTGGCTTGAAATCGGGCAAGCCGCGATACACAGAAAACGACGGAGTCGCGGTAGGTTTGGATGGCATGCGAACCGGCACCTTTGGTATGGCCTTGGTCGCTTCGGCGGCGCGCTCGTAGAAGCCTCTGTCGTCCCAGTTCACGATGAACTTAAAGATGCCCCATGGTTTGGGTGCGTCGCCCTTCTTCCCAGTAAGAAAGAAGTGGATAACAGGGTCGCGAATAGCTTGCAGGATGCAGGAGTTGTTGGTTCCATCAATGATCAATGTCGAATCGCCAACTTGCTGAATGAGAGTGGTCCGAGCCTCAACACTTCCATCTGTCACTTCGACAACTAGCTCCTTGTCCGCAGCCAGTGGTCGTTCGGTTGTCAAAAGCTCAACAGCTTGTTGCTCGGTGTACTTGGAGCTGTCCAGCACCAAGCGAAACGTTGTATGTGGGCATTGACAGCTGGCCATGGCATCAACAATCTCAAAAGCCAGGTGGGAGTAATTGTATGGCAGGTCGAAGCAGAAAATATTGGCCGGAGCCCATTTATGAAAGTCGCAAACAGCCTTCCAGGCTGGGTACAACGAGGTGCGAATGAAATGTTCGGAGTCGGTGCAGGGCTCTGGTGTAATCTCCTGGGAAGCGGTGGAATGGACCGAGCCACCATTGTTGTGGTCCATAATCCACGAGCCGCCGTTCAAGATGTTGGAAATCGAACAGCGAATTTGAATAGAGAGCGGCTCTGCTTGTGACGATGAAAGGACGGGAACCTTCCAGCGTTCCTTGGTGATGAACCACTTCTCGAATTGCAAGGCGATGTGTTGCTGCAGAAACTCGTAGCCCTTGGATCCGGGCGGGTAACTGATGGGACACTTCCAACTCGCTTGTTCCCTCTGCTCCCGAGAAACACTCTTGTGCCCACGACCTGGACCGATTTCATTTATGACCCTGTTGAAAGCAAACAGTCAGCTTCGGGAACACATGAACAAACAAAGCCTGCTGAGAATGAAAGAGGGTCGGCTTACCATTTCCAAAGATCTTGCTCCGTGGCCTTGTTTTTGGACGTTTTGGCCCATAACGTGTACCATTGCCAAGCCTTTCTCCCAAGAGTGATCTGAGGCGGTTCATCAAGAGAGTCGCGGAATGAGAAGGTTGGCGGCATTGCAGTGTGATGGGAGGTGCCGTGGGGAGTGGATGTGGAAAGAGCAGTGATTTGTACACCGAAAGACCTAAGTCGACATGAAAGCCAAAGAAGAGAACGCAAAAGATATGACAAAAGATGCAAATTATGTGCACAAACCGGATGTTGAAAAGAAGATGTTGGAGGAGTTGTTCAGGCGAGTAATGGGAAACGGGTAGAATGGGGAACATATACTCATCCAAGGGCTCTCATGACGTGAAGACAACTGCTATTTTAGAGCTCGCGTCTTTCCATATCGATTAGAGCAGATGGAGGTCAGGGAATGGCAGGATTCTCTACGCCAACCATTCTTTACCTATTGTGTTTTCATCGCTTTGACTTGTTTAAGTGCACTTTCTCGTTTTCACGACCATGAAGTGTGATGGACGCAACGCAGGCGGGCGGCGAGTCGCTTGCGTCGACAATCATGAGGAATGCGCAAACTTGAAGCTCAAACATTGCAAGAACACTGGGATGAGAAGTGGGAGATGCTGCTACTTCCATCTGACATGCGAGACGCACCGCGTCTGTGACTGGTTGCCGGTCAATTTTCCGAGGAGGCGCGCAGCGACCGGCGTGGGTCAATCTTTACTGCTTCGAATTACATCGTGTATGGCGCTTGTACCATGGTCATGTTGAGCTTGAATAAGCATATTCCTGCGACTCTTGCGGTTTACCCTGGCTGAGGCTCCCCTACAAACATTTCCAAGGAAGGGATCGATGTGTTTTTACTGAGTTGGTCCAGCATCATGAGTGTCCTCCCCAACCTTCAGATCCAAGCCACTTTGTAGCAAAGACAGCCGGTTGATCAACGACACTGAGATTTTGGGGAAGCCTCATTTGTATTTGGCCGTGGTCGTATGTGAGCGGGTCAGTAAGAAGTTACTTTAGCGGCAGTCATGGGAGCTATTGGTGGAGTTGCACCTTTACAGGAGGAACTCACTGATCTCAGGTGATTCCATCCCACTTACCATACCCAAGCCTCCGTGATTTTTTGTCGAGGTTATTGAGGTCGACCCTGCGAGCTCACCAGCAAGGCGAGAGAAAGCAGTCCAATGTGCTCCTGCACCTTTATTCCTGGCTTCCTGCCTGCTTGCCTCACCCAACCAGCCGCTCCTGCCATCTTATCTCATTGTGCCCCCAAGTTCCCAACCAGTCACTCTTGCATTAAATCTCCCATAACACCCTTCAGTTCCTTCATTCTTTCCAACAAAGACATAGGCCGCTGACATTGTGCCACCCATGTCGTACACCGTGGGAGTTTGTATGCTGGGCCGGTTGGGCCGAGCAATTGGCTGTGTTAACCATGCCTTGCCGTCGAAATGATGGCAAATATTCATCGCGAACTGTCAAGCGCTTGTATGTGAATGGAAGGAAGCAGCCACCTAGCAAGTCCGCAATCGGTAAGTGCTTCCAGACGTCCTCGATCAGGACGCTCTTGAGAATTGTGACTGCCTTCGATCGGCTTCCCGTCGGCTGAGTTTTCAAGTTGAAGAAGAAAGAACAAACGCGGTGCGCACAATCCGCGCATTCAGTGGACGGTGGAAGGCAGGAAGCACCATGCATCATGACAGGCGGAAATGGAGTGATGTCGTTGAGATTGAGTGGTGCCAAGCCAGCCACGACAGCCACTGCGCCAGTCGTTCCCAAGAGCACAGGACAACGCCAGAACCCGTCATTAACCCTAACCCTCAACCTATGAGTGACATGAAGCAATCAACCGACGGCCCGCACTGACGGAAGTCGCTGTTTGCGCTGGACACCGCCTTCGGTAGCGATCCTACAAGCGGCTGTGTCATCCTTCGCAACGACACTCTGTCCTTCTCCCGTCTTTACTCGGACTTCTGGCGATTTGCCTGTTTCTAAAAGAGAGAGAATCGCCGACGGGACAATGCCCGAATCGCAAGAAACAGAACCATGAACTGACCAATCTGGTGGCTGCTAATTCTCACCCGTCAATTGCCGTCCACGGGTCAGCGCAGGGAGCACCGACGCGCCGTACCTGTTTGAGGAGCGCGGGTGATCCCGCCGCGGAGAAACATCAACCGCTGATGGGTCCACGGGTCCTCATCTTCTTTCCACTCATCCAGAATCCCGCAAAATCGCGCCTGGAACAACCTACGGACAAGGACAACAGTCTCGACCCTCGATTATCGATCGCGGATTTGCTGATGGGTGTTCCCGGGTGTAAGGGTCGCTCTCTCAACGGGCGGACCCTTCTCGCCTTCTTGAGCCTTCTGGGCTGACTTGTACCATGTCATTATCAATTGTGAGCTGATCAACTTTAGGGACAGTCATCAATCTCTTCCCGCGCACCTTTTTCAGGTTTTTGTGAGATGGACCAGTCAATGTCCGGTGCCTTCTTTTGGTGACAAGGCCTTGTCAGCCCCGGCGTCTCCGGGACCGAAAATAGAGTCTTGGTATGAGTATTTCCGACTCTCGACCTGCTTCCTACACATCACATCCGCGGGAGTCCACGGAGATGTTTATTTTCTTTCCTCAATGCAACACCTGTCCATGATCGACATAGCAGGATCATATCCCCGATCGTACGGCGTGTCGTGTGGTCCCACCTTCCCGTCCTATAGGCTCCAGAACTCCGGGGATGGCCTAGTATTGGTGGTGGGCATTCGGGCCTCCAAGTGGAAACCCAAGACAACATGGCACCAGGAACCGCCCGTTGCACCGGGGTCAGGAACATCATGATGGAGAGGGCTAGAATCAGACGCCATGATAAATACTCAGGCAAGCGCCCGGACGCAAATCATCATCATCACAAGTTTCAAGTTCCATCTTCAGACGAACACCCTCAACATTGAGTTCAACCCCTGAAAACAGACACACCTTGACATATCAAGAGCCTCCCACAAGGCACAACCATCAGTCACCATGACCCTCACCGACGCCCAAATATCCATCGTCAAATCCACCGCCCCCGTCCTCAAGCAGCACGGCGAAGCCATCACCACCGTCTTCTACCACAACCTCATCACCGAGAACCCTTCTCTCAAAAACATCTTCAGCATCACCTCCCAGTCCACGGGGGCCCAACCGCGCGCCCTCGCCCACGCTGTCCTCGCCTACGCCACCTACATCGACAACCTCGCCGCTTTGTCGCACGCCGTCGCGCGCATCGCGCACAAGCACGTCTCCCTCCAAGTTGAACCGGCGCAGTACGCCATTGTCGGCCAATACCTGATCCAAGCCATCGGGCAGGTTCTTGGCGATGCGGCCACGCCAGACATTGTTGACGCTTGGACGGCTGCATATGGAGTGCTAGCGGATGTGTTTATTGGGACGGAGGGGAAGATGTATGAGGAGAATGAAAAGAAGGACCACTGGAGGGGCTGGAGGAAGTTTAGGATTGCGCGGAAGGTGGAGGAAAGTCAGAACATTTCAAGCTTTTACTTGAAGCCGGTTGATGGGATCACCTTGCCAAGGTATCTGCCGGGTCAGTATGTCTCTGTGCAAGTGCTGGCGCCGCAGGTGGGGTATTTGCAGAGTAGGCAGTACAGCTTGAGTGAGGCTCCGAAGGAGGGAGGCATGGAGGAGTATCGGATCAGCGTGAAGAGGGAGGAAGGGGAGGCCGGTAACGGTATGCCGGGACTGATCTCCAACTTGCTCCATGGTATGCAAGAGGGCGCTGAGGTGGAAGTTAGTCATCCGCAGGGCGAGTTCTACGTCGATCCCGCGGATGCGAGCAAGGAAGGGGTGCCGGTTGTGTTGATCTCGGTTGGCGTGGGCGCTACTCCGTTGATGGCTATCCTCAAGAGCTTGGTGCAAGCCCCGGCCAAGAGACCCGTGTCGTGGATCCACGCGAGCAGGTCGAGCTCGGCACAGCCTTTTGGCGAGGAGGTCAGGCGCATCGTCAAGGAGAACCCCGAGCAGGTGTCAGCCCATGTGTTCTTGAAGACGGTGGCGGGCACGGATCAGGCCGGTGTGCATTACGATTTTGCGGATACGAGGATGGACTTGACCAAGTTGGATGGGGAGCGGGATCTGCATTTGGCAGATAAGAGGACCGAGTACTACATTTGCGGACCGGAGACGTTCATGGTGGAGATCAGGAAGGTGTTGGTTGGCCTTGGGGTCGAGAGGAGTAAGGTGCACTTGGAACTATTTGCTACTGGTGATGTTGCTGATGAGTAGAGGAGGGGATCCGTGTCCGGTGATGAAGCCGGTGTAAGATAATGGTTTTCTTTTTTCAGTTACGAGCGAGTTTCGGATACCTTCTTAGAAACGGAGGTTTGCCGCCGGGATTTCTATTCAGTACGTCTTTTGGGTGTAGTAAATATTCTGTCTTCATCTACTGTGTACGTGATGACCCCCTGATGTTCTACTTGCACTGTTCTCGATGTTGGAGATGGGATATACGTGATGAAATGGTAGCCGCGGGTATGTGCTCTGGCCTGGTTTGCCGCGATACCCACTCTCTTTGCGAGAGAGTGGGTGTTGCATGTACAGATCTTACCATACCACACACCCATGGTTATCAGAATAGAGGAGTCCCTCATGTAGTCATGTTGACTTGGTGCGAGGTTCTGTGCCTCATCGAGTGCATTTCACTATTGGCAACTATCAGAAGGCATATTGATGAGAGATATCCATGATTGGAGATTATCTTGCAAGATGGGATGGGTAAGCCCAAACAGGTAGGTACTCGGTAGGTGCTTGATTCGGTGACTGACTAAGGTAGGTTGCCGGAAAGATAGGAAAGAAGGGAGAAAGGCCTCCAACTAAATAGTATCCGCAAGAATGAAAACTATTCGTAGCCAGGTGCAAGTTATAAGTAAGAAAAGGGGTTTACATCTTCCCCCTCCATGAGTTTTAAAGCCACAGTTTGTAGTAGTATTTACCAACTTTTGGGGAACGCCCGATGTGATGGAATCCTCCAGTTAGGTCTGCAGCCATCTTAAGTTCACGAGGACGTTAGTGCAGGACCCCTGTCGCCATCCAGGTTGGCTGAGCTTCAAAGTACTTCGTTAACAGAGTGGTATCCTATCGGATGTTGCACCTCGAGTCCAAGCAGCGAACGCGAACATCCCGTCTGGTACGGATAACGCTTCCAGAACCTCATAAGCACTGCACTCTATTGCCCAATATAATCACGGTTTATGCAGTATCACTGCCAGATTTGGATACATTGCCCTGTTATAACACAACGGCATATGATATCTCTTCAATCCTTTTTTTTGTGCTTGCATCCCGTGATACCTGGTACCTGGAACACAACTTAACACTATGCAATCCCGGGTCGATGTCACGGATGGATCAAACAAAGTCGAAGCTTGAGAACGTCTACATCCGGGCATAACATTTTGGGAAGTCGGGCTCTCGGTTGCTCCTTCTTGATATTTCGGTTACCCCGCCTCTTGAAACCGACTAAGAGAAAATGTTGTCACAGTTGTTTATTGGGGGAAAGAGCTGGAGAATATCAACAGGCATCGCACCTGCTCTGGAGATTTGAAGCTTGAGATTGATGCTGTGGATGTCATCTCCAATCTGCATCATTCAGACACCTCTAACACTCGAAACCATCTCATCACCAACCAACTTTGATATGGGAAGCTCCCGATCCTTCATCTCGACATTGAACTTGCTCAATCAATTTTTGTTGCTCGTCCAAGTGTCACTATCGTCAACTTGATTCTCGACCGGGCCGTCAAGGTACCTTATTCTCATCGTTTACGGAAGGCCCGTGCACAAGTCGTGACCAATTAAAGTCTTGAGATTTGCCTGCAGTCCCCACATAACGCTGTGCTTTTGTCTTTGTCGCTCTGGCCTTGGCAAATGCAAAGGGCGTCGACAATTTGTGACTGGTCTGATTTGCGGCGCACAAAGTCCAAATTGCTCAACGTCCATCCAACGTCATGTCGTCAACTTGAGCCTTTCTGGCTAATCTTCATCTACAATACCATCACCCCTCTTGAATAGCTTTGAAATATATGCCACTTGTTTCACCCCTTCTTTCTTCGTGCTGCCCGTTGCAATCATGAACGCAGTGAGTGTGTCATGTCCGATATCCGGCGCGCGTTTGTTATCAACACCAACGCACAACACCGACGCCAACACTCACAATGAGCCGTTTGGCTGCCTGGCCACTTGAACGACAATGGGTAATGAGACGAGACCGTCAGCAAGACATTACGGTTTCAGGGAACAAAGATGAACGTGTTGGAGAGACGGGGGATGAGGTGGACCCCAAGGCCAAACTTCCCTCCTCGAGGTGATATGACCTGAAGGGCTGAACTACCACACCTGTCTGAGTCTCTACCCCGAGTCACACTCACACTCACACTCGTCCACATCCAGAGCAACCTCCGATTAGTAACTCGTCTACTACCATCTACTCTCTTCGAGTACAACGAGGAACCATGCTCACCCTATCCAAGTGATCAGCTCTGCCTTCCAAGACAGCATGGTAGTCGCCCTCCATGGATGGCCTGGCTGGCCCCCATCTTCTTCCAGACGTTCATATTGCTGACATACTGCGTGATACGACGTGATTTACGCTTAGGCTTTGCTTTTCCCGGACCAACAACACCTTGTTCAAAGACCCTCGCATTTATCGCTTGGGGTCCATTTATCGTCAGCTACTACAGTCCATGTCGCTCGACAACGCAGCCTACAACTCGGTGCTACCCACCCGACATCTTGGGGCCCAGTGTTCTCAGCTTCCAGTCCCTCCCGGGTCTTGGAACGAAGAACGTAGCATTCTCATCCTTCCATAAGACAACGTGCTACGGCTGTGTTGCATCACCGACTACTACAGCCGTCGTCTATGCATTGTATGGTGCTCATCAGGTGCCACCCGGTTGTGTCATCCCCCCCTCGTGGGACGCACTGGAAACGCTGACGCAACCGAGCCCATCACTTCATGGCAAGCGGGTGTTCTCCGGCTCTACCCACCATGTGCGACTTCCTCAAGAGAGGCCTCAAAGGACCGCACTCCTTGTGATGGCCGCGAAACTCACATGTTGCTCAATCCTGCAGTCGACAGCTGGGCGGCACCAGTTCCCGGAACAGGACCCGTGAGTGGCTCAAAGTACTCCATCAACCTTGCTGTCGTAACGCGTAATCACGATGCTTCATGGGTTGACTTACACCAACATGCTACAATGGCCTCCTGGTACGACGCGCTCTTTAGACAACCTTTGCCTCGGGATAGCTTGGTTGTAGTGGCCGGCAAGTTATCTTCTTACCCATGGATGGGCCTTCAACTAAACGTTTCTCCAGATGGTTGCGTTCCGCATTTGCTGGAAAACCCACGTGACAGCAACCGCTGAGACTCGGTTGCTCAGCATACTGACAGCGGCGGCAGTGTCCCGGTCGCCTTGGCCCCAAAGGACGGTCTCCCAATCTCCCTCAACGGGACGGGAAGGTCCGGAATGGCTGCCTCGGTTTCTAGAGCTACACGACGATCAGGCCGACTCAGCTTCGTGTCACCTTCTGTGTTCTCGGGGTTTTAGGTGGACAGGAAACCCCGCCTCAACAGCTACGAAGCTTGCGGCGACATAGCACACTATTACGGGACCGTTGTGACGTTGTCGCCGGCGGCTGAGAGGCTTCGGGGCTCAACTTGATACCGGCGTACCTTCGGAGGGTTCACCTGCCCTTTGTCCCATATCGGCCACCTTCCACAACTGCCCCGCCTTCAAGCCACCATCACTAACGGATTCCTTCTGCGACTGTACCAACATTTCATTGGTTATAGGCTCGTGAGGTGCTTCGCGGTGCGCCTGACTTGCTTCTATACATGGTGGCGTTTCTTTTTAGCCGGAGCAGTGTCACCAAGATGATTCAAGTCACCACTATCCAACGACTGCAATTGGGTACATGGGCCAATGCAAGATTGACAAGCGGGGCACCCTTTCAGACTTTGAACGACCGACCGTCGTTTCTACCCTAGAAAACGGCGCCTGTACCACTTTGGCCGGTCTCGATCTGGTCAGCATTTCCTTGTGGCGATGCGGTTATGTGCCGTGCCAACAAGCGACAGGGATTGGGGCAATAACGGGCCAACCGGTCTAACTTCGAGGCAACACCACTCTGAAGTAGAGATACTCTTTGAGGGACCCTTGGACCCTTATAAAACCTCCACCACACGCAGAGGATGGTCGGCTACGTGTTATCTGCTTCGTCTTTTGATAAACGATGCACCTCAAGCCGGCATTTCTTCGACTTGGTGATCCTTGTCAGGTGCTTTTTGTTTTTACGAACAATCAGGATATGGCCAACGAGCCGCATCATAAGATGGCGAGACTTAAATGGGTGTATACCTCCTCTACGTCAACCACTTCGGGGAACACATGTTACCATGAGAGACCAGCCAAGGTTCAAGTTGATGGCCTCGATAGCGGTTGCACCAGACGATCCTGCGATGGAACGCGAGTCACTGTGGGGATGGCATTGACTGTATTTCGTACTGTCATGAACGCACTCGGATGCTGGCAAAGCTCTTCGTTGTGTGGACGTGACGAAGCATATCATTGAGTTCCTATCAGGAAGAAGAAAAAGACGAAGGATAGTCAGAAATGGCAGTCGGCCCCGATATACCACCCGAGGGAAAGGATGCGCAGGATCCAGGCGCTTCCCGTCCTTTGATTGACGTGGTTGCGGTTGCAATATTGGATTGTGCGGCAATGCGGCAAGGGATCCTTTGGGACCTGGTTATGGTTGAAGGAAGGTCGCATACTCCGAGTGAAAGATGGTGTGAATTGCGGTTGGTCAATGCAGTCGCTGGTCTCGTTGACGGTGGCGGAGCCTCAATCTTTGAGAGTCACTTCACGTCAACACCTCCCACAAACGGCGGCACGTTGTCCATTCCCGGCGGAGTGGATATCACCACCGGCAACAACCGCCAACAACTAACCGGCGCAGCTGCCCATCGCCCACCGCCGGTCTGCAACGGGTAGGGAACCTAGCAACGAACGGGCGGCGCTTGTGCTTTCGCCACGAGGTGCCAGCTGACGAACCTTTAAACTCTGGTCGCCAACCCAAGTGAACTGTGATTCTCGCGGCTCCAGGGTCCAGTTCCGCCCTGCCAGTCGGCACCCACCATCACAAGCAACAATTCACTTGGTCGGTGGTCACCGCCTTCCATCTGCCCAAGTCGCCCTTCACGCGACCATCGGCCAGAGCAATTTCTACTAGTACCCCTCCGGTCGTGCCTGGACTCCCTTTCTCTCCCAACCCGACTTCCACTCTTTTGTCCCTCACACAAAAACAACCCAAAGTCAACGCACACTTTCTTTCGAGAAACTTCTTCTTTGCCACCTAGCAGAGCATTTTGGCATTGGCTTTCTACCTCTTCTTGCTCATTAGCATTTTCTTTCGGTAACGTACATACCTGCGACTTCTCCTCTCCAGCGAGAACGGCGACTTTACGACTCACGACTTGAGGAACGACTGTCTTTGTTTTGTTCGTTTGGTTTTCGGCGTTCGGTCCAGTACTAGATATCTAATTTTTCTCAACACTGTCCCTCCTTAGAACTACCAAACCTCACAGCAATCATAATGTCTTACAAGATTCCGCTGTCTGAGCCCATCGCCATCGTTGGCAGCGGCTGCCGCTTTACGGGCGAAGCCACCTCCCCCGCCAAGCTGTGGGAGCTTCTGAAGCATCCCAAGGATCTTACGCGCGAAGTCCCCAAGGAGCGCTTCAACGTCGACGGCTTTTATCACCCGGATGGCGAATATCACGGCACCACCAATTCGGCCAAGGCCTACTTCCTCGAGCAGGACCATCGTCTTTTTGATGCCAGCTTCTTCAACATCACACCCAAGGAGGCTGAGGCCATTGATCCCCAGCAGCGCATGCTTCTCGAGGTCGTGTACGAGGCTCTCGAGTCTGCTGGTTACTCCCTCCAGGACTACTCCGGCAAGAAGGTCGCCGTCTTCGCCGGTGTCATGACGGCCGATTACGACACCCTCTCCCAGCGCGACGATCTTTCGGTCAGCCAGTACTACGCCACTGGCAACGCTCGCTCCATCATCTCGAACCGTGTTTCGTACTTCTTCAACTTCCACGGTCCTTCCATGACCATCGACACTGCCTGCTCGTCCAGTCTTGTCGCCCTCCACCAGGCTGTTCTCTCTCTTCGCTCGGGTGAGGCTGAGATGGCTTGTGTTTCAGGTGTCAACCTGATTCTCACCCCTGAGCAGTTCGTCGTCGAGTCGAGCTTGCACATGCTCAGTCCCACTGGCCGCTGCCACATGTGGGACGATCGCGCCGACGGTTATGCACGTGGCGAGGGTGTTGCTGCGATGTTCATCAAGCCTCTAAGCAAGGCTTTGGCTGACGGCGATCGCATCGAGGCGATCATTCGCGAGACCGGCGTCAACTCAGACGGCCGCAGCCAGGGCATCACCATGCCTAACTGGGAGGCACAGTCGACACTCATCCAAGACACTTATCGTCGCTCGGGCTTGAACGCCAAGGACCCTCTTGATCGTTGCCAATTCTTCGAGGCCCATGGTACCGGCACTGCTGCTGGTGGTAAGTTTTGTTATCTGCTTTTCACTCGATCACATCAGCTAACAGCTTCCCGCAGATCCCAATGAGGCTAGGGCCATTGAGGATGCTTTTTTCGGCCGTAACGTCAGCACCGCGGGCCAAGACACGGCCGAAGTGTCAAAGCTGCTTGTGGGCTCCGTCAAGACCGTCATCGGTCACACCGAAGGTGCCGCTGGATTGGCCGGTCTCTTCAAGGTGGTTCATGCTATGAACAACGGCACTGTGCCCCCCAACCTGCACTTCAACAGACTTCAGCCCGCTGTTGCCAAGTACTACTCACATCTTCATGTGCCCACCAAGGCCATGGCCTGGCCTTCTGTCCCGGCTGGCCAACCCAGGCGTGCCACTGTCAATTCCTTCGGATTCGGAGGAACCAACTCGACAGCAATTTGCGTAAGTTTCATCATACCTCGCTTGTCTTGCTTTCTCATTTGATGCTAACGGTTCTGTAGGAAATGTACGTGCCGGATATTCATGACCCGGTTGCCAAGATCTTTGCACCGACCCTGGCTGTGCCCAAGCTCATCGATTCGGGCTCTCTCTCGACTGATGGCCAGATTCGTCTGCCGCTGGTTCTTTCTGCCAGCTCGCCTAGGTCTTTGGGCGCTGTTGCCAAGTGCTATCGTGATTTTCTCTTGCAGTACGCATCGCTGCCTCTTGAGCAGGCGGCTTGGTATGCTTACAAGCATCGCACGGCATTCCCTTACCGCACTGCGGTTACCGGCTCTACAATGGACGACATCATGAAGGGTCTCGATGCCTTGATCACGAAGGCCGATGCCGGAAAAGCGGCTACCATCAGTGTCCGCGCTCGCCCTCAGGCCGACATTCCGAAGATCCTGGGTATCTTCACCGGCCAAGGTGCGCAGTGGGCCACCATGTCTCGTGGTTTGCTAGAGACTAGCAACGTTTATGCCCAGTCCATTCGCAAGCTCGATGATGTTCTTCAAGCCTGCCCTCATCCGCCCGCATGGTTCCTTGAACAGGAGATCATGGCCGATGCAAGTCTCTCTAGAGTTGGGAAGGCGGCCATCTCCCAGCCCCTCTGCACCGCGGTTCAAATCGCCCTGATCGATCTCCTTGCTCACTTGGGCATTACCTTCCACACCGTTGTCGGACATTCTTCCGGCGAGATCGCTGCGGCTTATGCGGCTGGCAAACTGTCTGCTCGCGATTCGATCCTCATCTCCTACTATCGCGGCAAATATGCTCACCTCGCCAGCGGTGCTGAGGGCCAATTGGGCGGCATGATGGCTGCAGGCCTCACCAAGGCAGAGGCTGAAGAGCTTTGTGCCATGCCGGAGTTTGGCAACCGCGTTTGTGTTGCTGCCAGCAACGGACCCAGCAGTGTCACTCTGTCGGGTGATCTTGACATTGTGCAGAAGGTTCGTGATCATCTCGTGAGCGAGAAGAAGTTTGCGAGAATGCTGCAGGTCGACACAGCTTATCACTCGCCTCACATGGTTCGGCCCGCTACCGAGTACATCGAGGCTCTTAAGGCTTGCAACATTGCTCCATTGCAGGACGGCAACGGCATTACCTGGGTGTCCAGCGTCTACGGCCACGGTGATCCCACCGCTCAGGAGCTCGCGTCTTCCTATTGGCACGATAACATGGTCAACGCAGTCCTTTTTTTCGAGGCTGTCAGCACTGCTCTCGAGGGACAAGGCCCCTTTGACTGCGCCATTGAGGTGGGACCTCACGCTGCCCTGCGCGGCCCCGTTACTCAGACCATGAAGGCCAACTCGGGAGAGGCCATTATCTACTCTGGTCTACTTGACAGGAAGCTCGACGATCGCATTGCCTTTGCAGACTTCCTGGGCTGGATGTGGTCCAACTTTGCCTCATCGTCGGCAATGATCCAAAAGTTCGTCCAGGACTCAGTTATGCCCGAACTGATTCAGCTTCGCTTTGAGCAGGGTCCTAACTATCCTTGGGATCACTCGCACACCTACTACCGCGAGTCTCGCGTTTCTCGCCAGTATCACTTCAGGACTCACAAACCGCATGAGCTCCTCGGCATTCGCACCAGAGACGACAACGAGCATGAGCTTAGATGGCGTAACATCATGAAGTACGCAAAGCTTCCGTGGGCCCAGGGGCACAAATTCCAAGGACAAGCGCTTCTTCCGGCTTCGGCCTATTGCATCATGGTTTTGGATGCTGCTCGCGTTCTTTTGGGTGATCGCGCCGCTTCTGTCGTTGAGCTGCGCGACTTGAGGTTCATGGCTGGTATTACGCTTGAGCCGGAGTCTCCCGGTGTTGAGACACTGTTCTCTTTGGTCGTGTCCAACTCTACCAAGGATGCGTCCACTATCGAGGCCACTTTCACGCTTACCTCGGCGCCTGCCGACGGTATTATTGACATGAAGCTCAACTTTAGCGGAAAGCTTCATATCCTCCTTGGAGAGAAGTCTCCCAGAGCACTCACTCATCGTCCTGCGCAGCGTGCTGAGACCCTCTCCGCCCAACCTGAGGCGTTTTACAAGATGATGGCGGGCACTGGTCTGGATTACCAAGGACCTTTTAAGGGATTGACGGCGATTGAGCGTCGCTACAAGTTTTCCTCTGGCAACGTTAAGAGGTTCCATGCAGATGACGAGACTGACTTGGACATCAGCCCAGCCACTTTGGACAGCTGCTTGCAGACTGCCTTCCTCACTGTTTCTTCCCCCGGTGATGGATCCCTGTGGACGTCATTCCTTCCCAAGGTGATGAGTCGCGTGAAGTTCAACCTCGCTACCTGCCACAGCGGCGCTCGCGATGATGAGCTTGCTGTGGATGCCTATCTGACCCAAGGCACTCCTTTCTCAAAGACAGCTGCGGCCTCATTCACGGCCGAGATCAACATCTACAACCCCAACAGCGATTTGGAGATTCAGATTGAAGGACTTACTGTCGGTTCCTTCACGTCAACACGCCCCGAGAATGATAGGGAGCTCTACCTTACCACCATCTACGAATTGGATCCTGAGGATCAGATCGTTTCTTCACCGCCGGAAGCCATCAATGGCGTGAGCCCTATGCTCTTCGAGAGCTGTGCCAGGGTTGCCTCCTCATACGTCGAGCGTGCCGCACTCGAGCGCTTTAGGGAGACGCCCAGGGATCTGCTTGAGCCAGCCGGCTACCAGACCGAGACTCGCCTGGTTTCCAACTCCTGGCCCCGCGAGACTGAGAAGAGCCTGGAGAAGTTCATCCGCTCTTCTCCTTACTTTATGACTTTGGACTTCATCCGCCACCTGGGAGAGAATCTTCCTGACGTCCTTCCCGGCATGCTCCCCACATTAGTCCAAGAGGCACAGCAACTGTCATATTTCCAGAAGCAGGTCGGTCGTGTTGTTCGCCAAATTGTGCACAAGTATCCTCGCATGAACATCCTTGGCTTGACTGATCCCGAGATGGGCTTGACCGAGCACATCATGGCAGCACTCGAGGGATCGTTCCTCAGTTACCGCATTGGTGGTAAGCCTGAGGCAAATCTCAAGGAACGCACGCCTCTTTTCGAAGGCATTCGCAAGAAGATCATGGTTGATGAGGTTGACCTCGAGGGTGAGGTCGAGTCCGCCGGCGGACCTTATGACCTTGTGGTTCTCAACACGTCCATCCTCGAGAACAAGAAGACTCATTCCGCGCTACAACTTATCAGGGACTCGATGCGTCCTGGCGGCTTCCTTATCGTCCTCCATGCATCTCGCACTCCGCTCAAGGACAGGATGCTTCGTTGCGCTGGCCGTCCTTCGGCCCATGATGGCACCACCACGCCTCCCGATTGGCCTGATCTCATTGAGGAGTGCGGCTTTGAGAATACTGCAAGGAACTCGGACACGTGGTTCAATCCTGGATTCACGTTGAGTGTAAGACAGGCAAAATCACGGAGGAAGAAGCAACTGCTCCGGCCTCTTCATCATGCCACCACGACTCCTCTGGTCGAGCATGTTCTCATCGTGGGCGGCAAGAAGGTCTGGACATCTTGCATCTCTTCCGGCGTTCTCCAGGAGCTTGCGTTGTTCTGTGAAAAGATCACTGCTGTCGACTCCTTCGAGGATATTCAAAATGACGAGTTGCTCTCATCATGCACCGCAGCCATCATCCTTGGCGATATTGATCAGCCTATTCTTGCCGATATGACCGCTGAGCGGATGAACACCATTCGGTCCTTGCTGCATCCACAGATGCTCATCATGTGGGTCACTCACAATGCCAGGTTTACCAATCCTGACCATGCCGCCTCGCTTGGCTTTACCAGAACGGTTACTGGTGAAGTCCCTGGCTTGCACATCCAAGTGCTCGATCTCGACACCATCGACACTCGACCAGCTGTTCGCGCCGTGTCTGAGACGTTTGCCCGGTTCATTGTTCACTTTCTCGGAGAGAAAAACGAGGACGATGAGCCCCTGTGGATTCGCGAGCACGAGGTGCACCTTGAGCGTGGCCGCTTGATCGTCCCTCGCGTTCTCCCTTGGAAGGAGGGCAATCAGCGCGTCAATGCGCCACGCCGCGTGGTGACTGATACAGTCAATACGCTGGAGGACGTTGTTGAGGTCTTCCGTTCAACCTCTGGTCGCTACGAAACTCGGGTTGAGAGGAGCAGCTTCTATCCTTCGCTTGCCGAATCGGCCATGCATGTGGACTACAGCACTGTTAACATGTTCAAAGTTGGAGGCTTGTGCTCCGGTTATGTCTCCATTGGCCGCAACAACCAGACCGGCCAAGCTCAAGTTGCACTCTGCAAGTCGAACAAGTCCTACATTTCGACTGCTTCCACGCTCTTCAGCACGCTCCCTGAGGGTACACTTGGCGTCTGTGAGCCACTCTACCTTGGCTTGCTGAGCAGGTATCTTTATGCTCTCACGGTCGCCAACTTGGCTGGTGGCAGGGCTGTCATGATCATCGAACCCGACCGTTTACTCTTCGAGTGCGCCAAGGATGTCTTTAGCAACCGCGGCATCATGTTCGTGGGTGCTTCTACTGATGAGCGACGTAGCCAAACGGTTCCTGGTATGACCTTTGTTCATACCCAGTCGACTGCTAGACAAATCGAGGCCCTTTATCCCATCGACGGAGCTTGCATTGTCAACATGCTGCCTAAGAGCCACGACATCTCTCGCATGCTAGTTGACTCGATGCCCGAGAACTGCTTTTATTTCACCCAAGGTGATTTCGTCTCTGCTCACTTCACGGCCCGCCCCATCGGAGAACTGACTCAGAAGCTCTGGGAAGAGGGGGTAGCCCTTTCCTACAACAGCATGAAGAAGATGCTATTCGATGTCAAGGAGCTTTCTCTCGACATGCAGAATCCCATTGCCTTGCCCAAGTTGCTTGACTCTGCTGTTTCTGAAGAGGCTTTCCAGATGCTCGACTGGAAGGCTGAGCGATCTATCGCTCACATGGTCAAGCCTACTGTGGGTGAAAAGATGCTTCGCGCCAACAGGACCTATGTCCTTGTCGGCATCACTCGCGATATGGGCCAGAGTCTCTGCTCCCTCTTCATCGAGCAGGGTGCTCGTCACCTTGTCTTGTGCAGTCGTAATCCTCCGAAGGAGCAGCCTCAGTGGCAGAAGGAGCTCAATGCTCGCGGTATCAAGGTCAAATTTGAGGCGATGGACGTGACCAACCTCAACACGGTTATTGCCTTCAAGGCGAAGCTCGCCAAAGACGCCTGGCCGCCTGTCGGGGGCGTCGTCAACGGTGCCATGGTTCTTGACGACCGTGTCTTCTCCGAGATGTCAGTCGAGACGTGGAACCGTGTCATGAACCCCAAGGTAGTTGGTTCCAAGAATCTCGATGAGGTCTTCAACTCTCCGGACATGGATTTCTTCATCATGACCTCGTCCTTTGCTGCCATTGGTGGCCACGCCGGTCAGTCGAACTATGCGGCTGCCAACATGTTCATGAACGGCATCGCCGCTTCTCGTCGTTGCCGCGGACTGCCGGCCACGGCTCTCAACATTGGTGTCGTTTACGGCCTGGGTTTCTTGCATCGTGAGAAGGACGACTTGTACGCCGGCCTGGAGCGCGAGGGATATCCGCCTATCTCGGAGCGGGATCTTCACCATATGTTCCTTGAGGCCATTGCTGCCGGCAAGCCTGTTGGTGACCAAGTCTACGACATCACCACTGGTATGAACCGGTTCCGCATGGACGCGCCCAACCAGCACTGGCAGCTCGATCCTCGTTTCTCTCACAACACCCTCCCTGTGGAGGACGAAACTGCCGCTGGCTCTGCCGGTCAGCAAATCAAATCACTTTCTGAGGATCTTGAAGCTGCCACCACCAAAGAGGACGTGATGAAGGTCTACATCCCTGCCTTCATCGGCCGCTTGGAGGCCCTCCTGCAGATCGTCGAGGGTGAAATCACGCCTGCCAACAGTGTGACCGAGCTTGGCGTCGACTCCCTTGTCGCGGTCGAGATCCGCTCCTGGATCTGGAAAAGTGTTGCCCAGGACGTGGCAGTCATGAAGATCCTTAGCGCCACCAGCATTGCTCAGTTGTGCGAGGGCATTGCCGCTGACCTTCTGGCCACCCGTGACGCTGCGGCCAAGAAGTCTGCTGCTACCGAGCAGAAAAAGGAGATACCCACTGGCGCTTCCAAGACTTCGGAAGCCGACGGTAGTTTGCTCAAGTTGGCTCCGAGCACCACTCCCTCTTTGCAGGCTTCGATCAGCACCTTGACTGAGTCCACTGTGGTTTCGATCGTCAGCACTGCTACTGTGGTCTCCACCGCCAGCACTGCTACCAGCATTGGTGATGATACTGATGAGGATAGGGCCCTATCGGGTAGTTGGGAGGATGTTGGGAAGAAGGAGTCGTCCATCTTTCTTTAAGCGATGGCAGGGATCTTCGGTGCGATTTGGTTCGATGATTTGATGGTTCGATTTTCTGATGGTTTGGTTCGATTTCTTTTCTTTATTTTTTCTAATACTTTCTTGTTCTTTTCTCCTCCACTAGACTCAAAAGTGGAATATTCTTTCTAGATTTCTTTTCTTTTCTTTACTTGCTCTCACGAGCTAGACAGATATTCATGGTTTACTATATACCCTCGGCGGCAGCCTTTCTACATGGATGATGGGTCGGCGTTTTCTCTTCTTGCTTGATAGGGGGTTTCCATAGTTTCGCAGTCATATGTCACCGGATATCGGTCGGACATGGCTTTCTCATTTCCAAACACTGCGTTCTGAATACAAGGACGAGTGGGGAAATAGTTCGTAGATATAGTAGAACAAAAAAGTTCACCAAAAAAAATCTCGTGTGTTTCCCTTCCCGTTGCAGTGCTGAAGCAAGTGACAACGATGCTGGCAATGTTTGCTTGCTAGGCAAATTGCCTTGAGGATAGATACCAGTAGGCCAATCGCTTGCGCTTCCTTAATGTTGCCATATCCCTGATTTTCCTCAACACTTACGCGGTGGTGATAGCTAAGTGATGTGGACCAGTTGGATTCCGTACACTGCGTGATAACATGCTTTTCCCCGGTAGTTATGGTAGGTAAACTATCGCGCCTCTCAAAAGGACTGGCATGTCGCGGTACGAGAATGACATTTAACGCAGCCCAGCTCGAGTATCAAAGGAGTTTGTTTGTGTTCCTTAAGAGACTCAAATAATCTGCCATTTTGAATGTGTTTTGTCCAGCCATATCTCGATGACAATATTCCAAATTCCCAAGTTTGTACGATACCGAGACATGACGACTGTGGAACGAGGACATGAGCATTGTGGAAGCAATGCATATAGTTGTGGTGATCGATATAACTTCCAACAGAAAACGGGTTGGGCTTCGAGTGACTAGAAGGAATGGGCAAGCCAGGAAGAAGAAAAAATCAGCAGCCAGAGAGCAAGATGCCTACGAAAACTGTATCACTATTTACCAACGCAACAAGCAATGTTATCTGGGCCCAGCCACATGCCACTAGATCACGACGACGCGGAAATCTTTATTAGCGAGGGATCTCGGAGATTTATAGATGGGCGCTGAATCGTGACCTTGTAAGGCTCGGGTCAAATTTTCGGATGCCTGGCAAGTATCTGGCTGGTTGGTAAAGGTGGAGGGCGGGATTTGGATATAAGGAATCCAAGTGCGATGCGCTTGGTGTCGTCCATACGAAGTCGCCACACATGGCCAGGAATTGGCTGGGTCGCACGACATCTACATCTCCCGATCGTGTAATGCACCGCAAGTGTATAACTATCACCACTTCGCTCTATAAAGCCGAGGCGTTCGTTCCCTCGTCTATACTCCACGCCGGCGGGATTTCGGTTCGTACAACAGGAGCCTTTGGACAAACCTTAAGTAACCACTTCGTCTTGTATGACGGACGGAAGCATAAAGCGCATCCGATTTGCCGTTTAATATGCGCAAAAAGCGTCGGTCGTCATTCCCACTCCCTTCATTTGAGCGAGTTCCTGCATTTTGAGGTTGTAGTCACGGTCTTGGGACGCACCTTCCCACTTCTTGGCGGTGGTGAGAAAAGGTCCCCTAAGCTTTTTCGGGCGCGGGTCGCGGAGGTGGACGCGGACACGGCGGCATCTTCAACAGGGCTCTTGTCCGGGATTCTTAACTCAGGCTGATATCAAACAGGCATAATAGGTATTTAATGAGGCAAATCAACGCAGCACAATAAAAAGGGACAAGAAAACACGATGTTGCTATAATGCATTCCGTTAACGTGGTGCACCGCGACGCTGTGGAACTTGCCCCTCACTAAGAAGCAAGCCAAGGGGGCCCAGGGGATACCAAGGCTCTTGTGGGTAAGCATTTGGCCATTTCCCCTCATGACACCACTTCCAATTTGGAACATGCGGAATCAGACTTCCATCCCGCTTTTCCCGTTTTCCATCTGGGGTAAGACAAGGGAAAAGTCGAGATCTTGGGTGTTAACACGGGGCACAGAACTTTGGGAAAATGCGTGCCTGTAAGCAGGTAAAAGCGGGATGACAAAGCCCGAATGGTTTCCAGATTCCCGGCTTGGGTCGCTTGGGTAGGAGACATGCAGGACCACATTGTCGACTCCGACGAGATTTACCATGGCTTGGGTATGATGAAGAGAAACAGTCGAACGACGTGGAGAGGGGTATATAAGGGGTGGCTGGAAGCCGGACTGGGCAAGGTGGGATGCGGATACGGTTTTTAAGCGGTCAGTGAGGGGCTTGCGCATCGTCCGAAAAACACAATGAAATCCATCATCACCTTCCTCGCCCTTCTGATGGAGGCGTCACCCGTTCTCGGCGCTCCGGGCAAGGGCATCAAGCCCGGCCCCGACGGAAAGTACACCATTGCGGCTCCGGGAATCAAGGCGCAGTTCATCCCCTACGGCGCGACCCTTACCAACCTCTTTGTCAAAGATAAGAGCGGCAAGGACATTGACGTCGTTCTTGGTCATGATGATGTGGACTATTACCGTTAGTGATTCGACGAAGCAAAGCATTCCAAGTCCAATGCAGAATCCACTAACGTGAACGACAGCCAAGGACCCGGGCCATCCCGTATACAACGCCATTCCAGGCCGTTATGCCAACCGCATCGGCAAGGGAAAGTACACCATCGACGGCGAGGAGTATCACACCGAGCTGAATGACGGTGACAACACTTTGCACAGCGGCACCAACAACTGGTCATTCCGGTTTTGGAACGTCACCGAACACACGCCCACTTCCATCACCTTCGCCATATCCGATGCTTCCAACTCATCGTTGGGTATGCTGGGTCGCGTTGACTCCACCGTGACCTACTCTGTGAGCAAGAACACCTGGCACATTAAGATGAACGCGGTTTCTCCCGAGAGGAAGACTCGTAAGTGACTGAAGGAACTCACCTCCCTTAGCTCTAGTATTGGGCAGCCATGTTAATACGGCCAAGCTGTCCTTCTAACTCAACACACATACTTCAACCTTGACGCCTTCAAGAACCCGGTCACGGACAAGATTTGGGATCATACCCTGTATATGCCCTACTCGGCGCGCTACCTTGAAGCCGACCAAGGTGCCCTCCCCACTGGCAAGATTCTGACTGCAGCGCCGGGCTCCATCAACGACTTTGCCAGCGCTGCCGGCCTCGCCTTGGGTCACGCTCGCGATCAGCCGGGATTTTCAGGTAATTGCGGTGCTGATGGCGCATGCGAGGGCTATAACGGGTATTGGCTGATCGAGGATAAGCCGTCGAGGGATGCCGTGGTCGTTTCTCTGGCGAGCCCGTTCTCTGGTGTCAAAGCCGATCTCCGGACTGATCAACCGGGTGTCGTGCTGTATTCTTGCAACTGGATGGACGGCAGTGCGCAGTTGAAAAGCACACAAAAGCTTGTTGTGAATGGGACGACGGTGCCCAGAACTGTCGGTAGAAGCTCGTGTGTTGCCATTGAGGCTCAGGATTACCCCGATGGTATCAATCAGTATGTCTTCCTCCACAAAACCACTATCCGGAACTCTCGATAGCTAACCCGAAGGCAAAGCCCGGAATGGGGACGTGTGGCCAAGCAAATCCTCGGCCCTGGCCAAAAGTACAACTGGGAAAGCTCGTGGACGTTCGGGCTGGTATGAGGTCAGACGAGCCGGCGGACGTTGTGATGGCGAAGAGGCGATTTAGAAAACGTCAAGGTGTGGTGGGAAACCTAATCAGACTAAGGAATCACCACCTTACCCGTCATGCTCCCTTATCGGTCTCAATGATAATGTGTCGGATTGTTCTTCCGGAACGATACCAGTCTTCTGTGGCGACCTCAAAGTCGCAAGCCGTGCTTCCCACTACCATTTGTCCCACGGGTCATGATGGAACCCGTATACCTGCAGCCCTGTCTATCAGCAGGTAACTTGGAAGCCAGGAAGCCGGGCGGGACACACCTCGGAACTCATGTGAGAGCGTTCCGGGGACAGACAGGCCGTGATGGCGAGAAAATCATAACCCAATCGTTATCATGGCTTTTGCTGCCGAGTTCCGCTTGAAGTCGGCTTGTTGGCTGTGCTTTCCATTCCTCCGGTATCATATTGCAACTCTGTAAGAGGCAAGTTGGAACCTGGATGCAGACCTGGTGATACTGTCACACAGGTGTGTCTGCCACAGTGAGAGTGATCATGATGCTCCCCGCGTACATAGCTCAGTGTTGGACCACGGCCGGCCGAATATCGAGCAGCTTGGACCCAAAGGGAAGGAGCCAGATTGCTGGGTATGTTGGCTTGACTGGACGCGTAAGGATCGTGGAAGACCTTCTCGACTCTGTTCGGCCCTCTCGCAGAAAGGGCCGATGAAACATGGCACTAGCACATGGCAGGCTAGTATACCTGGCACATGTACAAGTGACCCACGGCGGACCAGCATTGTTGGATCCTCATTGCCAAGATTGGAAGGTGATATGGACGACTAGCGAAAGTGACTGGGAAGCACAAGCGGACACAGTATTTTAGGTTGTATAACGTTATCGCTACCCAGCGCTTCTATTATCGGACACGGATTAGGGTAATTGGGGTGGAATTCGAGACGAACGAGCGAGGAGTTGAAAATGCCGCGGTTAGAGGCAAAACAAGCTGTATTGATTGATGATATTGTCTGCCAAGCTGTCAAAGATGGTGGGTGGGTGGTATACAGGCTTGTCGCCGCTGCCACATTCCTGGGCGTGCAGACGATGGCATCAAGACGGCAGCAGGATGGGTGGCCAAGCAAGAGATCGGGCGATTGATTGCGCTGGGCGCATATTTGACAGGTCTTGTCGATTTCTTGTCGATGCTTGTCGGTGCTTGTTGTTGCTTGGCTATTCCCGAGCGCGGGATGTCTGCTTCTGACGTTATGGCACACGGTCAGTCGGATGTTCTTTTGTTGTTGTCACTAAGACAGCCAACAAAACTTACAAGCGGATTTTCACATGGAAGCGAACCCTTATCCAAGGCCAAGAATACCAACCCTGTAGCCGTCTGGGCTTTTGGAGCCCCTATTCCTGATGCCTAGACCTCAGTACTAGTGGCAGTCCGGCCCTCTGAAGGATCATTAAAGAAGCAAGAAAGCAACAAAAGACAAGGTGTCTTGGCTAACCGGCGAGTCTAATTGAACTGCCGCATCCAGCAGTTTACCCCAGACGTGCCCATGTCGTACCAAACTTTGAAGGGAAACCGACGAGGGGAGGCTCGACACAAGCTAGCCAGCCTGGTCCAGGGTTCCGACAGTGAAGCGTTTGCCATTTGTCGAGAGCTTATCTTGTGTAAGCTTGGCGTCGATCGGAGACACTGGGCCGTGAGAGGTTGATGGGCTGAGCAGAGTTGACAGGGCTGGCACTGTGTGTTTGGTTTGCTACACTCCTTTGGGAGACACTCGACTCTACCATGCTGTTTCATTCCGCCCCTTTGCCAACGAAGGTTGTGATCATGCCTTCTCTGTTCGACGAAATGGTCACTAATAGTACCATGACTCTGGTCCCAATCGGACAGAACAAAGATGGGCTGCATGGCGCTGAGTGTGAGGGGATTCCGAGGGAAGAAGGTCGCTGACGTTGTTGGCGCCAACGGTCTCTTGGCCCCGGATACCGGCGCACAAGGTAGACAGAGGCTCAGAGAGGGAATCCCTTCACGGTCGCTGAAGCGCAGGGTGTTGTGTGTGACGGACGAGCCATCATGACCATTGGTGCAGGACACCATTACCATTGCCATCGTCGAAGCCGGGAAGGCGATTCGGATATTCCGTTACCCAGTCTCTCGCCAGTCAGCCCCTGCTGGTTCACCTGGTTCCGTTGGGTGCACTGGTTGCCAAAGAAGAAGAATCTTCAGCGGAAGGAGGGGCAAATAAGGATAGCGAGTGATGCCCGAGCACTACACAGCGAGGCAAAGACAGGAAGGGAAGGGACAATGTTAAAGATGGTGGGATGAACGATGCCACCACAACGACGGCTCTTTCCTCCCGTCAACTGGAACACCACTGCACCAAACGGGCAGGAGCCTCCATGTTAGTGGATTTGGTGAGTTTCGCGCCTGTATCTTAACAGTTGATATTATGTAGCGCTCGTACCCCATCCAGCCCCTTTGCTCGTTTGCTCGTACCGTGACCTCCTCAACCAGTTGAAGTGGTCGCCAATGCAATCCCACCCAATTTTGATAGAACCGCACGATTGCCCTTGCCTTCCATCACCAGTTCCTCTGGAAAAAGAAGGTCGTCACTGGGCCGCCAGTGGTGATACGTGAGAATTAAGTTATCTTGGCATGCCGTACCGTGTGGATTTGACCATCTCCCCCACTGTAATTGCCCACTTCTCCTTTAGGCCTCACCCTGGCTTATCATGGACGGTCAGGAAAGCTGAAAGAAGAAAACAGGTTCGTGATCTTGTTTGCAAACTGGTGAACAAGGGGCGGCTGAGGCGCTTGTGGAATGTGGTCGGGGGTTGTGACGGTCGCAAAGCAGATTGGGCATCTCCCTAACACTGACATGTGGACTGCGGAGCTAGGGATGCCTCTAACAGCCCACACTAACACTAACACCTGGACTTTGTGATCCTTGTGCTCCACGGGCTGAGATCCGAGTAAATAACGAGACACTGCGTGTGTTCTCAACCGAAACAAGTCCAATTGACCAGTAATGAGAGATGGGGACCAAGAGATTTCTTGCTGTCAGTTGCCGCAGTTTTGTCTCTTCTTCTTCCCGTTCAGGTCTGTCCCAAAACAGAGGCCTCGGTAAAACACACACTGTACTGAGGAACAGTTAAAGGACCCCCCAATCAGAAGCACATCATCCACTATGGTAACCCCCCCTCGGCCTAACGCATAATGTCACTGGAGAAACAGGCGCCTTCCCGAATTGGCAGCTCATTAACGCAGCTCTGTATACAGTTAGCCAGTTAAACGACAGGAGCGAGCGAGGTCTCGACCCCGGGCCCGACTTCGCTCATCCTTCCTTGGATAGACGACTGGGCGAGACATTACGGTGGCAGTCGATACAACCTTCTTGAAGATGGTTGATGGACACGGAAGGGTGGCGGGATGCCATCCGAAGAGGAGAGGTCGTCGACCGGGAGGGTTCAACACGGAAGGAGGAACGGACGTGACTACCCCTACAACGGACACTGGTACGTACTGTTGCACGGAATGCCTCCTTCCACTTGTGAAAGACATCTGAGCGTTGTTGTATTAAAACACCAAGTCCTCCTTCCTCGAATCCATCTTGCTGGTCTCTCTTTCCCTGCAGGTCTATCCTCTTCATCCCAATTCACTCAACCTCTTCAATGCAGTGTTGAGCCTCTATTCTTAATATCTGAGATTCTTCCTACAACACCGCATCTCACTATCGACACCTCCAGTACCTACATACTGCATCCTTCTTACCCCTAATTCCCCACGGGAACCCTAAAGCATATCCCTGGGGTGACATCACAACTGCGGCCCAAGATGGCGCAAAACGTCACCGAGATCCACGATGTGGGCGTGGACAAGAAGTCTAGCCCATACGATGAGGCCCGCATCAACGAAAAGGCCCCCTACGACTTTGCTGCCGAGGAGGCCCCCATCGACCGTGCCGTCGAAGCGTAAGTTTGACCTTACATACACCATGCAACGGCCCGTTCCGTTGTGGAAAAGACCATGACTAACACCAACAACAACCACAGTGACTTCAATGTCACGGAACAGGATCTTCAGGAGGCCAAGGCCCTCGCCGACAACATGTCGCTCGAGGAAGTCCGAGCCCTCATGGAGCAGGTCCTTAAGATCCACGGCAACGACCCCAACTTCCCCCACACCATCATCACCAAGATCGAGGAGTTTCTGAGCAACGACAGCATCCTGGAGAATCCCGAAAAGTATGAGGAGATCATCTACGAGATGAAGATTGAGGCTGCCCTCATCACCAACAACTCGCCCTACGCAGAAGTCCGTGCCGTTGTCGACAACCATGATGATCCTACAATGCCCTCCTCCACCATCCGTGCCTGGGTCATCGGTATCATTTTTTCCTGCGCTCTCGGTGCCATCAACCAGCTCTTCTCCATCCGCATGCCTGCCATTACCGTTGGTCTCAACGTCGCCCAGCTGTTGGCCTTCCCTCTTGGCAAGTTCTGCGAAAAGACGCTCCCGGATATCGGCTTCACCCTCTTCGGCTCTCGCCACAGCCTCAACCCTGGACCCTTCAACCGCAAGGAACACATGCTTATCACCATCATGGCCAACGTCGCCGGTAGCACCCCCTACACCAACAACATCATTTGGTCTCAGTATCTTCCTCAGTACTTCAACCAGTCCTACGCTGGCCAGTTCAGCTACCAGATCTTGATCGCCCTCTCTACCAACATGATCGGTTACGGCATGGCCGGCTTGACCCGTCGTTTCCTCGTCTATCCCAGCTACTGCGTCTGGCCCGCCTCGCTCGTCACCATTGCCCTCAACAACGCCTTCCACAGCGAGACAAACGTGCCTGTGCTTGGACCTCTCAAGAAGGTCTTCTCCATGTCGCGCTACACCTTCTTCCTGTGGGCTACCTTGGCAATGTTCGTCTACTTCTGGCTTCCCAACTACATCTTCCTTGCTCTCAGCGCCTTTAGCTGGCTCTCCTGGATCTCCCCGAACAACATGGTTCTCAGCAACATCACCGGCTTCAATAACGGTCTCGGTCTCAACCCGTGGCCCACGTTCGACTGGAACGTCCTGCTTTTTGACGCCACCGACCCGCTCATGGTTCCCTTCTTTAGCACGTTTAACAAGTTCGTGGGCATGTTCTGCTCTTTCTTCGTTGTCATCGGTATCTGGTGGACCAACGCCTACAACACGGGCTACCTGCCCATCAACTCGAACAAGGTCTACGACAACACAGGCGGCCGCTACGACATCTCGCGCGCAATCAATGAAAAGGGTCTGTTCGATGCTGAAAAGTACGAGGCCTACTCGCCTGCTTACCTGGCTGCCGGCAACTTGGTTGTTTACCTCTTCTTCTTTGCCATCTACCCTGCCACTCTCGCCTATATCCTGCTCAACCACCGCTACGAAGTTAGCATGGGCTTCAAGAACCTTTGGAACTCGCTCCGCAGGAACAAGAACACCGAGGTAGGCCAGTACAAGGATGTGCACAACCGTCTCATGGCCGTCTACTCTGAAGTTCCCGAGTGGTGGTACCTGATTGTCCTCGTTGGCGCCATCGGCTGTGGTATCGGTGGCATTGCCGGCTGGGAGACCTACACCACTCCTGCTGTCGTTTTCTACGGTCTTATTCTCTGCATCGTTTTCGTCATCCCCGTCGGCATCGTCAAGGCCATGACCGGCATGGAAGTCACCCTCAACGTCTTGGCCGAGTTCATCGGTGGTTCCTGGGTTGAAGGCAACGCCCTCGCCATGAACTTCTTCAAGTCGTTTGGCTATGTCACCTGCGCCCACGCCGTCTGGTTCGCCAACGATCTCAAGCTCGCTCATTACGTCAAGATCCCCCCCAAGCACACCTTCGCCGCCCAGGTCATTGCCACGCTCGTCTCCACCTTCATCTGCACCGGCATTCTCAACTTCCAGATGAACGATATCCCCAACGTCTGCACCAATGATGCCCCTAACAAGATGACGTGCCCGGGTATCAACACCTTCTTCACGGCTTCGGTTCTCTGGGGTACCATTGGCCCCAAGAAGATCTTTGGTCACAACGGCCAGTACACGGTCCTCATGATCGGATGGCCCCTCGGTCTTATTCTCCCCGTCATCATCTGGTACGTCCAGAAGAAGTTTCCCCAAAAGAAGTGGCTGCGCCAGATCCACCCCATAGTCCTGCTGTACGGAGCCATGTACTGGGCCCCCTACAACCTGTCATACGTTATCCCCTCGGTCTGGATCGGCTGGCTTTCTTGGATCTGGTGCAAGAGCCGCTTCCTCGGCTTCTGGTCCAAGTACAACTTCGTCCTGTCGGCCGCTTTCACCACGGGTATCTCGGTCGCTGCCGTCATCATCTTCTTCAGCTTGGACTGGTCGGGTGTCGAGGTTAGCTGGTGGGGTAACAATGTGGTTTATCAGGGGTGCGAGGATACAGCTTGCTTGTTGAAGGAGTTGAAGGAGGGAGAGATTTTCGGGCCCGGACCGGGTCAGTTCCATTAAGCGTGGAAGAGTGAGGGAAGGAATGGTTGTTTGGTTGGTTGTTGTTGAATGTTGTTGATACCCAGGTTTTGATGATGTATGGTTGAGTGATGTGGGAAATTGAATAATGTCGTATGGTAGTATGATTAGTATAGCCTTATATGTCTTTGTACATGATGATAATGATGTTGGAATAAACAACCGTGTGCCACGTCGTGTTGGGCTGTGCATGTCTTTATCGTCGTTGGTGGTGTGTTGGTTTGGTTACATGACCAAAGTGATTCGAGGATGTAGGTAAATCATCGTAACCCGCTTTCTCGAGTATTGCGAGGTCCAAAGCGTCGCTGTAGCCGACAACACGAGAGTTCCTCTTCGTCAGGAGTATATATATGTTTACTTTCGGACAGACTCAATCGATCGGTACTCGCCATTGAAGTATTCAAACTTACTGATCACTTTCCTCATTAATCCGTCGCCTTCCTTTTGTCTTCCGGCGTTATCTTTTCCGCTGGGATACTCCCGTTGAACACTTTCGTCTTAGACTACCTAGACTAGACATATCCTGACATCCTGCGAAGAGCTGCCACTCCACTACCCCTCACAATCCGAGGAAAAGGAGGATCGGACCGTATCCCACCTGGATTATCTACCAGTACTACCACAGGGAGTGCGTGAGAGTAAATCCTGTCCCTGCCCCTCAGGGTATCGATCGATGAATCAATGTTTATTTCCTTCTCTCATCCCTCACAGACTGTCCAGACACCAGCTAGTTTTGGTCATCTGCTTCTGGACTGTTTAGCCTCCTCCCTTTTTGTGTTTTCTGGCCACCCATCCTATTCGTTCGAATAATATTGAAGTATCGTACGCAGTTCCCCTTATTCTCGAAAAGTGCGGCGGCCGCTTAGGTATAGTAGACTTAATCGAGACCATGATCGACGAGACGACGACGTCCCACTGCACCTGTCCGTCCATCCCGCCGTCCATCCCTCCGTCAATCCATCCATCAAAAGTAGGTAGAAATAGTCACACATTGAATGCTAAGAGAACAAAATGGTAGGTAGAAGCAACAAACTGTTTTTCTCTATAGGAAACAGAATAGTATTGTAGTAGATTGCGATTGCCGAGGTAGGAAGACAGTGAAAACCCCTAACCGATCGATGGGTCTGAAGCCACCATCGGCCTCATCCTCTGGGTGACGATGATCTCTGCAGACAGGTACCGGTAGTAAGTGAGCCGACGGGTCCGAGGCTCACTTCCTTCCCTGCCCTGGTGACCGTACCGATCCAGCAGACAGATGAGAAGGCAGGTGAGAAGGCAGGTGACAAGGCAGATGTACATGCAAGTCTCAGCCTAGATTTCGCCTCGGGTTTACCATCTGATCCATACATATATCTATGCATGCATGTTTATCTATCTGTATGGACAACGCGCCGTATCCTCGTCTGATCTGCTGGCCTTGCGGCGTCAGTTCGTCGCGCCATTACTGCCTGCTGAGAACGTGACCCTGCACAATGCAAAGCCTGTTCGACATCGACATGCTCACCAGATTGTTCGAGACACGCGATTCCGAGTATATCTGCCCATGTCTGTAATCCAAGTGCTCAAGTTGTTGATTTGTCATTGTTCTCTGATTAAATTGATTACGGCCATTTCTAAACAAGCCGTCATAATATTGTTTGTATCTTTTATTGCCGTTGCTTCCGCCACCTTCTTCATTCATGGTAGTGCTTCATGGGGTGCATCATCATGTTCGGGGCATATCTCTTGCCGTCCTTTTCGACAATGAGCCAGGGGTGGGCGACATCATTGGGCAGCTCCTTGCCCATCCAGGCATCAACGATTTGCCTTGGCCACTCGCTCTCCCACCAAAAGGTCAATCCCATGCCTCTTGGGTGCTCCCACAGGTTGGGGCCGACGCCATCGGTGCTGTTGGCCGGTCCGCCCTTCCACCAGGCGTTTTGCGTCTCGTCGTCGTGCTCATTCTTCCAGAACACGGGGTGCTGAGGGAAGCTCAGCTTGAGACCGTGCCAGAGCGCAAAGCTGGACGGTGTCGCTTCGCTGGGTGCTCTCAGTCCCTTCACTAGTTGCGCCTCGTGGATGGCGAGTAGAAGTGTCCGGCTGGTCCTGGTAATCGCGGGTGGGCAGAAAAAGCGAGGCGTGCTGGTTCCATCCTTGAAGCCTCCTAACCATCCCTTGAAAACCCAGGCATCGGCCTTTTGCGCATTGTTGCATGCCGACGTAACGATCACATCCGCGTCCTCGCCGACACCCCATTTGAAGTCCTCGTTTTCCGCCAGCTCAGTCGGTGGCGCGGGTCCGATGGGATCGATGTCGGGAATGCTCAGAGGGCCCCAGATGTACGCCCCACCCTTGTTAGCCCTGTTGACCGCGTCGGAAAAGTTCTTGTAGTCTCCAATCTTGTTCTCCATCTGCTGAAACATGGCGCGCTCGAAGGCCTGCTTGCGCGGCTCCTTGCGCGCAAAGTCGGACATCTTGTCGAGGAACTTGCCAGCATCACCGGTGAAGCGCATGTCGAGCTCAACTTGCCAGATGTGGTCAAACTCGGGGTAGTGGAGTGAGAAGAGCTGGACTGGTTGGTACACCTGCCACATGGTTCTGCATTACGGTTAGTCTCCTTCTTTGCGATGCTGGGGGCAAATCCTCTTACCTGTGCTCTGCGATATCCGGATACCAGCTCTCCAGCAGACGATCATCCCATAACACTGCGATTTCGCGGAACTCGGCGGGAAGCCCAAGCTCGCTCAGAGCCTTTTCATAATTCTCGTCCGATGCGAAAATGTACGGTTGATAGTCCTTCATATCCACGAGCAGAATAGACCTGATACTCTCCTCCTGTCCTCAAGGACGCCTCAACGATCAGCGAGCGAAGGTTCTGCATATCCTCAGACTTCCAATCGTATCCTCTCCATGCGCGCACGATAATTGCTGTTCGTCTCGTGTTCTTGAACTCGTGCCACTGGCGAGTCTCGGGAATGCGCGTCGCGTTTCTATATCCGAGCCGAACCATCTGAAGAGTGTTGTCGAAAGGGGTAGCCGAGGTGGGGAAGCGATGGCGGTTCCTCTCGAAGCATTCGTTCTGGAGCTTGCCCCAGTTGATCTTGTTCCAGTCGACCTTGGATCTGTTGTACGACTTGTCCTCCTCGCCGTACCCGTAGGGTCCGTATCGTCCGTCAATCGTCATCCATGTCTGCTCGAGGCCGATGGTCGCATATGAGCCCCAGAAGGGCTGGGGATAGGCTGGGGACGGGGCGCACATGTTAGCGGGGAACACAAGCCTGAGAAGCAGCGAGGGGGGGCGCAACATACCAACATCGAGCTTTTCCTCCTTCAACTCGTCATCAGGACTGCGCGACAGGAACTGGCCACGAGGCCCATAACACGGGACACGACCCTGTAGCGGAGGTGGTGGTTTGAAGTTGGTGGACTGGCGAATAGGGCCTTTCTTAGGGGGTTCGGTGAAGGGGGAGAAGGAGGAGGCCCAGCGTGGTGACCATGGCCCCAAAATTAGGAAGAGGAAGAGGTATACGGCCGCGACGGGGATGAGGACTTGTCGGGTGAAGATTATTCGGCGGAACTTGACGAGTCCGCTCATGATGGGCGGTAGGGCTCAATGAGACTGGCGAAGAGTCGCAAAGAGTTCCCAAGGTGGGAGAGAAAGGATAAGGAGGGCCCGCGACGACCTCCTACCCCAAGGAAATGGAAGGAGGGCTCGTGGTCTGGTGGTGGCTATCGCATACAAGCCAAAGAAGTGAAGAGCGGCTCAGTGCAAGTGCAGTGTGTTAAGGATCTAAAGCTGCCCCGCGTCGAAGTCGTCGCAAGGAAGTCGCGAGTGGTCCCTGTCCTTGTATCGATGGCTAGGCCGGTGTGGCGGTGGTTAAACCTGGAAGTCTTGTCGTCGAAAGCTTTGAACAAGAAACGAAGAAATGAAGGACCAATTATGGGGGAAGAAGGTATCACGAAAGGGGAAGTCGCATGACGCTGAAAAGAGGCAACTGAAAAGACGTCCCGTCCCAAAAAAAGGGAGAAACAAGATGAAGAGAAAGACAATTGGATTGCACGACAGGAGATGGAAAAGATCAGATCAATCAATGGTGCAGCCGGTTTCACCACATTATTTTGTCGTGCGAGTCCCAGTCAGTGGAGGCACCGCCAACCAGGGACGGCCAGGGACGGACAGGGACGGGAGGGCGATAGGGTACCACTGGCAGAGACAGCGACAACGCCCAGCGGCCCCGGCTAACGGCAGGCACCAATGAAGACAGCAAGCCAGACCCCTGAAGGCCGCCTTAGCGGGAAAACTGGACCCCTCCCGAGCCCTCGTCGCCCCCTGACCGAATTCGAGTCGCGGGCTGAGTGAGACTTGGTTTTTGACACTGCCAATTCTGCGTCTTTTGGATGCCTCTCTACGGCCTATGATTGGCTGTTTAGGCCAGTAGTGTTGGACTGTTGGGTCTTGTCCTTCAGACTCGAGGGAATTCTCACGATAGTCGCTCATTCCGAGCGAGCGGCCATTCGGGAGGATGAGTATGCGAGAGCCGGAGTATACTGTTTAGGCTGCCATCAAAGAACTGGCCTGGAAGAAACGGGAGAGTGGGCTCGGCATGCGTTAGCAATGCGTGTTGGTTGTTTGTCTCTCTTTCTCATACTAGCGGCCGAAAGGGGAGAAGAATGTCCAGATGGCAAAGAATAAAGCGGACGGGACACAGCAATCTAAACAATAGAAGCAACAATGAACATGCGATTCAACCTCAGAGCTCAAAATGGACGAATTCGAAAAGGAAGAAAAGAAGTCCCAGAACACTTCTTCCTAGGTATAAAGCCAAGACTCCCGACGGACCCCCACAAGGTTGCCAAGAAGGCCCGTCCAGAACCATGCATCACCAACTAAAAGAAATGGTGGGTTACAGTGACAATGCAGACGTCAGATTTGCACACAACGCTGATAAGAAAAGAGGTGGGCATGTGAATAGCTTCCAGAACTTCCCATTCTCGCCGATTTATAAAAAAAAACACCGTCGTCTTGTCTTTTTCGTGGTCGAGAGAAGGCAGTCGGTGAAGCGGAAGAGACTTCGGCAGAAGACGAAATAAAGTTGAGGTCCCCCAACCCTTGCCCCTGAACCCCAACGGCTGCGGGTCGCTCCATGCGCGCCAACAACGCCTCATCCAGGGTTGGACCACCCACGTCGGAAACGCCTTTGCGTTCTTGGAAAATAGGGAATTCAACAGGGGCGTTGAAGAGTCCCATCGTCCATGAGGTTGAAGGTTGAGATCAAGGACAGAGGAGACTCGAAGTTTTCACCAAAGGTACTTTCGCTGCATGTCGTGCCTGATGGCGTCTGCCAACAAAGGCGCCACACATTCTGGTGCTAGGTGACATGTGACGAGGGTCTTCGTGATACGTACGTGTGAAAAAATGTTGTGTTTCAGACCCAATGATTGCAAATGGACGGCCAGTTGCAGAAATTACGCTCTCCAGGGACTAGAGGTGTTCCGCCTCTCGTTATCTGCCAACTGTTCACCCTGAATTGCAGATCTGCGAACATCGCGATTCCGCTGAAACGGCCCAACGGCTGTCGATCTCGCCATCCCCGAGCAAAGAGACTGCGAGGCTGCGAGGTAGCGCGAAAGAAGGATGCTGAGCAGCTTCACTCTCGACGTGGAGCACTTAACGTTGTTATCAGCCGTAACCACAGCCTGTGAAATTCCGTAAACATTCAAGTGCAGCCCGGTGGATAGTGATGAATCGCCTAGACGGCATCGAAAGGAAGTCTGTTTATAGGCGCGATGGCATCAGTTCTCTGACCGGTTCTACTCAGCATTAGCTAGGTACATTCAACGCCCGATTGATATGGTTGCGCTTGCCTTTGTGTTTCCACGCTCGTGTGCTAACCCCTGTAAGGCCTTTGCTCGCGGCTCGGTTTGAATCCAAGCCATCCATCGCATATTCGTCGTCGAAGCAGCAACGTCTTTCTTGTCCGCTTACACCTCGAAACGCCCGCGAGAAATGGAAACTGAGAAAGGCTGACTCGGTAAACTGACCCAAGGCTGTCCGACCGACGGCTTCCAGCAACCTCCAGGGACCACCTGTTCCGCACTGCGTCCGGACGTTCTGTATAGCCGAATAGCCTCCATACTCCACAGGTCTGCGTCGCCCATATCGTAGAAATCGGTTTTGGTATCGTTCATGTCGTGTCTCCCCGTCTAGTAGCGATGTCTGGTCGAGTAATCCTTCGGGCTGACCACCAAACCGCGTCCCTTCTTTGCGCCGCGGTAGACCGTCTCGATGATGTCGATCAGTTCTTGTTTGTCTTCGAGGACCCATTTGATCTTGTTATTGTCGCCAGTGCCGAGATCGATCATCATGTGTTTGTTTCGGAAGAAGCTGTGCAATTGACACTTGTCAGCAACTGTCTGTTAAAAGATCCAGAGAGGTAAGGTGGCACTTACAACATGAGCGTGCACTCATCGTATAACTCGTACATCTGGTTGAAATCGGGAACCTTATCAATGTCGCAGAGGTAACTGTTGGTATTGCGATAGGTCAGCGGCTGTTAACGGAAGGATGGGATGAAGATTCAGGAAATGACCTACATTACAGCAAAATTCTTGACCTTGTCGGCGATGCGGTAGAGGACTTCGTCTTGGCGCATGCAGTCGGGGCTGTGATCGCGGCCGAAACGGATAACCACCACACGCTCGTCTTCGCTTAGGATGGCCTGGTCGACGTGCCAGCCGGTCTCGAGATGGGGAAGGACGATGGAGCCCATGATGATTGTGGAGGTGAATGATCGATGAGCTTAATCGCAGACGGGTTCTGTTGGTACGTAATTGGTGTCAATAGTCCAAAGCACGAAATGGCGCAGATGGTGCAAAATGGCGAGAAAGAGTAATGGTGAACAATTATGATGATGTTGATTGGAAGCGCGACCGCGGTCGAAGCTCGTCGAAATTCCCCACTACCACAACCTCTACGGCTGGCTTACGTAAGGCATGTGTTATCCATAAGACACTAAAAGGCTTGGCGTTTGCGACAGCTGCAAGCCCGCGACCATCGCGCTTCACTCGTCACCAACCTCGTCGTCGTCGTCGGCATCATCATCCTGCCCTGGCATGTCGACTCAGAGCCAACCGCATCGACAATCCTTTACGGTCACAGACACGATTAACTCTGAAGTGGATTTGCTACTTCGACTGTATCACTATACTTCCTATTGAGGTACTCCTCCGTCTTCATAAATGTGCTTGTTTCGCTGTCCTGTCTAAGGCTGGTAATTCAACCCCAACAATCACTCCCTCCACCGAATCCCCCAATTACCCTTTGCAAAGTGTGGCTCAACCACCTTTCCTCCAGGCATAACGCACTCACACGGCTTCTTCTTGCCATCAACGTCAAACCCGAATACGACTCCTCTCCTGGCCACTGACTTGACCATCTCCTTTTGTTGCGCCTTTCTATCTCCTTCCATCCTCTTTTGTCGGATCTCTTCCTTCATCTCCTCCGTCTCTGCCTTCCGCTCAGCCCGGCCCTTTTCTCCACCAACGCTGCCATTGACTTCAGAGACCTCCTGAGCAGGGCGAATGCGCGTGCCGCTGCGAACGGACAGACGAGCGACCTCATGGCCACCCATGGTGTACGGATGAGACTTGCCCTTGGGTAGCGGGGCGATTTCGTCGTTGACAGCTTTGTCGTCCAGCCGCAGGGTGTCAAGGTTTATTCCTCCGATGGCCGAGTCCCTACTCGATGGGCGTGCCGCCTCTGTTGAAGTTGACTGAGACTCTTCATCTGCAGTGTCTTCGTCGGTGGTGCCCAGGCTGGTCAGCACCCTCGACCTCCGGTTCTTCTTCCTGCCATACACCTTCTCTGGATCATTCTCCCTCCCAAAGACAATTGCCTCCACCTCCTCTAACGTGACCACCCTGCTCTCTCCCTTCTTTGGCTTGGTTGAACCATTCTTTCCCTTCTTCTTTCCATCTGCTTGGTCATCCGCAACCTGCTCCATGCCCTCTACCTTTTCTCCGTTGAGCAGCTTCACATATGTCTCCCCAATTTGCTTTTCCTGCTCCTTTACATCTCGCCTCTTGTGATGGGACTCGCTACGACATCTCGGAGTGCAAAACTTGGGGGCGTCTTTCTGCTGCTGTTGGTCCGCTTCCGCCGTGGTCTCGGCGTCTTCTCTCTCTTGGTCTCTACCGCCTCGCTTTGGTCCCTTACTTTTGCCTGCTGCCTGCTTCTGGCCGGCAGCATTCGAAACGGAGGTGCCAATGGTGCCAAAGGAGCGCTTAGGCTCGATGAGCTTGCCGCAGCCTTTGCAGTATGGCTCTTCGGGATCATTTTGAAATTGTTGGAGGAGGTAGTATGGGGGTGGGATGGCGTCCGATTTGGTCGGACGAGAAAAGGAGGATGCCCAAGCCATGGCGTTGACGATAAAAAAAAAAAAAAGGTTCCGATATGCTGACGTTACTGGTTCAGGTCGGGTTCGTGGAATGATGTTTAGTCAGTGAGTTAACATGCTTGAGTGCTAGCTGAACGCTATAAGTGGTATTTGAATGCGTCTTGGAATGGAGCTGATAGTGTTTGACGATGGAAAAAAAAGGGTTGTTGACGGAGAAAACGAAGCTTGGGGGACTGAAGTATTGGTACTTGTTGATGGATGGGTTGTTGCGGCGAAAGGAAGTAACTGGAGGATCTGCAACAACGCAAAGGCAAATACGTCATCGGCATCATCATGGTCCAAGGGTCCTACCACAGCAACCACATGGGTCCTGTTCGCACTTTCTCAACACCATTGACCTCCATGACTGGTTATCTACACCCCCAAACAATGTCTATGGAAAAGATACGCTGAATTTATGCCAGCAGAACGAACAAAAACACTGGTTGAAATACTCCCGCTCCGTCGCTAGGCATTCACCATGGCCATATAATCCACGGTCGGCTCCAACGCCGGCACCTTCCACTTGATCCTCACCTCACCACTCATCGCCTCTCTCATCCCGGCAGCCGCACTTTCCTTCCAAACATCGGTCAACTTGATCGCCATCTCCATCGTGACCTTCAGCTTTGGCGTCTGATCCGGCCTCAAAATGGTCGTCATTACCTGCGCCCACTTCCACGGCTCCTCCTCTCCTCCCGGCTGACCGTTAAAGTACTCCCACCCCGCGATGCCCCCAATCTGGCCGTACGCATCCCTAAGGCTCTTGACAGAGTCGGTCAGAGCGCCGGCAGTCACGAACCCCCAGCCGTTCCTCGGGCTTGTCAGCTGTCCAATCACCACCTTGGCGGGCGTCAGCGCCCTGTCTTGATTGTCGGAAATGATTTGATGGAATTGGTTCGGGGTGCCCGCATCGCCAAACCCAGAGTAGAACTGGCAGTTATAGAAGGCCACCTCCTTGCCGGCACCACTCTGCGCCAGCATCAGCTTGCGGTAGTCGAACCCGCTGAGGTTCCAGCCGTTTCTGGCGCCCTGGATAGTCATCGCGCTGGCGACGGGTGCCAAGGTAATGATGAAGTCCTGCCCAAAGTCCTTCCGCAAGCGAAGGATGAGCCGCTCGACGTCCTCCTGGCTCATGGCCTGCTCGACGTCGATGTCGAGCCCCTCCAGGCCGTAGCGCTTGATGATCTCCCAGAGTTGGTTGTAGTATCGGTTGAAGACGGTCTCGTCGGCCGAGTCGAGCGTGTCTTTGGAGAATGTGCCGACGGCGGCGCCGCCGATCATGCCCATGATCTTGACGCCGGCATAGCGGAGGACTTGGGCCTCTTGCCAGAGGGTGCCGTAGCGCGGGTGGATGGGGCTGTGATCGTTGAGGGTGATGTCGCCGTCTTTGTTGATGTGCAGGGAGCAGATGATGAGGTGCGTGAGGGCGATGTTCTTTTCGGTGATGAGCGGCAGCATGGATATGGGCTTGACTGCCTTGTCGTGGGTGGTTTGGTAGTAAATGACGAGGCGGGGGATTTCGGAGCGGATGATGCCAACGTCGGTCGTGTTGGCCTGGTCATCGGGAGCCATGTCCCGAGAGGACAGACCATTGTGCGTAGTATAGGCGTGGGCTTGAAGAGGGTTGGCGGCTATGACGGTGGTGGGTATTATGATGGCCACCAAGGCGGCGGCCGCACGGAAGATGGCGGACCTCATGGTGACGGTAGGTCGGTTATTGCTATGGTGCCTTCTATTAGGTTCAAGATGGAGGCATTGGAGGAGGAACTTGGGTGATTCCCACGCGTCATAAACGACACGATTCCTTTCGGACACGACGCGAAACGAATCCCACGGTCATGTTTTGATTCCCAGCATCGCCAAGCTATGGCGGCGTCCTATGGTGTCGTCGGGTGTTCCACTAACATATTTTCCAGAAGATTGAATTCCGGGATCAACTTTTTTGCTGCCATCGCCAACTGTTAGCATGGCACCGTTCCCTTGAGCCTCGACCGAAACACCGCAAACCGCAAGCACTTTATTTTTGTCCAGACATAAATGGTCATTGTCTCAAGTCCCGATCAACAACGGCAACGGTGTCTACGCAGAAACACTTACCAGGAACGCCCACATAATCTTGGTGGTTGTGAGGGTATTTGTGATCAAGAATGGAGCAAGTCTTGTCGCCCATTCCTTCACAAGCGAAGCTCCGAGACACACAACAAACCGTGGCAAAAGGGAGTCGCCAAAGTCAAGAGCAAGATCTGCTGTGTCAAGGGCGAAATGGTCTGACCCAAACCGCACATTTTAAGCGCACAGCCACCAAGAAGTTTCCATGTTCCCTTACAGGAGTAGTCCGTTGGTCAGGTGTCTCGGCCCGACTCAGACGTCGACCTCAATCTCGCATGAACGCAGCTTTTTGGAACTGGGAGACAGATGCATTTGGCTGGCGTGCAGGATCAAGCAAACAAAATCACGTGCAAGAGGCAGGTAAGTCTCAAGAACATCTTTCCTGCTGACGTTACTTGCTAATCGAGGTCGACAGAAACGAAGAGCTGCTTATGAATCCATCGTCATTGCTCTTTCCGAAGAACCATTGCCCTTCCGAGAAGGTGTTTGGTTGTTCCCGAGTTCGCTCCGGTCTGCGCTTTCCTATTCTTTTGTCCATGTGCAAGATGCAATCTCGCATACCATCCTCAGGAAAGGAGGAAGGAGTGTCTGCATCCTATAGGAACTCGGTCACGTGTCTACAAGAGTGCGCTTTCCTGCAGCAGAATGAGGCCATGCCACTTTGCGAAGTTGGCTTAGGTAGCCGGCATTGAACTCAATCGGTTCGAATTGTTTCGGCCCGAGCCGACCCGGCGGCAGTTCCAGACCTCCGATCTCCGATCAGATCGATCATATCACGAGAGTCGGCGTTGAAGCAATGCGCTTACACAGAGAGCAAGCCAATCCTTCTCATCAGATTTCCAAGCCACCGCGTGAAGACAACATCTTGCGCATTTCGGTTGCCGTTGGATGTGGTAAGTTACAGGCCTTGCCAGCTTTGAGTTGGATACTGACAGAACGGGGTGCAGGCTGTCCGGTCTCATGTCGTGGCTTTTCCAACCTTCAGACATCGATGATCCGTCCTGCGATGCGGCTTCACTTGATGTAAACAGATGTTCCTCGGTCCACAGATTCATCCTAGCTGAGGTCAACTGTTTCTCTGCACGAATAGGATTTGCATTCAGCCGGCCGAACCGAACTCTGCTTGAGCCAACTTGTGGAACGAGCTGCAAAGGCAGTCAAGGAAGTCAGGGTCGGATATCCCATATGACCAAGCAGAAGCACGATGATGAAGTGGAGCGAAGGCTCCGACAGCTCTGGGTCTAAATGCTTTTTCGACGTAGTGTATGGGAATATAAGAGAAGCCAAACTCACCTAGTTTTTTGAGAGATATCCTTTCTCCTAACAACTACCCGTCACACATCACAAAATCAATATCAACAGACACATCACCAACACCATAATCAGACTCGTCACCTCCTTCTTCTGTCCCATTGGGACTCTTCAGAGTACCTCAACTTCTTTTACTTCGATATTCATATGAGCTTGTTACTCAACACTACCCTACCGTTTGAACTTTGAGATTGACATGAGCTTGGTACTCAACCACTTATTCCGGCCAGTTCATATTGCCTTTCGAAGTTCATACGCTTTCCCGTGTCTCGGACCATAGACCGTCCTTGTGCTCATCAGTTCATATCCCTCTATCTACTTGATCACACCCAAGAACGACAACCTTCTTTCCAAAACATATACTTCATCCCACAAAAAAGGTCAGGGGCATCATGCAACATGGACGCTCTCGCATCTGAACCGTCGGCGTGCTCCTCGAGCCAAAAGCGGCCAATTAAGGTGGCCATCATCGGCGGCGGCATCTGTGGCGTTGCCCTCGCAGTCGGCCTGGGAGAATACAAGCACATAGACTTTCACATCTATGAGAAGGCGCAAATGTATAGCGACGTGGGGGCCGGGCTGTCCCTCCACAAGAACGCCATTGCCGCAATGAACCTCATAAGCCCAAAGCTCTTCAAGGCCTATCAGCAAAAGGCTGTGGATATCGGCGAGGAGGATCAGGAGATGGCGACCGAAGTCATCCTGGCAGCCGGGAGACACAAGGGCCTCAAGGTTGGCGAGCTCGGACGGGCCAAAGGACGCAAGTCCATCAGTCGTGCCGACCTCCTCAAGGGGTTCCTTGACCTGGTTCCCAAGGAGAAGATCAGCCTCGCGAAGCAGGTTGTGAGGATCTGGGAAACCCACCAGGGGAGCGAACGCTCCACCACCGATTCGGTCGCACCCTACGCCGAAGATTCCGCCACGAATGACCACCCCATTCACATCACATTTGCGGACGGCAGCCGCGCCCACGCCGACGTCCTCATCGGCTGTGACGGCATCCACTCGAGTGTGCGGTCCTATCTCCTGGGCGAAAATCACCCTGCCACAAAGCCAAAGAACAAAGATAAGTGGCAGGTCTATCGCACCCTCATCCCGACCGAAGACGCGATCGTGCATTGGGGGATTGACCCGAAGTTGTGCGGGACTGTACCGATTCTCCTCGGTCCGCGGGGCCACATCAATATAATCCCTATGAATAAGGGCAAAATGCTGAGTGCTGGTGTAGCCGTTCGCGGCGCTGCCCCTCCGGAGTCTGTCGCCGGTCCCTACTCTGGACCTTCCTACGCCCCTGCCTCATCTTCCACCATCCCTCCCACCCCGTCGTCTTCTGATGATCAGGGCGGCATTGTGCCGTGGTTGTGGCTGGCAACTCTTAACAACACCACTGTCGGCGACATCTTCTCCGACACCAATGGCGCCAGTTCGTCCAATTCCGACAACTTAATCCAAGTACCTCCTCCCCCCTATCAGAGCCCCAGCCAGCCTTGCATTAGACCCACGGTGTCACAGGGCCCACCGCCATCACAGCTCAATCCCTACAAATACAAAGACTACACCCTCGATGCCCAAAGGATTGTCTTCATGGTTGCCCAAGACACGTCCGCTTCCTGGGCCGTTGCCGACCATGACCACGCTCCGTACTACGCCCGCCGCTGCGTCGCCATGGCCGGCGACGCCGCTCACGCCGCGCTTCCTTTTGCGGGCAATGGTGCGGCGCAAGCACTCGAGGACGCGGCCGTCCTGACCCATTTGCTGAGAGCGGTCCGAAACACCGAGGACGCAGAGGCGGCCCTTTGGGCGTACGAGAACGCGCGCAAGGAGCGGTCGCAGAAGGCAGTGGAGATTGCGCGCGAGTACGGCAGGGTGTATTCGTTCTCTCCGGTCTGTTACAACAACAAATGGGTCAATCTGCACGAGAAGCCGGATGTGATGATGGGGTGGTTCAAGCAGCAGGCGGCGTTTACGAACGAGTTCAACGTTGGGATGCAGAACACGTGGGCGGACAAGCTGTTTGCCATGGAGATGAGACGGAGGCAGAGGGCGGCGAGGATGCAGAGTGAGGAGCAGAAGCCGGACCAGGGAGGTCAAAGAACTAAGGCCGGGACCGGGATGACGCCTCATCCGGAGACGAAGAGGACGGACGAGGTCAAGAATGAGGAGCTAGTAACCCCGGCGCCGACCATGGGGGAAGGCACGTTGCCGACATCGGAATGGGAGTCGCTTGGGAAGCTCAAGAAAGGAGGAGGGGAGGAAGGGGGGCATGCTGCTGAACAGGAGGCAGGCAAACCTCCTGGGGAGGTGGAGGTAAAGGAAGTTGTGAATGACGATGACGACGATGGGGAACGCGTGGAAAGGGAGGAAGCGAATGATGATGGCGATATGCACGGCGTGCAAAGTGTGGGAAGCGCGGACAGTGAGTATGATTTTGTCGACGATTACTTTGATGACGCGGATGACGAGTTTGAAGATGGAATCGATGATGACTCGGATCTTTAACTGACGGGAGGGAAACAACAGGTCGAAGGAGGAGGATATGTCACATACAGGATGTATTCAGGGATATCAGAGTCATGATCCAACATGTCACACCCAGTACGGGTGAAGACAATCGGTACACCCAATGGGGAACAAGAGGATGGCCGAGATTGTAACCATAGATCTTGTATGCGAAATCGCTTTGTTAGTCTGTTTAAACAGAAATAAAAATCGACAGTTTGTCTTTGCTCGTCCGAAGAATTGTGGCTCAGTGTGAAGCACTCGGTCGTCCCTGCGCCCGATTTCGAAGCTGCTTTTGGTGGGTCGCATCGCTATCACACTAACAAATATGACGGCTATTTACCCGTAAACCTGGTAAGAAGCCATCTTAGTCGGTGCCCACTATGCCAAGACAACAAACAGTCTTGGGCACCAAGCTCGACTCCATCACTGCTGGGTTATCCGTTGGACGTCGTCGACTCTTGAAGAAGAAAAAGTGAACAAGCTCCAGACCTTTACACAACAATGGTCACGGGATACGTTGAGAAACTATCCCGACGAAGGACAACGACCGGCTGCATGCCCAGACCCGACGAGAGGACCCCCACTGTCGATCATGACATGCACCGGATGTCCCCCTCCGCCAACCGGCCAGTGGGAGGAAAACAAGCCGAACGGAATCCAGACATTTTGACGATACCAAGATGAAATATTGGGTGTGCTGACGGATATACAAGCGGAGAAATCCGAGCAAAGGATTGACATGTTCAGCTTCTCATTCAATGGAAGTCATTTCCATTCCATTCCCGCGAAACAACAACGGAAGTGAGGGGTACGCTGGGGGCCACTCGGGGGCCAAGACCGCCGCCGCTGCCTATTACACATACACTACAAAATGAGGGGTCGAGATTCTGTGCTAGCTAGCCCCAAGTACACCACACCAAGACCGTGAAACCCTTGTGGCTGCAGCACTCTTCCTGCACCTCCATCCGCCGCTTCGACTCCCGATTCGCCGTGAACAGCTCTCTTCTGAGGTAGGACTACTAGAAATACGACGTGTCTGGGCGATTGACGCGAGCGGGGGAAGATGGGGTCCCGTCTGAGGAACAACAAAATGGGGGCGGTGATCCGTACATAAGTACCGGCAGGACCTAGGACGACGGCCGAGAACGGCAGCCTGGTCTGGACACTCTCATTTTCCATAATCACCGTTGGTCAAGGTCACACACTCTCACACTCACACAAACCAGAAGAAGAAGACAAACCGGAATGGGGGACTCCAACACCATCGTCGACGCCATCAACTTCGTTGACACCGCGTCCAGTCAGCGCATCGAGCCCGGCTCCGTCAACCACCCGCCCGCCCCTTGGCCGGCGCACTTCAAGACCGAGCCCACGCCAGAAGAGGTGGCTAAGATCGCCGCCAATGTCGTCAACACGGTAAACAACCACTTCGACAAGGTTCCGGACCTGTTCCTCCACGAGTCCCAGCCCGGCTTCTGGCGAGACCACCTGGCCCTGACCTGGAAGCTGCGCACTCTCAAAGGCAAAGACAAGATTCGCAACTTCTTGCAGACCGAAGCCCACGTCAAAGAAGTGCCCCTGCAAATCCAGGTCGACGAATCTCATCCTTTCCGCAAGCCGCAAGTCGCCGGGTTTGCTCCTGTTGATGGACTGAAGGGTATCCAGTTCTACATCACGTTTACGTCCCAGAATGGTAAGGGGCGCGGTATGGTAAGGTTGGTGCAGGAGGAAAAGACGGAGGAGTGGAAGATCTGGACCTTGTTCACCACGCTTGAGGAGTACCGCGATCAGCGAGAACCGAGGGGACCCAACAGGCCAAAGGGCGTTGAGCACGGTGGACAGCCGGGACGGATGAATTGGGCGCAGAAGAGGCAGGAGGAGATCAACTTTACGAACCACGAGCCTGATGTGTTGATTCTCGGTATGTTCCTTTCGTTTCCCTCAGATTTGATTAACGACTGACCAACGCCATCACAGGCTGTGGCCAAGGTGGCCTCACCGCCGCCGCTCGTCTCAAGATGCTCAACGTCTCCTCGCTCATTATCGACCGCAACCCGCGTATCGGCGACAACTGGCGCAACCGGTACCACCAGCTAGTTCTGCACGACCCAGTCTGGTACGACCACCTGCCCTACCTTCCCTTCCCCGACACCTGGCCCATCTTCACGCCCAAGGACAAGCTAGCCGACTGGTTCGAGTCATACGCCAAAGCGCTCGACCTCAACATCTGGCTGCGCTCCACCATCGTTTCTTCGGAATACGACAGCGCCCGCAAGTCCTGGAAGGTGGTCATCCGCCGCTCCTTCGTCAAGACCTCACACGCCCCACCAGCGGACGGCGGCGAACCCGGAGTGGTAGAAGAAGAACTGGAACACATGGAACTCACCGTCTTCCCGAAACACATCATCCAATGCACCGGCGGCTCCGGCAAGCCCAACATGCCGACCTCCATCCCGGGCATCACGGGCGGCGTCTTCAAGGGAGACCGGCTCTGTCACTCCTCGCAGTTCACCACCGCCACTCCGCTCTCCGTGCGCGGCTCCAAGAAGGCCATCGTCGTGGGCGCGTGCAACTCGTCGCACGACATCTGCCAGGACTTTTACGAGCGCGGGTACGACGTGACCATGATCCAGCGCTCGTCGACGTTTGTGCTGTCCTCGTCGGCCACGCTCAAGTACCTTATTGGGCCGATCTATAGCGAGGGCGGGCCGGCGGTGGAAGACGCCGATATGTTTGTCTGGTCATACCCCAGCGAGGTGTTGAAGTCGTTGCAGAAGGATCTGACCAAGTTGACGATCGAGCACGATGCCGAGTTACTCGCCGGGCTGGATAAGGCTGGGTTCAAGCTCGACAAGGGCGTCGACGGCGCGGGACTATTCGCCAAGTACCTCCAGCGGCAAGGCGGGTATTACATCGATGTTGGCACGTCGAAGCTAATTATCGAGGGCAAGATTGCCGTCAAGTCCGGGGTGGGCATCGCGGAGGTTGTTGAGAACGGACTGAAGATGGAGGATGGGACCGTGTTGGAGGCGGACGAGATCGTGTTTGCGACCGGCTATGATAATATGCGGACGACGGCCAGGGAGGTGTTTGGGAACGAGGAGGTGGGCGACAAGGTGAAAGATGTGTGGGGGTGGGATGAGGAAGGCGAGATGATTGGGATCTGGAACAGGAGCGGGCATGAGGCGTTTTGGTTCCATGGCGGGAATCTGGCGCTGGCGAGGTATTATTCGAGGGTGGTGGGGTTGCAGGTTAGGGCCAGTTTGGATGGGTTGTTGTAGAGTAATAGGGGATGGGAGGAAGGGGTGGGAAGATGGTAAAAGTGGAGACTGGGATTTTTTGGACAGCTAAGCTGGGTTTCGGACATCCTAGGTGTGATGAGGAAGATATCAATGCTGATATTTGTTGACAGTCACCATACCCTGTGGTTATTTGACGAGAGCTTAGTGCTGACGAAAAGATTGTGTAGAATAAGATTCCCATCCGTGGGAGTGGTTCGCCCGCGTTTTCATCAACGGCCCGATCCTCGCGATAAATAACAAGCGGCTCACATGCCAAAGACGGATACGGGCTGATCTTGTTCGATCATGAGCCACGAAGTGAAGAATCGCTTGTTCCTCCAATTCTTTTTTTCATGCATGTTCGTCCGACAGTCCGTCTTGGGTCCGTTGTGGCAAGGATAGGTGCATACACATCTCACATCTTCCGTTCATTTCGTCGCCCTGTCTCAGAGTTCAAGCTACCACAAACACTGGACCCTCACTTCCTCGTATGATTGCTACTGGTTGCTGGTTGCCTCAGAAATGTAAAGGCCCGTCCTCAGGTCTGTGATGGATTGAAGCCAATCCAGTTTCATAAGTCAAGGTATCCGGCCTTGCCATCCTGGACAACAATGAAGAAGGACTTGAAATGCTCACTCAGGATTACTTCTAGAGCAGTTCCATTCTCGTCATAACCTCCTCTTATTATCCTCTTTTTCAACAATCATACTCAACGCAAAGTTTCCATCACACTGTACCAAGCGCACCATACCTGACACCGTTCACTTGTTACAGAATTCTGCGTGGCGTTAGGGTTGCTTCCTTCCTTTCCATTTGAGCTTTTCCTTCTTACCCCTTGGATCAATTTCAAATTGCTTGCCACAACTTTCTCAGATCATTACTTCTCTCGTGGGATTCTCTCAGGTAGTGCTTAAAGGCAACGTCGAGATTCGGGACCGTTGGAACTTAACAGATGGATGGGTGCTTGAGCTGAGTGGCTGGCTGCTTCGTCGGTTGCCTTACTCCTTCCACCTTCACCCGCCACCCTTGCGATACACAGTACAGTGGGTATCCGCGGTAGGCACTTCCAAGTCGCGTGAATCTCGGGGTTTAAGGGGAGGAAAGTGAAAGAAGCAGAGGAGGACAAGCATAAATTCCGCCTTACGTGATACGTGTATCACGCTCATACCTACAGGTACCTTTCCCTTATCCGGATCGACCTGTTCGTGCGTCTGCCGTGGGATGTTCTGGGGTCTAGCTGAGGTGTGCGTAGGAAGCCGTAAAGGACAGGGACTTGGTTGGATTGTGACTCTGTTTGCTCGTGTCGGTGTGTTTCTTCCTGGAAACCTGGTTCCGGATCCTGTTATAAAGAGCCCTGGGCCTTTCTCATCCGTGTAGGGCCTACGTTATATGGGTCTTCCTCCTGGTTCCTGGCCGAGTTCCCCATCTCTGACACGCTCGCTTTGCTTCATCGGCACCTCTTATCATCTCTGACCTCGCCAAATTCGACCGGACCTCCGACATACGTGCAACAGACAATCATTACGAAACAACGACCGCTAGCAACAACCCTGGCCTACCAATCATGACAGAAGGGCTGCTTTCGCGCCTCAGGCTGGCCAATGTATTGTTTTGGTTGGCCGTCGTCTCAACAAGCGTTCAAGCTGGGTCGTTCTCAGCCATCAATATTACGTTCCCGATGTTCATGGATGAGGTAACACAAAAAAGGGTCACATATTACGAAGGGGACAGTCTGCTAGTTACTTGGTCGGCCATTACAACGATTCGGTATCTCGACCTCTATTGGTCGAGATCTGACGAACTATCATGGGGAGGTCATCCATACGGCAGTGGCGTGATGGACTTTCTGTTTTATGCCTCAGGGGATAAAGGCAACGCCAAGAAAAGTAAATTTTCCCTGGTCACGTTTGTCAGTCGAAGAAACCAGCAACTATTTCTAGGCTGCCTCCCAGCAGTCAGAAAGGAAGATGTACTTTTCTGGTTTCTGGAAAACCACGCCGCTTCTCGGCTCCTCCTCTAACGGTCTGATCATCTACCGGTAGTAAATGTGACCGCAAAGCCCAATGACCCAACTGGCCCAAGCTCCAGCGGATCAAGAACAGTCCAGAATTTTCAGCTCATGAACCTTCCTTCTTACAATTCGAGAGAAACAGTGGAGTGCGGCTTTGTGGCGATGGGCTTATGCGGCGACGACTACTGTACTGGATTTGGCTACCCGTTCAAGTTTTTCAACTATCACCGGTATAACCCTGTCACTACGACGTTTGGGCCCGACGAACCCATAGAGATAGTTGACGAATCCTACGAGTCAGTCACACTCTCAACACAAACGACTACCACGACAGGTACATCGGCAACTGCCTCTTCTACATTCCCCCCGGCCACAACGTCCACTGGCCCAGCGACAGGGTTTGAAACCGGAACAGCAGAGAGTTCAGACGCGAAGAAGAACGGAGGAGGCCTAAGTGACGGCGTAATAGCCGGTATCGGCGCCGGTGGCGCCACTTGGGTCATCATCATTGCTGTCCTGTCGTTGCTGTTCCAGAGGCATAGGAAGAGTCAATCAACGGGGACCGCGGCGGTTGCTTCCGATCCTTCTACCGATAAAAACGCTTTCGAAAAAGGAGGTGGAGAGGGAGGAGTGGGAGAGCAAGAGAAAGGATCGATGACGTTCTTCAAAGCGGAGCTGGAAGACAACCCCAAGACGTATGGGAACGAACTCGAAGGTACCTGTATAGAAGCGGAGAAGAAAGAGAAGCCGCAAGTGTCAGACCTGGGGGCAGCGGAAGGACGGAATGAGGTTGATGGAGGGAAATGTCAGGAAAGGTTTGAACTGGCTTGATCGCTTCGAATTCCATTTGTTGATTTTGGAAGGGGGGCAGAATAGTAAACGAAAGATTTGACAGAGGATATTCTTCGGCGTTGCCCAACATTGTCGAGAAACGAACACGAGAATTCAACACATGTGAATGGAGACATGGGCCTGCGTCGGACATGCCCTGCTTGTTTGCTCGTCATGTCTTAGATGCCTCGATCCTTTTTTCCTCTTTGATGGAAACAAGACCAGGTTCGTCCAGCCTCCTGATATTCAATGTTAAGGGCCTTTGCTGCCTTTTGTATCTTGATCCTTTGGGTCACTCCTTTTGTCTATCCTTGACATCACTTTCCTTGATGTACCAGTTGGTTGCTTGGGCGAGCCGTCGTACACTTGCTCATACCATCCAGTCAATATAAATAGGACGCCGCAATATTTTTCCAAGCAATCCTCCTTCTTGATTGTGTTCATTGCCCTTTCATCAACAGTTCAATCTCAAAATTCAGTACGGGAAGTAGGGCCGGTGTATTTCCCACATGAAGATACATGGATAACCTACTTTCTCCATGACACTCTAATTGTTACATACGACTATGCGGGATCCGAGACCAAGCCGCGGTTAGTGTTGATGTGCATGTATAAGCCGTTGAGAGACGACGAAGGAGGAAATGAATGGGAGATCAGTGAGTTAATGCTATCCAAAAGTTGCTTATGAGAATCAGAGCTCTTCATTTGCTGACTTTCCCTCAAAGTCACAAAAAGTATGTGGTCCCGAGACCGAACGGAACGCAAGCCATCAAAGTAACGGAAAATAATCTGGGGAAATTGGATGACGACGACACTTACATCTGCGCCTTCAACATTGGCACAAACAATCCACCCAAACCTTATTTTCCGCAGTCTGGAGGCCATTTCGAACTGGTGCCTCAACAACGCTTCGGGGGCCCGATAACTATCCGATTGGCCGACTATTCACTCACTACAGCGTTTCTGGCGATGTCTACGATAACAAGCGCAACTACGTCCACGGAAGCTTTAATCACGGCTATCTAAGCGCCCCCAGATGCTGTAAGCACTGATGGCTCCGGCACAACCAGAATATATACCAACCAGGATCACACGTCGCCGACTGGTTCGACGTCGGGAATCGATGCTGAGAAGGCCTCAAGCACCAAAAGAGGAGAAGGTTTAGGTGGTGTGGCCAAATCTCGCATTGGAGTTGCTGCGGCTACTGCGGTTCTCGTTATTGGTGGCCTGTAGTTGTTTTGGTGGTGGAGGAGAAGAAGAAAGAGAAAGCAAGATATATCCGGCAAGAAAAATGCACCACGGTCGGAGCTAGAGGCGGTGGAAAAGCAAGAGGCAGGGGGTGGTGATTGGGAGCATACGCCTGAGCTTCCTTGACCTCTTGACACCTCTCGACACTCTTGCTTGGGAGCCAGAACAAAGGCAAGTTTTTACAAAGAGGTGGTTAAGCTTTTCGCGTTCCTATATTTTGATCGAAAGGCACGGTCCGAAGCAGCCAAGACGACGCCGCGACGCCCCCCGATGGAACCCCGGTGCCATGTGGATGCGGGCCGGTTCCTTGATTGATCTCCAAGCAACGAAAAAGACAGTCACCTCAAATCCTCCATTTATATTAAAATTCAAAAGGAAGAAGCTGAGTGCCGCAGAGGCGCGGGCGCGGTTCGATGGAACCACGCTGCAGTACCACACATGGCCCAGTACGGATGAGAAGTCATCTCCGCACTACCTCTCGAAGGCCTATGAGCTCACTCCTGGTGCAAATCAGAACGGGCAAAATAGGCTTACGGGCGTTCCTCTTCGAGAGAAGAGTGCCGGAGGTGACAACATCGTACTGCCGGTGCGGGTTAGCGAAGGAGACGTTCGAACATATTGTCTTGGAATGTAGGAACGGAATACGGATGGTTAATGGGAGACCCAACGTGGCCAACAAACATTGAACAACTCCACGACGAACTCGAGACAGTGGCGGGGCGGGAACGAATCCTTCGCTGGGCCTTGCGACTAGGACGGCTGCAGGAGTACAAGCTGCCAGTGAAGATCGAACAAGCGAAGGAAGCAGAAGAGCTACTGGGGAGTTCAGATTGATCTTTGATTCTGGAGAGCGGGAGTACGGTCGGGGGACCACGCAGCGGAATCAAAGATCGGGCCTCGGGAATGACGGTGAGGTCATATCGAGAGGAAGATAAACATCGAAGGCACAGCGTCGACACGGCGCCGTTGCAATAGAGAAGCGGAGGGTTTTCATCCGGCTACGGTACGGTTTTTCCCACCGACTAAGAACGGAAGCAGCACCGCATATCCACTGGGTAGACTATGTAAATAGTTTAGCGTGATAAGACAATATGTATATATTAAAATTCCACCATTTCCTGCATCAAGTATCTCCTCTTCAATCCATCTTGTTCATCCTTCTGACTGGGCAACTGGAAGCAGTCTGGTCAAGTAACCCGTGAACACCCGGTGCACTCCCGCCCGGCCCGATATGGTCCGGCGCAGGCCGTCAATCGTCCGAATTGTCAGGGAAGGAACGAACGAGCAATAGACACTCATCATTCCTTCCATTTGCTTTCATTTGTTTTTCCAACCATCATGATCGCAACAATCTCACGGTAAACACGGCCCAAATCTCAAGTGGTGGCAGCAATCATCCTTTCAGTCCCTTTTCAACCATTTTCCATTGTCGAAAATAATCTTCGGCATTCACACTGTATCAAACGCACAACCGAACCATCACCACTCCCATTTAGACGCGCCGTCGTTACAAGTTCTGCATGGCACCTGCCACTTCTTCCCCTTTGATTATTTCCGCCGCTCCAACTCTCCCTTTTCCGCGAGATTGCTTGGGCCGTAGCAATTTTTCCTGTTCGAGAACTCTGGAACACCATGGAGGAGAAACCTGCTGGAGCTGAGGCGGCCTCTCGCATCTGTTTCTGTTCGCTACCTTGATCTCTTTGTTCTTTTCGGGAGGTAGGCTTCGCCCACCATTGACTTGAGTTTTACGAGAGCTAACAGGTAGATCTTTCTTTGTCTCGTCAGAGGGTCATCCTACAATTTCCAGAGATAACGAATATCTATTATAGGCCAATATCGTGGCCTGGTCACTTTTGGGGCCGATGCAACTCCCCATGTATCATAAACAGTGTAGGTGGTGGGCTTCCGTGATGTGGCGAGATTTTCGGTCCTTCACCAACGACGGCGAACGTGAGAGGCGGGAAGACGGGGACGACACGGGTTCAGGAACAGTTCCATCCTTGCCTCTTGCCTTCAATGGACCTAGCGAGACTGGCGTGCCTGTTATGGGGTCTGCTGTGGTCGATTGCTTGGTCGACATGGAACAGAGTGGATGGTTGGGCAGCTTGCCTGTTGTTCCAGGCCAAGGACTAGTCCAGTTCAGTGCGGCTAGGCTTGTAAGATGGGGATGTCGGTACCGTTATATTAATCGGATCGGGATCCCCTTCTCGCTTGCTCCGACTCGCCTTGCTCTCCGGCAGTTTTGGGTACTCTCTCCTTCTCAGGTTCTCTTCGACCACGGCTCAAGTTCGCGGTCGTCCACCAACACCAGGTCGCCCATCTCACCTGCTCGTCCGTCGCCAGAGCCGATCGAGTCGTATCGACCGCCTACATGGTCCACCGATGAAAATTACCACGAGCCCAGAGATACAACTATCCGGGGAAATGGCGCGCCGACACCCTCTTTTCCAGCTAATGCTTCTGCTGTGCTGAGTTTCAACTCTTCCAATATCTGTCGCATCCGCAGGGTGCGATGTCATTTACCCAGGAACCGACTACTACAGTGAGCTTAAATCAGAGTTCTACCTGGCGAACACGATTTTGGTAACATATATCAACTGCGAAAACCTTACCTTCTTCTCAAGTTGGTGTTCGGATAGTACGTATCGTGTTGCTGGGGATAACATATGGAAAGGTAAGTTCCCAGCTCAGTCTACTCTAATCCCTTCCATTAAAGTCGCAAGTTGTCCTTGACGTTGCTTCTGTGTTTGGTCCCTTTTCTCTCCTTTTTAAAAGGCGGTTACGATTAGCTGACACGCTTGCCTCTTCAGTTTTGGATGGGAAAGGGTACCTCGGACCCAACGCCACAGTCCCCATTAAGCTACAGCAGACAGGTAAAGACTTTGAAGTTGGTTCATGTGGCATCGGCCTCGGTAGTACAAACACTACTTTGCCATGGGACGCCGTCTTCAGACTTCAAAAACAAGCCACGGCCCGACGGCCCTCTCACCTTTGGGCTTGACAAGAAGGTCTCCGTTACATACACGGGTAGTGACTATGCACCGTTCACTAAGCTGGATGAGGTGGATCCTTATGCCGCCTATAATACGGTATCCAAACCGATAGAAGCAGAATTCGCAACCCTATCTTCTTCCTCGTCCGGACCTACCACGACAACTAGCACTACGCCCACTACATCTATCCCTCAGCATACGACACCTACACAGTCAGGGGTTGCTTCGCCCACCAGCTCCACAGCAGGAGCCAACTCCAGTGACGGCGAGGGTTCGGTCCCAAAGAAAGGAGGCCTGAGCACCGGCGCAATAGCCAGAATCGGCGTCGGCGCCGCCGTCTTGGTTATTGCCATTGTCGTTCTGGCCTTTTTCTTCTTCTGGAGGCGAAGGAAGGCCAGATTGGCGGCGGCAGCGGTTGCTGCGAACAACGCTCCGGGTGGCAAAGAAGAGCACAAGAAGGGAGCGGGTTATTACAAAGCAAAGTTGGAAAATAACCCGAAGCCGCATGGGAACGAGCTCGATGGTAGTAACGCGGCGGAAATCAAGAAGTCGCATGAGTTGGGACTGGGGACGCGGAGGTATGAGCTGGGAGATGGTGGAGAAGGAGGATTGGGGGGAGGGTGGAACTTCCATGACCATGTGGTTTAATGTTGAATGAGGTGTTGGGTGAGTGGATTGGTGAGATAGTAGTAGCAGTCTGGATGAAAAGCTATTGCTGTCGTCCCTGCCGTAGATGATTTGCCTATTTCCGTTTGCTTAAAGATACTGGCGTATACTTGGTGGTCTCGCCCATGACAATAAAGCTGGCACCTTTTGTTACGCTGATTGCCCATGAAGTGCTTGAAAAGGTGCCACTTTTTTATCAGGAACGAGGTGGTTTCGGTTGTTGTTGTTGGTAGTCAAGTTTATCTTCCTGTTCTCCCCATACGACCACAACCAAATGCGACCTAAACTGCCAAGTAGGTTGCCAAATTGCGATACCAAGTTCTGGGACCAAGGCGAGGGGGGAGGATTGAGTGTAATGATTAAGATCACATAACAGTAACAGTGGCGGCAATTTAACCAGGAGCAAGTGCCACCAACCCCAATGTCTCTTTTACGCGCCCGTACCCCTTGGTAAAGCTTTCGTTTTGGCCTGTGCACTACGACGAGACCGACTGGTGAAAAACAGGACTATTCCCATACTGTGGCTAATGGATCCTGCCGTCAACAACCCATTGGCAACAATCGACACTCGTCAACATCAAGACGGATCCCCAAGACGTATGACCAGGGACGAAAAGGTTCGAGATACGCGCAGGGGGTTGGCAGGATAAGCTGGAACTTCCGTGACCACGGTTTGGAAAGGGACCGGATGAACACAATGGTGGATGGAGTAACTGGTGTGGTTATGGTTGATGGTGGTCATGCTCATGAGTTCTGTGCAATTCTTTTCGGGGACAGGAGCGAATTTCGAAGGGACAAAGAGAGTGTCATGGCCGTTTTCCCGAGTTCAGGGGGCCAAGGTTTTAAGAAGGTCTTGCATACTGCACACACGGCAAGGCCCAAGGGGCCTTTGCTTGCTTGAGCTGTCCAAGCCGTGGCCATCATACTATGGACTTTGTAATAGACCTGTAATGAAGATTTAGCGAGAGCAAACATGGGTAAGGTGCCTAGATCATCACCAGGGGCTTGTGAAAGGGCCTATTTTCTGGGACAATCAATTTCTAATGATGGCTTGAAGTGAGAACCCCTTCGTATGCGCTGGAATCAGGATGGCAATAAATGTGTGGCTGAGAGTGTGTTTGACGCCGCCATTTGACGAGGCAGATTGTAGATTGAGATGCGTAACATATTTGTGGTTGTTTGTAGCTGTTTGCTATTTCGTCTTTGTTTGTGCTGGACAGTGAGCAAGGTTGACAATGGCCGGGTGTTGGAGCCCGAGTCCGGGCCCGGAACGGAGGAGTCCACGCCGGGTTGGAGGTTTAGCGAGACCGGAGAGAAAGAGAAGGCAGCTGGCATGGTGTCTGCACGGCCTAGGCAAGTGACTGCCGCGGCGTCGTCGGTCACGAACATGGCACGCTGAAAAGAGGGATGTCCAGAGTCTTCAGAGCCCAGTGAAGCACGGACGATTGAAGATGCTCGGCAAATGTCTGCTCAGTAGTTGCGAAGAAAAGAATGAAAGAAATGCCAAGTCGAGGGTTCAAGCCAAAGACGAACAAAAGTGCGGGGGATGTGAGCTCCACTTTTACTAGCGCTTGTGGCGGGGCCGCTCTAAATTAGCGCGGACGCTGTTCTCCGCAAATGTCCAAATGCCCCGAATGACGGGAGATTGCAGTTTCTCAACGTTCCATGACAACAGAGCTCAGAATCATAACGAAGCCTTAAGATCATCTCGCTGCCACGAATCGGAAAGCATGAACACCAACCTATGCCATGACTACGTTGTACCAAGAACGTGCAGTGTTGTTGAGGCGCAGCATCATAATATTCGTCCTTGTCCTACCCTCAACGCTGATGCTGAGACAGGACGGCACCTTCGAGAGTTCTTTCCGTGGCATAACCACACTCGCTTGTTCTCCCCAAAGATGGCAGGCGCCGCACTGACACAGACACAGGCCCAGACATGCCGTCACGAATCTTGTGGCTTGGCTAGCGCAGACCCGACACTGTCACTCAGACACTGGGCGGTGAAACATCCGACTGCAAAACACGATCGATCACTCGTTGCTTTTCCTTCGTCAACTCGAGGTCGAGGAGATCCAAGCGGGAAAAAGAAATGACGACGGCAGACCGACGACATCTCCTTTAACCATGGCCGAGTATACCGCCCCGAAACTTTCATTCTTTGTCTCTTCTCCTGGCCTTCCGTGTAACACTGCTCACCACCCTTCTCGTCCTCGTTACTTTCCTAGCATCATCTGAAAGGCCGTCGGATGACAGAACACCATGCACCCGAGCCTCATGGGCTGTATTGTACACAGTGGGCCATTTTTCACCGAGTTATTCATTCGAATCCGAAAGCATCGCGCAAATACGCACCGTGAACAGTAGTGTACTGTACACAATTCCCAACAACACGGATATAGACCAAGTGATTTGATATATATCCAGAATTCCAGATCAAACAATGAGCCACTCCACAAAGAACAACGGCCGGTCCAGCCAGTCGCCGTGACCGTAGCCACGGGTCATTGTCGCTGTCTCCCAGGAGTCCCGGTCCGCGATACGTTTCTAGAGGCCATCTCCGTTCCGCGTCCCCAAATCGGGAATTGGAAACCACAAACAAGTTTAACCGGTAGCGGATGGCCATCCATACAGCGCCGTCTGACTTGGTTCTCCAGTCGTTCGCGATTCGTTAGTCATGCGCAGACACACAGACGCAACCCATTCCTTCATCAAGTTATCTCCTAATCCAATCGACTGCACTCCAATCAGTGGCATTGCCGAGTCCCGGTCTCTATTCCCACCTCAAAACGTGCGGACCCTCAGCCTAAAGCAGTCAAGCGGCGTTCTAGAAGCTGGGCAGCTGGGTGGTGGTCAGACCGGCGACTTTCTTTCGGGTATAGCTTCACAGAAATCCAGCAAGAGGGAACCTTTCCGAGGGTGTGACCAAGGGGCCCGGCAGGGAACACAGGGCTTGTCTATCTTGAACATGGCATGGCTCGCGGTTCTCCAGGTCTCCATGTGGGCGCCAAGGAATTACGCTTTGACATACCTCTAACGAAATTGCTTTGATGCTTCCCCCAACGATCATACACTCGGTACGCGGACACTGCTACCGTCAGCGTTCCACCGCAGAATCCCGCACATTGTCTGCATCTTCATCTATAACGGACAGTCTCCTCATGTCTCGCTTGCTTTTCCTGTCGCCTCCGAACTTTGGTTTCTCTCCTTTATTTATTTTTCTCTTTCCCTTGGGCGGCTGACGGCACAATACCCCGTTGATCTTGGATTGCTTGTTCTTGACAGCCGCCTGTTACCCTGCCATGAGTGGACACATCCAAGACTAAGTCAATCGTGAAGTCGAAGAGGGGGTTACTGACGATGTTTTGAGAATAACAACCTGTCGGCTTTTGTTTTTCGTATCTCGGACGGTAATTCGACACTCATGCGGGACGAGATAAAGGTTCGTCCCATCGACCCATCAGTTCGGTTCCGCGAACGGACCACCCAAAACTCCACTACCCCGGGTTCCAATTCCTCGCGACTGTTCCATTCACTCGTGGTTGATGTGCCTTCCCGTTGACCAGTCAACCACGTCCCGGATCCAGCATTGACGATTTGAACGGACTTTGCATGCGGGCCTTTTGTCGTTCGACAGGTTAACCTCCCCGGGTACCTGATCCCGACCCCAATCCCGACACATCCTCTGACCATCGACATATTTAGTCGAGATCAACAATTCAACGACTGACAGGGCAATACCACAACTGTGACTACCTACAAGGACCGCCAAGATGAGCCTCACCGCGGAGGATACAGAGTCAGTCGTGGTTATTGAGCGCGTCTGCTCCATCCTGTCGCTTCTCGGTGGTCTCTTCGTCATCATCAGCTTTTCTGTCTCGGAAGCTTTTCGCCAGCGCGCTATCAACCGCATGGTGTTCTTTGCTACGTTCGGAAACATGTTGACTAACGTGGCTACGCTAATGACGACGTCATTTACGGACGCTACCAACTCCTTTGGATGTCAACTGCAGGGGTTTCTAATTCAGGTGTGAGTATCTTGTCCATGGGTTCGATCTACAACGTTGGAGGTGAAGAAAGAGGTTGTCTACGCCTCACGTTCATCCTGGCCCCAACCGAAGAGAGAAAATATTTCTAACAGATCCGCTTCATCAACAGCTTCATGCAAGGCGATGCTTTCTGGGCCCTAGCAATGGCCATCAACGTGTATCTCACCTTCTACCACAAGTTCGATGGAAGAGCTCTGAGGAAGATGGAGATCCCGTATTTCCTCTTTTGCTACGGCGTTCCGTTCATCACCGGATTCACCTTCATTTTTGTCAGGCAATACGGCGAGAGACCTTACGGCAACGCGATCCTTTGGTGCTGGTTGAGCAAGAAGTGGGAGGTCTACCGTATTGCCACATTTTATGCGCCCGTCTGGTACGCTGGCTTCCTCTTTACCATCAACCGAGTATATGGCAAAGCTAACATACCCTCCAATAGGCTTTGCATTATCATCGCGACCTTTATCTACATCCGTGCCGGCCGCGATATCTACAAGAAGCGCCAAATCATGAACAAGCTCGGCCCCGAAGGCTCCGAAGGCGGCACCTTCGTCGACATGTTTGCTCCAGCCTACAACTACAAGACCACCAAAGTCACCCAAACCACCGAGATTATCTCCCTTCCGTCGACTGCCAACAAAGACGCTTCATTCCCGCATACCCCGATCCGCCAAGCCGACGACGCCAAAGCTCGCGCGCAATGCTCCGTAACCGTGACCATCTCCGCCGACAACAACAACAACAACAACAACACCTCATCCCACAAGCGCAACTCGCAGCCCAACAACAACACCAACCTTGCCACCGAAAATCACCACGATGTGGGTATCACCGGCACGACAACCAACACCATTACCAACGAGCGAACCATCGTGCACATCTCAGCCGGCAATAACCCGGCTCTCCCTCCCTCGGGAACAGCAGCCAACATGCAAGCCCAAGCGCAACGTCGCCGGGTTCACGAGGCACACAACGCCGTCTGGTCTTACACCAAGTGCGCCATCCTCTTCTTTTCCGTGCTGCTCATCACCTGGATCCCTTCGTCCGGAAACCGTGTGTACAGCATCTTACACCACGGCGAGATCTCCAAGCCTTTGTTCTTCGCTAGCGCCTTCGTCTTGCCGCTGCAGGGGTTCTGGAACGCCGTCATCTACGTGGTCACGTCGTGGGCTGCGTGCAAGGAGCTTGGCGCGGCACTGAGCGAGGTGTTTCAGGGTATGAAGTACTGGTGTATGTGCTGTGTGAGCAGGAGGCACAAGAAAGGAGGCAACAATGAGGATGAGGATGGAATTATCCTCGGAAGTAGGAGGATGCCTGGACGGATGAGGGGAGATCCTAACCGCCGGAGGCCGGGAGGTGGATCGGGAAATAGTTGGGCGACGACTATGGCAAGGGCCAAGGCACAGGAGATGGAGCTTGATACGACTAGTATGGAGGATCTGACGGCCAATGGGGCGAGGATGGAGAGGGTTTCGCCTGTTTGAGGATGAAACTTGAACAAAAGCCAGTCGCTTATGGTGTGTTTCATTGCTGTTGCGGTATGGATCGTTGGGCTCCTTTGATAATCAACCAAGGACGACGGACAACGTGTACATCCTGTGCATCATAGCGTTGGGAGTTTGGGTTCATGTTGGGTTTGCGCTCTTTGCAGCTTTTCTTGCTCTCTAGTCCCGGAGCTCTCTCCGGCTAGGTGGTTAGCTGTCCTGGAGATTTTCTGCTGTTAGCGAATCGTGGGCGGACAACGTCTTACTAGTATGATACCCATCAGCGTACCATCGTTTCAATGAAAGAATTGTATGTCAATGAAGAGAAAGCGGTGATGGATGAGTAATTGCTTGCTCACTCGGACAACGTGGATGAATGATCTAAAGTGGACAGTGAGTAATTAATGGCATATTGCTGACGTTCAAGATTGCCCGTTGAGGTCTTTCTGTTTGTCAAAAAGATGGGGAGAGACTAAAAGGACAAGACTTGCCTGTCGGAGTGTAACAACATGGACTTGGTGCGTAACGCAGGATGACTTCTACAACTACCAACAAATGAAGAACTGAGGCTATATGTAGGAATCGACCCAGCTGCCTCAAGGTGAGGGCGCCTTAGCGAGCATCAATGACCGCCCAGCTATAGTCTCAAAGTAGACTTTAGGGTAATGCCCTTGTTGAGAAACTTGTTACTTGACCTTCCATATATACGCCCTGACTGAAGCTTGAGCTTGGTACTGGTTACCACTCATTGAGCCGTGCTTCGTGGAGGATGGCCGCTTGTTTCAGCAAGTGACATGTAGATAAGTTAATCTTACCAACAATACCGGCGACCCACGGGACACTGCGCTAAGAGCCTGCCCTATATACCTTGCTGGAGCTTGGGACGAGGATAGCAAACTTGAAACATAGGCGAGTGAGTGACTGAGCGTCGTCTGTTCATCTTATGTTGACTTCGTGCTCGTTGTTTGGCTCTACTTCGAGCTTCAAATTACCCATCTTCACCTCCCAGCTGCGGCCAGGGTCCCATCATACTCAAGGTAGGTGTGGTGGTGCACTGCGAGACGGGGAGAGGTGACGATATATCGCCATGCAGTGGCTAGCAAATATGTAGGGTGGGATGTTCTAGATCGGTTTCTGTTAAATTGTGTCTTTGATCGTGTAACCGTTGTGCCTGCCCACAAACGTTGGGTGCTTTGTGTACTTCGGATCACGCTTCATTCCATGCTCGCGGGTATGGTGAGTGGCTGCTGACAAGATTATCGTTTGGGCTACATGATGAGACATACACCTGGATTCTACGCATGTTTCTGGTCAACAATGGTCCATGTCATGCACTAGCATTACCTTGGGCCTGCCTGAATGTTAACCTTCACGGAAGATGCATACCTGCCCGAAAGGCCAGTCTCATAACTGTGGAGAGCTCCGGTTTTAGTACTGTAGACGAGTACGAGACTGGCAGAACAACGCAAAGAGGTCAATGATATGTATGTAAAGTCGAGGTTGGGCAGATGTTTGTCTCTCGTATTTGCCCGGTCCATGGGGCGTTGCGTCCGGTTACGGGCCCCGGGTGGGACAGTGACATGAACCCAAGGCTCACGATGATGGGACTCTGTGGCGCATCCACCATTCGTGAAACACTTCCGCAGACCAGGCGGGCGGGAGACCGACATTCGGGGGCAGGATGGTGGTGGAGCATGGTTGCCGTAGCAATTGGCGGGAAACGTTGTACTTGACGTTCGTGGCGCTCTTGAAGCTATACCATGCGAGGTTGGGCAATCACGGCAGTTGACGATGGCTTCAACTAGGACAAGGTATCCGTTGTTGATATGGTTTCGGCGTGTTCGATCCGCACGAACATCTCTCCTGTATTTCCTAACTCGGGAGCATTGGGCTCCAACAACTGCTGTTAGCTATTGCAGATGCTTCTTGAATTCGCCGAAAGTGAGCAGACGTTGGAGTTGGCCCTCAGGAGTAGAACCACCCTTCGGAAGTGAGCTTCAATGAGTGGACCTATGGTGTAGGGAGAAAAGATACGTACCATGAGCCCGGGCATGGCAGACAGTGGCAGATGTCTGGATGGGTGTTCATCGTATTTTGTTACCCATGTCGTTGCAGATCCAAAGTTGACCAGGAACAACACATTGGATTCTGCCGGGACCAGCCCGGGGTTAAGTCCCGAAGTGACGGGGAGCAAGACCCACCCGGCCCGAGATCCGACGCCAGGTGGGGCCAAATGCGGACTTGATCGACGCCTTGTGGACCGGCCAAACCCCGGTCAACCCCAGAGACTCCATTGACAGGGACAACGTCAACAACGAGCCCAAAACTCGCACATTTGCCGTCTGTTCCATTGGTGGACTGTGCTTCAGCATTCGACCTCGTGATGTCGTTGTCGATATGGAATTTGAGAGATGTCAAGGATGAAGAGCGCTTGAGAGGATAGAAGTACCTTAGACAAAAGGCAATGAAGGACGAAATGATGGCTCGGATGTCTTGCAGACACTTTGACAGTGATTCATGTTCAATTGACGGGCGTGACGATACTCGGAAACTTAGGTTTAGAGAACACAGCAAAACTCGGAAGACATTGTTCTGTCGTTCTTCCCTCTGGACTGTTCTCACAAATTTGGCTGACACAGAATGTTCGGCCAGGCTTCCATTGCGCCTGCCACGGTTGGGCTGAAGCACAGCTGTGCCTCCCAAAGAACAGTGGCTGGCCAAGCCTGCAGGGCAGTTTCTTCAAATCATATGACGTGGTTTTGTTTTTCCTGCTACAAACGGCAACGACAAATGTCGGAATGGCGTTGAAAAGGTTGGGGCCGGGTGTCTCTCTTTCCCAACCGCTTTGCAACGTCCGAAGTCCGTATGTCTCTGGGAAAAAGGGCGCTCATCCAGCTCTTGCTTTCCCGTAACATGTTCTCTCACTTCAGACCACTTCCTCTGCTCACCGTCTGAATAGCTTCAAAACAGACGAGACACGGTGCTCTTCGATCCTCGAACTTGTGGGGGTGCTCTTCCCCTGACAGAAGTGAGGTTGCCGAACGCGGGGGGGTTGGGAACTTGGGCCGGTGGAAGTGGAGTAAGACAGGGGTTATGTTGAACTGGGGCAAGACCTACCCATCGACACTCAGGCCATGAACCGCTGCACTGCGGGGCACACCTGCCGTAAAAACAACTGCAACGCAAAATTCGTATGCAACTTTTTTCATTTCGACATTCAGAAGTGGAAGTCACGATCTTTCAGTCCAGGCACCACAGTCCAAACCATGTCATCAACGGCAGGAGTGAACCATTTAACCGACCCAGGCTCGCTGAGCTGTGAATCTACGGGATAGCAGACATCCCCTCATTGTTGAAAGGCATCTTCACCTGTCTCATCATTCAGCCCGCCGGGTAGAGGGCCTCCCCAAATCTTGTTCCGTCTTTGTTGTCGCCAACGGGCCATCGAGGCACAGCAACAACAATCACACCGGGGACCCCGTTGGAAACACTTTGGAAGCAGGTTCGAGTTCTCGGCATCAAAGCCAAGCGGCCCAAACCATGATCGAAGTACAGTTCAATGCTACGCACATCCCGCCCAAGTGGGAGTCTGGAAAGTGTCAACACCAGGCGGTGAACTCGTTTATGCAACCCGTCCATTCTCCCGGATGGCGCCCCTGCCAAATCACGTCAAGGTGCCTGTTTTTTTCTGATGGCAAAGAACCAAAACTGGCAGAAGAGGGAATGCTGCTCGGAGTCAAGGCGGTTGAATCGGTCAGCTGACGGCCAAAATGTGTTCCGATTCGGGATCCAGGTCTGGCGAAAGCGGGATTCTCTACACTACGTCGAGGTTGGGCTCGGATACTGTTTCCGTTGTCATTGAGTTTGATGGAGGTTCTCAACGGTCAGTAGATATTCCTCCGGTTGTTTCCCATGCTAATGTCTTGGCCTGGGGTACCATGCTACATGTCACTCTTGAGGTTTCTGTCCTTGACGACATCTCACCACCCATGGCTTCAAAAGTCACAAAAGTCACCCGAGTTCAGCTCGGGATTTGCAGTCAGAATCCCCTTCCACTGTTATCCTCCCCCTTCGTCCATCATTGATCCCTCAGGGACCTCCCAGAACAAAGTGTCCCAACACCTGGTCATATCACCTCCCCTCTTCTTCTTTTCTCTCTCACTTTCCACCTTCACCACCATCCACTCCACCCCAACACAACTAAAGATGACCAGGAAAACACCAACACTGATTCGCCCGACTCACGGCGGCGAACGCTATGAGCTCACCACGCCCACAGCCATGCCCAAGGCCGCTGGCTTCCTATGGAACCAAAAGATGATGATCCAGATCACCTGCCGTGGTTTTGCAACTGCCCAGTTCATGCAGCCCGAACCCGCAAAGTACGCCTACGCCCCGAATATCGAGGCCAAGACCTTCATGCAACCGGAGCCAAACTACTATGCGCACCATCCCGGCCGTTTTGTCTACGTCAAGGACGAGGAGACCGGCCAGCTCTTCTCTGCTCCCTACGAACCTGTCCGGGCCCCGCAAGATCGCTTCGTTTTCTCTGCCGGCAAGACTGATGTCTCCTGGGTCGTCGAGTCGATGGGAGTCCGTGTTGAGATGACCATGGGCCTTCCTACCCACGATGTTGCGGAACTCTGGACCATTAAAGTCAAGAACCTTTCAAGCCGTTCTCGGAAACTCAGTGTAACCCCTTACTTCCCCATTGGCTACATGTCGTGGATGAACCAGTCGGCCGAGTGGAACTATGACCTCAACGGGATTGTTGCCAGCTGCGTCACTCCATACCAGAAGGCCACGGACTACTTCAAGAACAAGTATCTCAAGGACAAGACCTATTTCCTCTGCGAGATCCCTCCTGATTCATGGGAGGCCAGTCAGCAGGCTTTCGAAGGCGAGGGTGGCCTTCACAACCCCAGCGCCCTACAAGACAGGACTCTCAACGGCAGCGATGCGCGGTACGAGACTCCCACGGCAGCTGTGCAGTACAAGGCTGCCCTCGACACGGATGAGGAACAAGAGTACCGGTTCCTCTTTGGCCCCGCCTACGATGAGGCTGAGATTGGAGCTATGCGATCCAAGTATCTGAGCAAGGAGGGCTTCGAACACACTGCGGCTGACTATGCCGCTTACATGGCGCGTGGTCGCGGGTGTCTCCGTGTAGAAACTCCGGATAAGGACCTCGACAACTTCATCAACAACTGGCTGCCCCGACAGGTCTACTACCACGGTGATGTCAACCGCTTGACCACTGATCCTCAGACGCGCAACTACCTCCAAGACAATATGGGTATGAACTACATCAAGCCCGAAGTATCTCGCAAGGCCTTCCTTACAGCTATCGCCCAACAAGAGGCCACTGGCGCCATGCCCGACGGCATCCTTCTGGTGGAGGGTGCCGAGCTTAAATACATCAACCAGGTACCTCACACCGATCACTGCGTATGGTTGCCGGTTACCTTGGAGGCGTACCTGAACGAGACTGGTGATTACAGCTTGCTGAGGGAGAAAGTGCGGAGTGCCAATGGCGACGAGCTCACCGTCTTCGAACGCTTCTGCCGTGCTATGGACTGGTTGCTCAGGTCTCGTGACGACCGTGGTCTGAGCTACATTGCCCAGGGTGATTGGTGTGATCCTATGAACATGGTGGGCTACAAGGGCAAGGGCGTCTCCGGCTGGCTCACTCTCGCCACGGCCTTTTCTCTCAATATCTGGGCAAAGGTTTGCGATCACGAAGGTGAGACCGATCTTGCCAAATGCTTCCGCGAGGGTGCTGACGCATGCAATGCTGCGGTCAATGAACACCTTTGGGACGGCGAATGGTTCGCTCGTGGCATTACTGATGATAACGTGGTCTTTGGTATCAAGGAGGACAAGGAAGGCCGTATCTGGTTGAATCCTCAGTCATGGGGTATTCTCAGTGGTGCTGCTAGCCCTGAGCAGATTGACAAGATGTTGCCCCAGATTGACGCCCATCTCAACACACCGTACGGTATCCAGATGTTCGGCCCCCCTTTCACCAAGATGCGCGAGGATGTTGGCCGTGTAACGCAAAAGGCCATAGGCTCGGCGGAGAACGCCGCTGTTTACAACCACGCTGGCATCTTCTTCATCCACAGTCTGTACGAACTTGGAGCGCAACAAGACAGAGCCTTCACCCTCTTGCGACAAATGCTTCCTGGTCCTACCGAAGCCGATTACATCCAGCGAGGTCAGCTGCCCATCTACATCCCCAACTACTATCGCGGCGCCTGGAAGGAGTTCCCGCGCACCGCTGGCCGGTCCAGTCAGTTGTTCAACACCGGTACCATCTCTTGGGTTTACCGCTGCATCATCGAAGGGCTATGTGGTTTGCGCGGCGACAGTGAGGGTCTACTCATCCGGCCACAGTTACCAAGCTCTTGGAACGCCATGAAGGTCACTCGCGAGTTCCGGGGCGCCACATTCAATGTCGACATTTGTCGTGGCAATGTCAAGGAGGTGATAGTCAAGAACGGTGACAAGGTCCTTCCTGAACCTCACATCAAGGACATCAAGCCAGGCCAGACGTACAATCTCACAGTCGTCATTCCGTAAGTAGACACTGGCTTGTGGTCTACAGTCGTCCAATATCTTGTGCTGATGCGACGTTGGAAAAGAAAACCACCAAAGGACAAGAAGGGGTCACGGTTGACGATCAGTTGGCGTAGCATTTTGGGTGGCTGTTTGTTTTCATGTCTGCATAAATTGCCTTGGAGTCCTAGAAAATAATCCGTGAGGGTAGTCAATCGGGGAAGAAGAGAACCCTTCTAGGCACCAGATTTAATGAGCTGATGGTGTTGCCGCTTACTGTTTGTAGCTGTCAAAACAAAGTTGATGGTGATTGACTTTTGGCCCTTTACCTTACGAGGTTGTCCAAGCGACCTTGCGTAACATTGTTGTCGATAGTGTTCAATGTGGGCGTTGAGATTACTCAGCCCAATATTGGCCCCGAGATCCCACGGGGGGACCGGCTCACCGGAGAGGAGGTAAGTCAAGCTTACTCATCACCCTCGATGAAGATATATAAACTGAGGACGCCAATCTCATACCAGCGGATCCAAACCAGCTCGATATCAACCCCCTCAATTGCAGTTTGCAATCTATCATTGTTTGACCATACAATATGATGACTTCTCTCCAGGCTTTGGCATTGCCACTAGCCCTTAACTTCCTCTCCCTAGTCCACGCCGTACCTGGTGGTCCATGGAAAGGTTGGAGGGCCGGGAAGGGCTGCTGCATTCCCCATGGCGATTCTCCAACCATCATCACTGAGGATACCACCACCATTATCCCCCGTCAATTCTCTTGCCTCTCAACCGGAACCCAGTCCACAATCAACGCCCTCTTCTCCTCCGGCGGCGCCAACACCATTGTCCGTCTCTGCCCCGGCGTAACCATCCCCATTACTGCCCCCGTTGTCTTCACAGCTCCCGGCCAGGAACTCTCCACCCAAGGTTACCCAACCGATTCCACCCGAGCCACCATCCTCATCCAGCCAGGCAGCACCGTCACCTCTGCCATCCGCGGTAACTGGCAAAACAACATCAAGGTGCTGAACATCCAGGTAGATGGCAACCGGCCCAACGCTGGTTACTTGGGCGGCGATGCCCTCCTGGAGATGGGCGGCGGCACGGAAGGCCAGACGGTGAGCCACACAGTGGTCAAGAATACTCGCAGCTGGAGCTGTGTGCACTTCATCGGCAGCGGGCAGGACAACAATCCGTGTCGGCAGGCGACGGTGACCTTCAACGAGGTTGGTCCGTGCGGACATGAGGGTGTCGATTCGGCCACAGGGAATGGGTTGTGGGCGGATGGATTGAGTATCGAGTGTAAAGATACCACGGTGACTGATAATACTGTGAGTTACCTTACCTACCCCCACTATCTATTCTGAGAAGAAAACTGGAAAGATCCAAGACTGACAAAGGGAAAAGATCACAGGCGCAACAGACGGCGGCATAGTAATCTTCGGGTCTCCCGGCTCTCACATCCTCCGCAACACCATTGTCTCCTCTTCCTCCTCCGGTCTCCAATTCGGGGGCATCAATATGGTCGACCCAACCTGGGGCGCCAACTACTCGGGCGTCGTCGTCTCCGATAACACCATCACCGGCGGGCCAGGCTCCTTCATCAACCTCGGAATCGGCATGGGTTCGCAAGTCTGGAGCAACCCGCACCCGGAAACCAACTTTGGGCAAGTAACCGTCACCAACAATGTGTTTACAGGCAACGTCGGTTTTTCCATCGTCATGAACGGTTGGTTGGGCGGTCTCACTGTCACTGGGAATAGTGTCAGCGGTGTTACTACCCCTTCATCGTCGTTTGCGTCAGCGGCAGGGTGTGGAAGCGTGCAGCAGGCCGAATTTGCAGCGTCCCATCAGCTGGTGTACTACCCTGCTGGCGTGATGGGCAGTTCGGGGCCGAATAACATCCAGAGTCAGTTCACTGCACTGGCGACGAATGCGTCCAACTGGCTTTGCTTGACGGATCCGCTGCCGCCGTTGCCAGATAGCAAGTCCTTTGCTCCGAACACCTTGTCTGTTGATGCATCTACTTCGCGGGTGGTCTCGCTGAGGGATTTTCATATTCAGGTGCAAGGTGATGGGAATGTGGTGGGCATTGATACCACGGGCGGGGTGTGGACGGTTAAGTGGGCTAGCAGTCGGTATTCGTCGGCTTGTGGCACCAATGGAGCGCAGTGTTTCCTTGCCTTTGGGATCGATGGTAACTTTGTCATGTATGATGGGAACGGGCCGCTTTGGGCGTCGGGGACGGATGGAAGAGGACAGTTGTTGACGTTTTCCAGGGAGGCACCGTGGGTAACTGTCAGTGGGAATAATGGGCAGACTTTGTGGACTATTGGAAACTTGTAGGCGACGAGGGGGGGGG